ATGCCTTAGATTTGAGAAGCCCAACAAGTACTGGCGGGACTCTATGTGCAAAGAACTCCGTTAGGTTCTGGGGTCGCTATGGAGACTGGATCCACGTACGTTTTAGTAGAGAGAACAGACTGTAAACAACTGATCACAGAGGATCCCACACACTTCAGGGCAATGCCATGAAGGAGAAGCCCAGAAAGCCTGCTAGGCAGGTAGGAAGACTCTGATCTAACCTGAAGAAAAGGAAGAGCATGAAGGACACCAGGAGCTGAGCTGGCCAGGCCGCGGGCAGGAGAGCGGCAGGAGGAGACGGCACAGAGGGAAAAGCCCTGTGTGTGCAGCCACTGGTGACTGTGCCTTGTCACCCTTGCTTCGTCAGGGACCATTTTCTTTTTCATGGTTACATCCCTAGAGCAAGCACCAGCAGACTACAGCTGGCCACCTGTTTTGATAAATACAATTTTATGGGAGTACACCCACGGTTTTCTATTTACGTATTTTCTGGGGGGCTGCTTTCACTCTACAATGGCAGAGTGGTTGCAACAGAGACTATTTGGTCCCCAAAAGCCAAACATATTTATTATCTGGTCCTGTGCAGAAAACACGTGCCAACCTCTGCCCCATAGCAACGGGCACAGAACTGCGTACATGGTAGACATCCAATAATTTTTTAAAATTGTGTTTGTTTTTACTTTACTTCTACAAAATGTTGAAGAGAATTATAAGACCACAAACTGTATGATCCATGTGCATGAACTATCCAGAACAGGTAAACGTAGAGACAGAAAGTAGATTCGTGGCTTCCCAGAGCTGGGAGAAGCGGGGAGGGCGGAGGGGAAGAAAGAGTGACTGCTAATGGGTAGTACGGTTTTTATTTAGGGGTGATGAAAAATGTTTTAAAATCGATTGTGAAAATAGATGCACAGCTCTATAAATACACAAGAAATCCATGAATTATAAACTCTAGATAGGTGAGTTATATGGCACGTAAATTGTATCTCAACAAAGTTGTGATTGAAAAAAAGCAAAACCTAAAAGAGCCAAATAACTGCCATGTGCCTTTGTTTTGGTGATGGGGATTTAGGTTTCGTACAGGGTAGATAAAATTACTGTATTAGAAGGTCCGGGTAAAACAACAACAACAACAAAAAGTTATAACAGAACAAGCAAGTTGAATCTGACCTTCCTAGATACTCTAATGGGAAATGTGAAATATAATTCATTATGCATCATAAGGAGCACTGAACAATTAATGCTAAAGACAAATGTCCTGTTAGTTCCGAGCTCTAGAGAAATTGCTATGCGGGTTTTTGTACAGTAGTCACAGACAAAAATGAGAGCCAGTATCCTCAAAGGCAGTTTTACAGAAATAAGAGTGATGCTTCACCAGGGGCAGTTTATGGTGACTCTTAATGAAGGCCCAGGGCTCAGAGACATTTTGAGTTGTCTAGGCCAACACTAAACAATAGAACTTTCCGAGATGATAAAAATGTTCTGCATCTTCAGTATCCAAAAAGGTAGCCACTATCCTCATGTGGTTATTCAGCACTGAAAATGCAGCTAGTGCAATGAACTGTAATTAAAATTAAAGTGTAATTGAATTGTAATCAATTTAATTTATTCAATTAATTTAAATAGCCACCTGTAGCTAGTGACTGCTGCACTGGGCAGCTCAAATCTAGAAAGTACGAAATGAATACTAGAATATTATCCGTTGAGCCCTAAATGTTCCTAGAGCAACTTTTGTTGCTTGAAACTAACAATGCTTGGTGATACAGTTAGTCTAATAACTCAGTGCAAAACATAACTGTTTTGTACTCAGAATGGTCTAAGCTAATCCAATGGTGATATGACATTGACTCTAAAGTCTGTATTCTATTTGCATATATGTAATAGGGTTTTTATTAGTTTATCTTTTTCTTCTTTCTTTCTTTGCTTCTGTGATCAAAAATTGGAAGATATAGTTCATGTTTTATATTAGCTGGGAAGATGTTCACCCAGAAATATGATCATCATCAAAAATAACCTTTCCATTCCCACAAGAGGACCAAAATAGCACAGAAATATCAAAAGGTATACAGTAGGTTATGTTCTGCTTTAATGAATCAGAGTGAAAAAAAGTTGGAAGAGGGAAGAGTCGTGAATGAGACTGAATCATGAAACCTAATACTTCAGTTCATAGTTGGAGATGGGTGGGAATATTCATCAAGTCTGTGCACTAATGAAGCATCAATAAACAAGGAAATGGAACACGAATGTGATAGCCAAGTGTCTTTCGGGAGAGGCTGCAAGGGAGACTGTGAATCCACAGTGGCATTAAACTCCAGGACAATCTAATGATCAGAATGCCATGGTCTAACCTGGAAGGACACAACGGACAACACATATCCAATTCCCATTCCCATGGGAATTATATCTCTGTATGATGAGGCTCTTCGGAAGTGGAAACACATGTGAGCACTTTACTGGCTACAGTGCAAAGCATGCGTACCTTATAAATATATAACTGATTCAAGATTGTTAATGTATCTTTTGAGACAGTAAACTAAACAGCATCTAGAAAATTCTCACCTGAACAGCCAGGCAAAAATGTTATACATGAATATGACTTTGAGGAGAAAGTACCAAACTCATTTGCTGTAATGCTGGCTAATAGCTGGGAATACACTAAGCTACCGTTTACAACTAAATTACATTAAATTTAATTTAAAATATCTTTGACATAGTGCCTCCCCATTCTCTACACCATTGAGCCACTAAGAGTTAGAGAAGAATATTAACTAGCTCAACTGGATTACATGGAAACGTAAATCAATCCATGAGTCATAATTTGGCAGAAAAAAATTCCCAGGGGTGTTTACCGAGTGGGCAGTTTCCCTAAGGATATTTATAGCACAAAGGGCTTCAATTTCTTCTTTGGAAACAAGATTTTGTTGTCATTTTAGTGTCTGAAAAGAGAGCCTGAACATATGGCATTAGATTTCTAAAACCTACATCTATCTAAAACTTAGAGTAATTCAAGCTAAAATGTTGTTTCTGTGTCTTCCATAGTGCCTTTACCAGAGCATGCACTTAGCTCATTGTTTTATTTCATTTCCTTGCATGTTTATAGTCCTACCCTAGAACGAAGGGGCTTCTGTCATTGCATCCCCATAGTTTCTTATAGTCGCTGTCACACTGTAAGTACTTTACAAAGGATCTGGAAATTAGATCATCAAGATCAATAACAGACCCTGTCTTCCACTGATCTATTCTAAGAGGGAAAAGGAATCCCAACCCTGACAGGCAGGAGAGCACAATGGACTTAGGAGTCAGAGAGAGCAGTCTCTGCCACTCAACACATGCATGTCCCTGGGCAAGCCTGAGCCTCAGCCTCTGCATCTGTAAAGTGGGTATTATAATAACAAGGCCCACCTCAAAGGGTGCTATGAACAATACATGAGAAGAAGCATATGACGCCTGCAGCCTGGTCACCAGCACAAATGAACTGTTCAATAAATGTGAACTATTACAGTGCTATTGTTAAACATTTTAAAAGTTAAAATATACTTACTCCATTTTTGTTTCATTACCACTAAAATAAATTATAATCTCACCTTCTTGAGTTAGACACTTTTGGATAACTCCCTTATAGAAAAAAAATACAAACTATTTTCAATATCAGCTTACAGAATTGTCATGCCCATATGCAGTTTTAGTGCACACAGCATGCAAAGGACACTATTTGCGTCCACCTTTATGCTGCATGGCTAAGGAAAGAAACTCAGATTTTAAAAATGTGCTGTGGGATAAACCCAAAACAGCTGTGGATCAGCTGCATTTGTAATAGTCCCACTCGCCTAACTGCCATGAAGAACATCCACTAAGATATTCAAATATTCATTCATTTATTCATTGAAATATATACATTTTTTGAGACAGAATCTTGCTCGGTCACCCTGGCTAGAGTCCGGTGGTGTCATCATAACTCACTGCAACCTCAAACTCCTGGGCTCTCATCTCAGCCTCCCGAGTAGCTGGGACTATAATTATGCACACCTGGCTAATCTCTCTATTTTTTTGTAGCGACAGGGACTTGCTCTTGCTCAGGCTGATCTCGAACTCCTGACCTCAAGCCATCCTCCTGCCTCGGCCTCCCAGAGTGCTGGGATCACAGGCGTGAGCCACTGTGCCTGGCCTCATTGAAATATCTATTGAGCCCGCATTACATTTAGGCACTGTTCTTGGTGTTTCTGATGTATAGTGAATAAAATAGATAAAGCTGTCTGACCCTAGGGTGCCTACATTCCAACATGAAGAAAGCTCACCTAAAACAAAGCATCTATTTAGTCATTCCTTCTTCTTATATCAAATAACATAGTGCATCATTCAGCATATCAGAATTTCATATTGCTCATAAACATCCGCATATACTTCTCTTTTTAACTTTTATCCCATTTACTCACCCTGCCCTTCTATGACAGAAACAGAATGTAATATTCCTCTGAGATGTGAGGCAGATACTCATCGTTTATTACTAAAACTAAGCACAAAATTATGATAACGCAGCGGCCAATTTGTACAACTGAGCAGAGTGGCAATAATTGGATTTATTCCCACACCTCACTAACTAAAAATAGAGTAGGAATTTTGTAATATATGTGTTTTGCTACTGCAGACAACAACACCCTCCACAAAGACGGTCAGCAGTTTCTCTTTCTTCCTGATAGGAGGCTGAATACTCATGAAGCCCTGAAATAATTATCTCTCGAAAATGGATTTTGTTTGGATATGTATTAATATGACTCTCTCTCTCTCAGCTACATGCAAACACTAGATTTATGAAATAAGAAGGAGAATTTTCAAGTTAATGAAAGTGCCATTTATGAAAACAGCATGAACATTTTTCAAAATATAGAATAAGCCAGAAAGAGAGAGTGACTTATTGGATCACCTTTAGCTGAAATGAAAGGTGGACTGAAAGGCTTTAAAATGTTGCCTACACATGTCCTATTTACTTGGGTCCTCTTTACCTGGCTGCAATGAGGTCTAGAAGATGTTGCCATCGGTCGTTGACCTTTCCAAGCTTGTATTCAATCTCGGATGCTTTGCTTTCGTGGCTGGCTTTAGCAAGACGTTCTCCCATTTGCTGGAGCTGTATTTTGTTCTCTTGGGCAATAGCAATTTCTTCTTGATAATCCTGTGTAATAAATACCAATCACGGAGGTCAGAAAGCATATTCTCAATGGATTCAGTCCCACCTCTACTAGAATCATGGTAGTTACAATTTTCTACTGCTTGGAAATAGTTCAGGCATGAGAAACACCATGTGAACATCAGTCCATGTGCACAGGGATTAGTAGTACCCATTATTTTCACTTTGTATGCACAGTCAGGATTAAATTTTTATATAAGTGTTCTTGAAGGAAATGGGGGAATGATCTCTATTTACTTAAAATGAGCATTAAAAAACAATGAAAGTACATACATAAATACAAAAAATAAAACTTGAAGGATTTTAACACTGGGAAATTATACCTTATTGCTGTAATCACTAACCTGATATTATATTTAGAATAAAGTCTAATACAAATAATTGCCACATATACATACAAACACCTATTCAATTGACATATGCAATGTATATATGTAAACATGTATATGTGTGTGTATGTCAATTATGTTATTTGTGCAGAATATTTTAAAAGAGCTCCTTCATTTTAAGGAGATATCATCCATGCAATGCCAATATTTTGCAACACATAAATCAATGATACATTAACTTTCAAGAATAATAGCGATTAATTTTAGAGGATTAGTGGGCCTCAAACCTTCTTGATTTACCCAATTTCTGTGTAGCTTCTCTTAAAGTTATTTTAGTTAAAGAGAACAGACTCCAAGTGGTTTATATGCAAGAGATAGGCACTAAATGCTGTGATTTAAGTGATGATGAAAGGACATTTCCCACCTCCATGTCCTCTTACGCTCTGACACAGGAACAGGATCCAATCTTTAGGACCAACCCTTTCATTTTTGGCTTAAGCTCCTATTGTAGAGCAAATATTTTCTCAGCAAAATAATATATGAAGACAGGTATTATATGAGCATGAGTATTTTAACCTTCTCTTCCTCTAAAGTTGGTGTGGGAACAGGGCTACCCTCCCAAGTCATCTGTCTAAGCAAAAAGGGCCCCAGAGGAAGGAGAGGGGCCAGTGAAATTTTATTCCAGTCCAGTGTTTAGTGCTCTCCTCATGCCCTCCTTTTTATGTTATTTCAACACAATGGGATTCAAAGACTACTACATTGGATGCATTTATTTAATAGTTATAATATTTCATCATACATTTGAGGTGGTCTTATTGAGAAATGTTTATTTCAAATGAATTACTCCAAGCCTTAGAAAGTATTTATAGTAAAGTAATCCCTTTGGATTGTCTTTAAAATTGAACTGTTCTGTTTTTGAGTGTTAATACCAGTAAACATTAATATCTTTGTTTCCATTTTTTTAGCAATTGCTTTCTTCTATATTGTCAAAATTACCAAACCTTGATATTATTTTCCTTTATAAAAAGAGACACCACATACAACACCCAGCAACTAGCAAAGTGCAATTGTTAGCAGATGCTAAAATGACATCTATCTCATTTCAGGCCACATTTCATAGGTTTACAGCATCAAATAAACAAATATACATAGAATTTGCAATCTACTATAACATTAATATTTTATGTTGGCTTTGAAAGTTTTAATTTTCTCTCTATATATGTGTATAGATTAAGACATTTTTTCCTAAGAACCACTTATATTTATTTTCAAAAAGAATGAAACCATAATTCATTGATTCAATAAATACTGAGTGCCTCTGAGAAGTTAGGCATTGCTTTGGGTACAGGGGACATAGCAATGATCAAAACAGACAAAGTCCACAGTTCCCATGAAGTTTATAGACCAGTGAGGCTTCCATTTGGATAGACAATGAACAAGTAAATACAAGGTATACATTATATAATAGATGGTGATATGTGTGCTAATGAGAAATACAAACTAAAATAACAGTAAGATGATTAATTATTCAAAAATGATATATAAACAACACTGAAATTATCAAAACTTTTTAAATGTTAGTAAATTTGATCAGCTCTATATAGACATAAGAAATGTTCTAGATCCAACTGAATATATAAAACAATTTAATAGCACATACATAACTTGAATATAATACAAAGCCAAAATTTTGAGGAAAGTCTTCATTCCTATCTATGGCCTATAAACCATGTTTTGGAGAGAAAATGTCAGTTAACATTTATCCTAAGAATTTTTTCTTTTAGTTTCTCTACAATGACTTTATCTCTTTAAAAACAAAAACAGAAAAACAAAATAAAAGAAAACTAATACTCATAAAATGATTCCTACAGACCAGGTAGCTAAAACTCCAAAAGATAATCTATTTCATCATCAACTGAAAGTATTCTATGTATTTTATATGTAAAGCAGGCCTTCCCATGCATGCTTATTTCAAATTAAAAATTAAAACCTTTAAAATATAGTGCCCCCTTGACAGGAAAGTAATTATGAGTAGAGCCGTCTTCGGCACCTGTTAGAAGTGTACCTAAGCATTACGAAGGGTGGAAACGTAAGCAACCGCGCATTCCGTACCTTCTTGAGCTTCTCGATCATTTCCTCAATGAGGATGTCTCCATTTTGGGATACTTTGCTTTCCATTTGAGTCAACCACTCACAAAGCTCCTTGTTCTTTTCACTGAAGACTGCCCACTCGTTCAATCTTTCACTTACTTGCTGCCGCCTCAAGGAGAGCTGAAAAGTTTAGAAATAGGCAAAACGATAATTAGAGAGGAGTCCATAACCCTGAGGAAAACAGAAAATAAACTAGGACTAAAATGAGCAATAGTCGTATTAATATATCTTTTTAGTCCACTGTTTCCTGAAGTCTAGAATTTGCCATTAAATACAAGTGGTAGATGCTGAACCCTATGGTTCTTTCAGACTCATATGCACATTAGCTTATTAAAGATTCTGAATAATCCATCTCCAAACAACAATTAGTTCTGTTTAGATATGATACAACATCAGTGAATGCACTTTTCCCCCCTAAAACACCCCGAGTGCCTTCTGAAAGAAATTGAAAAGACAAGGGAAAGATGGAAAAAAAGGATAGAGAAGAAAAAAAAAGAAAGAAAGAAAACAGAAGTAAAAATGAAAAAGAAAAAAGAAAAAACAGGTAAAGAAGAGAAGGAAGTGAAGCAGGAAGAATGACAGAGCCCCAGGCATGTAGAGAGCAGTGTGCGGGAGGCAGGGACAGTGGCCAGCAGTGCGGACACGATTCCTATGGCTGTTGGAACGTTCCTTTATTTCTCTGTTGTTTTCATTTTTATTTATTTTTGTTTCTTTTCCTTCTTTTTTCCCTTATATAATAGCTTTACTGAGATACATTTCCCATACCACACAATTCACCTGTTTAAAGTGTACAATTCAGTGGTTTTAGTATATTAACAGAGTTATGCAATGATCACCACAATAAATTTTAGAATATTTTCATGACTCAAAAAAAATCCCTGTAGCCATCAGTGGCCACTCTCTTGCTTCTCTCCACCCACCTCCCAGCTACAATCTCTTCTGGACATGTCACAGAAATGGAATCATATAATAGGAGGTATTTTGTGACACGTTTCTTTCACTTAGCATATTTTAAAATTCATCCATATTGTAGCACATACCAATACTTCATTCCTTTTTATTGTTGAATATATTCCATTGTATCAATATACTATATTTTATTTATCAATTCCTCTGTTGAAAGACATTTGGGTTGCTTCCACCTTTTGTCTACTATGAATAATGCTGTTACAAACATTTGTGCACAAGTGTTTGGATGGATACATGTTTTCATTTCTCTTGAGTATGTACCTAGGAGTGTATTTGCTGATGTTGGGTCATATGGTAACACTACAGATTGTTTTCCAAAGTGGTTGCACCATTTTACATTCCCACTAGTAGTAGGGTTCCAATTTTTCTACATCTTCATCTAATGTTTGATTACTGCCATCTGAATGGGTATGAAGTACTATCTCACTGTGGTTTTGATTTGAATTTCCCTAATGGCTAATAATGTGAAGAATCTTTTCATGTTTCTTGGCCATTTGTATATCTTCTTTGAGAACTATCTAGTCAAATCCTTTGCTTGCTTTTAATTGGGTTGTCTTTTTATTACTGAGTTGTGAGAGTTCCTTTATATTATAGATACAATGGGCTTGTTTTCTTATTACTAGGTCTAGAATGATCCTTTTCAGAATTCTACAATTCTCTGACTTCATAATACAGCACTTTTATTTTACAGTGCTGGTTGAGATAGCAAACAATATTTCTAATTGAACTACACTACAGATTAGCAAAACATGATATTGATTTGAGCGGTAAGAAGTTTGCTGAAAGTGCTGTTCCATTACCAATTAATTGCATTAAACACCTTCCCAACAGTTTTCTTTCCTCCCCAACATTTTATTATTAAAAGTTTCAAACACAGAAAAGCTGGAAGAATTTTATGGTAAGCACTTCCAATATATACCTAGACCCTAAAATTGTTAATATTTTGTTATATTTTGCTTTAATACATATATTCCTCTATTAATCCACTTACTTTTTTTGTGTATTTCAAATGAACTTCTTTTTGAAGATGAAAAAGAAAATATTTCTAAGGTGCCATATACTTCCTAATGATCAATTCTGCCTAGGATTGGCTCTATTAATGATTAGGCAGATAATATTTATGGTATCTCATGACCCCAAATATTTGTGATTCCATATCCAAGAAAACAGAGGAGAATTAGGCCATGAGCCCAGGATACTGACCTTTCTCAAGGCCAGCCTCAGGCAGAGCGAGCTGCCCAGACAGTGAGCACCATAACCTACCTTAGTTGAAACGCCAGCCTTAGAAAATCATTCTTTTGAGTTATGATCTTTTAAAATAAAAATTTCTCTGGGTTGGGTGACAATGATGAATCCATTAAGCATTTCCCCATTAGTATAATTCTGTTTACCATTTGGTTATTTTTGTTTTTTTGGCAGAAGAATACAGAACGGCCGAAAGGCAGTGAACATGCTAGGAGTGGATACTGCTAGGAATGGAAAAAGCTAAGAAAACACAGGCTAAAAAGTTTTGGAGACAAATTTCGCCTACTTGAAGCTGTACTCAAGACAGTGCCTAAGAAGACAACCCTTCAAGCCTCCCTTTCCTCTCCAACTCGAAGGGCAGAGAGCATTCTGATCTCCTGCAGAGTCTGTAATTCACAGAGCATCAGAGGTAGGAGTCTGGCTGGGAGTTAGAATTCTGGTTCAACTGATGTCCAAGCTGAAACTATATTTGCATAATTGGGACTGCCCAAAGGAACTGTTTTCTAAGAAAAGGTTAGAAACCTCTGCCCTTCGGACTTAAGATGAACAAGTCTTGCTGTGAGTAGTGTTTCACCTACTCTTGGCCATGAGCCAAAAATGAATTCCAGGGCTTTACTCCCAGCAGATGCTGGGAAGACGACCATGTAACAGAAAATATTACTTTGAGAGGTAGGCATTTTTATTCCCATTCCAGAGACAAGGAGGGTGAAAGTTGGACACATTTGAGACATCTGTTTACAGTCAGTACGAGTTAGAAACAACAAAATTCCAGTCTTTTGATACAGGTTGCCATATGACATTATGATTAAATATCCAGAAGTAGCTGAAATTCAAAACCTGTTTCTATCCCTTATTAATGATATAACCAGGGCAAGGTTACTTATCTTCTCTAAGTCTTACTCTCCTTATTTGTAAATTAATCTTATGCTTTTTCCAAAATTAATTAAACAAATGTTTATTGTTAGTGGTAAACAAGTGTCTACAATGTGCTAAGCACTGTCCTATGTACTGGGACTGAGTTAATACAATATAAACCAGAAAGTAATCTAAGAAAGTGACTGGTATACACTACAGCCCTAACAAAATCTCTCCATTACTATGCTGCTGCTGCTACTGCTACTATTATGCATGACTACAGGGCATTATTTAAATTTTTAATCCTTTTCTTCTTGACACTCATGTATTCAATATCTCCACTAAACAGCTTGAATATACATTCCTAGTGTTTATCACACACCACGAAAGCATGGCTTTCCTTTGCTACCTGTGGAGCTATACCTGAAAGAAGAAACAGCTAGGTTACAAGCTGGGGACAAACCCAGGCCAAAAGCTTTTCAAAAGATAAAAAGTCATAAGGGGGATGGTATTTTCCTTCTGGCTTGTAAATGATGAGTTAACATGACCATCTCTTTCTTTGGACTCAGCTGAAACCCTCAAATTATTTATCAGTTATCAGTTAGTACATATTTATGATTTCTCAAGGGTACAAATACACTGCATTGCCAACAGCTGACAGGTACCAGCCAAAACATCCAAAGTGTGAAGCAGCTGAACAGGAAGTACATCCTTTTCTACTCCAAATATTTTCACCATGACATTTTGAGAAAAACGAGCAATTACGATGATGATATATGTTTATATTTCAACTGGGAATTACTCACAGATCTACAAACCAAAACAGGAATGAGAGCAAGCGTAAGCTCGGGCTGCACACAGTCGCGACACATGATTAGGGGAGTCTACTTGAAACAGGAGACTTCCATGCGTCAACTCCACCCTGCAACTTACAGCCTGTCTTCCTCATTCTCGCTGCAGTTCCAATCACTCCAGACCCCTCATCAACGGCTTCCGACAGAATAGGAACGGACTGCTTGCTCCTTAGCATGGGTAATACCAGGTTTAACTAAAGTTTTTTGACTTTTACAATGAAACATGGGCGCAAGCTCATTTCCTTTTGTGGTTTCATACTTGACAGAATGTTCACCGGAAACAACTAACTCAAGAACTGGAAACTAATCTCTTTCTCTCCTTAGAGTTATATCCTGGCACCTTGAGCAAACCCATGACAAAACTCACTGGTTTAAATACTTTTATTTAGATGGAAGTGATATGAGATAAATATGCTTTAGCTTCATGCCTTAGGACACTTCAATATAGAAAGTTTCTAGAAACACTATATATTCGATTGGCTTCCTTTTTTTTTTAAGTTTTAGTCTACTCGAGTGTGCAGGGTATTACTCTCTTCACAACATATTGTATAGTGAAGAGCAGATGTTTTTCTCCCCAAAATCTCATGTTGAAATTTGACTCCTAGTGTTGGGGCCTGGTGGGAGGTGTCTGAGTCATGGGGGATGGAGGGGGACAGATCCCTCAGGAATGGCTTGGTGCCCTCCCAGTGGTAATGAGTGAGTTCTCACTCTGGTAGTTCACACAAAAGCTGGTTATTTAAAAGAGTCTGCTACCTCCTCCTCTCTTGCCATGTGACACAACTGCTCCTCCTTCCCCTTCAGCCTTGACTGGAAGCTTCCTAAAGCCCTCACCAGAAGCAGATGCTGGCACCATGCTTCTTATACATCCTGTAGAACTGTGAGCCAAATAAACCTCTTTTCTTTATAAATTATCCAGTCTTTAGTATTTCCTTTATAGCAACACAAAATGGACTAAGATACATGAGATAAGTGTGTATTGAAATGTCTTAAGGCATGAAGTGAAAGCATAAAGTTTCTAAAAACACTATATATTTAGTTGGCTTCCTCTTTTTAACTTCATACTCTACTAGGTGCAAGGTATTAATCTCTTCACAGCATATCATATAATCAACAGCAGCTTTCGAATTTATATTTACAAACAGACTATTGCCCAGATTTATCTAAGTCTGGTGAACAATTTTACAACATATAAACATATAATTTCACAACAACTAATAACTCCATGGCATTTTTATACAAATTTTCTTAAATCAGAAAGTATTGCAAAGCCATAATCTTCTCAACCTTCAAAATATTCACTGAGAACATGGAACTCTGTGAAAAGTAGCTAAATTCATTTTGAGCTCAAATCATTAACATGCTGGTGAAAGTCATCTCTTCATATCCGCTTTGAAACTGCTCACCCATCTATTACATGTGCTCCAGAGTTTTCTTTTGGTCTGGGGTCTGAGAAAAATCTGGATTTTAATCAAAACATACACACAGACATTTTCCTAAGAACACACTTCTTGTTTATGTCACAAAAACCAAAAGACTGTGGGCCTCTTAAACTGTTTAATAGTTCCTGAAGCGTGAGGATAACCATCCCTAAAGTCAGAGAGAGGATGAAAGAGAAAGAAGATTTTAGGACAGCACAGTTGGCATGGGCACACAGGCGTGAGGGTAGGTGGGCAGAAGAGGCCCCTTCTCCACAGCCCCTTCCTCAGCCTACCCACACCCGCTCCACCCAACCAGGCCCTCTGCTTCTGGCCTCCACTCCAGTGGCAACCTTGTTATCAAAAACATTGTTTGTTTCCTCCCACTCTATCTCCACCACGTCTCATCTCAGGACTCAATTCCAGATTTATCCTCTTCAGCCAGGCAAGATGGCTCATGCCTGTAACCCCAGCACTCTGGGAGGCCGAGGTGGGAGGATTGCTTGAGCTCAGGAATTCGAGACCAGCCTGAACAAAAGTGAGAGCCCCTCTAAAAAAAATTAATAAATAAATAAAAATAAATTGTATGTTTTAAAAAAAGATTTATCCATTTCAAGAAACATTTCATTTATTCTCTACAATCCCCACGGCCCTTAGCTTCCTTGCATCTTTTTTTTCTTTTTTTAAATAGAGATAAGGTCTTGCTCTGTCACCCAGGCTGGAACTCCTGGGCTCAAGCAATCCTCCCGCCTCTGCCTCCCAAGTAGCTGGGATTACTGGCACGTACCACTATGTCCAGGTTATTTTTCTGTTTTGTTTTATTTAGTTTTGCTTTGTTTTTGTAGAGATAGGATTTCACTGTGTTCCCAGGCTGGTCTTGAACTCCTGGGCTAAAGGATCTGTGTTCCCAGGCTGGTCTTGAACTCCTGGGCTAAAGGATCATCCTGCCTTGGCCCCGAAAAGCGCCAGGATGACAGGTGTGAGTCACTGTGCCTGGCCAGCTTGCCTACATCTTTATATATTCTTACACATTATTTTTCCCTGTTTATTCCTGGTTTTCTTCTTTCTACACTGATTTCAGTCTCAGCTCAATTGTAAACCCGATGGCAGACAGATGTATTACATTTTGTTAAATTCACAATAATTCATACAACAGACCCATTTAACAAATATTTCTTATGTATTGTAGCCTATTACGTACCAGACATGGTACTTAGGGTGCAGAAGGAACAAGACAGATACAGCCCCTACTTCCTGGAGAGGACGACCTCAAGGCACTGAGGCAGCCACCTGCTCTTAACTTGTGAGCCTTTTAATCGGTTATGCCTTTTTGCCTAGGGTGTCTTCTTGCTGCCTTTCCACCAATATTTTCCCCTTCATTTCCAACTCAAAACCTAATGTGGGATCTCTTTTAAGATATGGTACATATAGAAGGCACTTAATAAATGAATAAAGTATGACTAAAAATGCCATATACCCATGAATTACTAGGCAACAACTACAGTAAATCAAGAGTAACAATATTCCATGAACAAAACCAGCTCCACAGTATAACCTGGAATGGCATGTAGGATGATTTTTCACGTGTTTAAATTATACCAACCTAACAAAACCACACCTGTGAAGCACAGCATTTTGTTTCCTCTTAAAAATATTATGCCAGCTAGCAAAAGTGAAAGGAAGATAACTGAATCTAAACTGTAATATTAAATATAGTTGTAATAATCTGAAATATTCTGGTAATAACCACAGGGTTCTTTCTTCATCCATACTATGAGTTACAGGATGGGTCCAAATCTGGGTAAAGCCATTTGACATTCTGATTCATCTCCCAGTTCTCCATCATTTTGAGGTAATTCCATCTTTAGAACTTATCTTACCTGGTGGCATAGTTCTTCCCACTGTCTTTGCAGAAGTTCAATGCGTTCATTAAGGATGGAGATGTCATCAGCACTGATGTATGCAGAAAGGGTGTCCTTCAGCAGTGTCAGCTGTGTCAAGTCATCTGTCCAGCTCCCAACTGCATTTTCTAATTCCTAAATTAAAAAAAAAATTTTTTTGAATACCCATGAACATATACTGTCAATGATTTCTGAAATGTTTTTGAATCCCCTCTTGACATAATTTCCTTCCATATCACTCTATTTCAGGGGTCCTCAAGCTATAGCCCGCAGGCCACATGTGTCCCACCGAGGACATTTATCCAGCCCACTGGGTGTTTTTTTTCCGTTGATGCCTGTCCTGCTTTATGTCTAAAGAACATACACACCTTAATTTGAAATACTTTATTGTTAAAAAAACACTAATGATAATCTGAGCCTTCAGTGAGTTGTAATCAATCCTTTTCATGGTGGAGGGTCTTGCCTTGATGTTGAAAGCTGCTGATCAGGGTGGTGGTTGCTGAAGACTGGGGTGGCTGTGACAATTTCTTAAAATAAGACAATAACATTTGCTATGTAGATCGACTTTTCCTTTCAAGAGCCATTTCTCTGTAGCATGCCATGCTGTTTGATAGCATTTTACCCACAGTAGAACTCCCTTCAAAATTGGAGTCAGTCCTCTCAAACCCTGCTGCTGCTTGATCAACCAAGTTTATGTAATATTTTAAATCCTCTGTTGTCATTTCAACAGTGTCTGCAGCATCTTCACTAGGAGTAGATTCCATTTCAAGAAATCATTTTCTTTGTTCATCTAGAAGCAACTCCTTATCTGTTCAAGTTTTATCATGTAATTGCAGCAATGCAGTCACATCTTGAGGCTTCACTTGTAATTCTAGTTCTCTTGCTATTTCTACCACTTCTGCAGTGACTTCCTCCACTGAAGTTTTGAACCCTTTAAAGTCATCCATGAGGGTTGGAATAAACTTTTTCCAAACTCCTGCTAATGTTGATATTTTGCCCTCCGCCCATGAATCACAAAAAAAAAAAAAAAAAATGCTCTTAATGTCATCTAGAATGATTCCTTTCCTGAAGGTTTTCAGTTTACTGTGCCCAGATCCATCAGAGGAATCACTATCCATGGCAGCAATAGCCTTACAAAGCATATTTCTTAAATGATAAGATTCAAAATCCAAAATTACTCCTTGACCCATGGGCTGCAGAATAAATGCTGTGTTAGCAGGTAGGAAAACAATATCAATCTCCATCAGAGCTCTTGAGCAACTAGGTACATTGTCAACGAACAGTAATATTTTGAAAGGAGTCTTTTTTTCTGAGCAGTAGGTCTCAAAAGTGGGCTTAAAATATTCAGTAAACTATACTGTAAACAGAAGTGCTGCTACCCAGGCTTTCTTGTTTCATTGACAGAGTACAGGCAGAGTATATTGACAATAATTCTTAAGGGTCCCAAGATTTTCAGAATGGTAAATAAGTATTGGCTTCAACTTAAAGTCACCAGCTGTATTAGCCTCTAACAAGAGAGTCAGCTTGTCCTTTGAAGCTTTGAAGCCAGGCATTAACTTCTTTCTGACTATAAATGTCCTAGATGGGATCTTCTTCCAATAGAAGGCTGTTTGTCTACATGGAAAATTGTTGTTTTGTGTAGCCACCCTCATCAATTATCTTAGCTAGACCTTTGGCTAACTTGCTGCAGCTTCTTCAGTAGGCTTGCTGCTTCACCTCACACTTTTCTGTTATGAACCAGACTCTCCTAGCTTTAAACTTTTCTTCTGCAGCTTCCTCCCTTTCCAACCTTCATAGAATAGAAGTGAATGAGGGCCTTGCTCTGGATTAGGCTTTGGCTAAGGGAATGTTGTGGCTCGTTTGATCTTCTATCAAACCACTAAAACTTTCTTCTATCAGCAATAATGCTGTTTCACTTTATCATTCGTGTGTTCATTTGAGTAACACTTTTAATTTCCTTATAGAACTTCTTCTCTGCACTCACGAGTAGGCTAATTGTTTGGTACAAGAGGCCTAGCTTTGGGCCTATCCTGGCACTCAATATCTCTTCCTCATTAAATTTACTAATTTCTAGCTTTTTAAAATGAGAGATGTGCAATTCTTCCTTTCACTTGAACATTTAGGGGCCACAGTAGGGTTAATAATTGACCTAATTTCAATATTGTTGTGTCTCAGGAAATAGGGAAGCCTGAGGAGAAGCAGAGAGATGGGGGAATGGCCAGTTGGTGGAGCAGTCAGAACACATGCGACATTTGCTGATTAATTTCGCCATCGTATATGGACGCAGTTCATCATGCTCCCAAACAATTACAATAATCATATGGAAGATCATTGATCATAGATCACCATAAGACATATAATAATAATGCAAAGTTTGGAATATTGTGAGAATTATCAAAATGTGACACAGAAACATAAAGTGGGCATATGCTGTTGGAAAAACGGTGCTGATAGACTTGTTCCATGCAGAGTTTTCAATTTGTAAAACCTTCAATTTGTAAAAACATAATATCTGCACAGTGCAATAAAGCAAAGCAAAATAAAAGGAGGTTTCCTTGTACTTTATTTACTTCCTGTGTAATTTGATTCTGATAAAATATGATTGCCTGTAGACTCTTCCTGTCATATATTTACCATTTCATTGATCTTTTTCTGATGTTGATTTTTAAATTGAAGTTTCATCATTGCATTGATCTTCTTTACTTTAAACTGACTTCATAAGCCATAACCCATCCATTCTTCTTGTCCTGAGTTATGGATCATGCTGATAAAATATATTTTTTTAAAAAAATATACCTAAATTTAACTTTCATTTCTAAACATTATGAGTTGCTATATTCTGTGATCTATACTTACAATGTAATAGCTGAGAAGATCTGTTGCTATTACTACTCAATTTTAAATAATGCACTGAAGACATTTTCTGCAGGATCAGAGATTTCTTTAAGTTACTAAAAATGGAATATGTACCCTGTCCCTTTGGGGAATGATTTAAGAAAAAAAAAATCCATATAACAATATTTGAATGAGTTGACATTAGTTTTTGGAATGCTTTGACTAATAATGAGTTTTGCAATTTGTATAACCACTTGTTATTTTTAAATGCTAGATAATTTCAATGTATGAATAGAATATTTCACGTGGCTTTTTCTTCCCTTTATGTTTTTTCACACAGGAGACAGGTTTTCAAAGGCACAGGCAATTAACGACGCTGTTTGAGGCTAACTTCCCAGGCAATTTAGGCAAACAAGGTTTTAGCCTAAATTTTCCAGGTAATTGCTTTGTTTTGCTGCTGAGCGTGGTTTGGGGAAGAGTAGCAGAGAACTAGACTGAAATAAATTTTTTTTAATCTACAAATTCAATAGCAGGGTGTGTTTGTAACTGTCATGTATTTTGAGAGATGAAAAATTAGGTTCCATGGCAACAGTATTTGGCTGAAAAACCAAACCATCTAGGTGAATTAAATATGTGACATTTCTGTTTATAGCCTTAGACATATTAAATTGTTATCTCAATGTAAAAGATTTTCCTATTTTTATCCCAGTTCTAGCTCCCAACTCAGATTTGGTATATTGATTAAAAAGGAAACAATAACACCCCCCAAAACAACCAACTGTTTTAGACTCAGTACATCTATCCATTAGATGAGTCAGTTGGTAAAAATATAACCTGTAGAATCAGGCAACCCTGATATTTACTAACTTTGAAAAGTTATTAAACTTCAAGAAGCCTCAGTTTTCTCATCTGCAAAAGGGTAATAACAGAATGCTTTCATGAGCTTGTTGTGTTCATGTTAACAGAGATAACACTCATACAGCTATTGGCACATAGGAGAAACCTCATAAATGCACGTTCCTGCTCTGCAAAAATTTTTGTTAATTATTTTTAATAAATTTACAGTTGCAGGTTTGAAATAAACTCTTTTAAATCTTTGCCACTGTTGCATACTTTGAATGTAAAATCTGAATGTAAAATCTCACTTTCCATCGATGATATATACTACCTTTTAATTTTAGTAAATCTGTCTTTTTCAAATTTCAAAGAATATCCTTGAATTTTAATGTGAAAAGAAAACTTCTTATATCTATACTTGTCATGAGCTCTAGACTTCATTAACAATTAGTCTCTCTTAAATACTTAGGAATTCTTAGCCAAAGTGAAGCAAGGAACGTATGATTACAATCCAAGTGAAGGAGCTCAGGAAGTTTCACCCCAAAACATGAATCCTTGATATAATGAGTATTTTGAATTAAAGATCAACAGGTGCTGGAAGGGCCTTCCCTCTGTCTTCATAAAACCACACTCATCAAAAAGAACAATTGACTTCCCTTTCTCCCTGTTATCTCAATATATTGCATAAAAGAAGATCAAGAATGTAACCTGCCGTAATAAAAAAATCTTCCAATAAAAAGAAAAAAAAGCCCTGGATCAGATGGATTAACAGCAGAATTTTACCATACCTACAAAGAGCTGATACCCATACTTCAGAAATTATACCATAAAATCACAAAAGAGGGAATCCTCCCCAACTCATCTATTAATACAAAGCCAATATTACCTTGATACAAAAGGCAGGAAAGGACACAACAATAACAACAAAAAAAGAAAGAAAGACAACTACAGATCAATATTCCTTATGAATATAGTTGCAATAATCCTTAATTAAATACCAACAAACAGAATTCAACAACACATCAAAAAAAATAACCCACCATGACCAAGTAGGCTTCATCCCAGGGATGAAAGGATGGCTCAACATATGGAAATCAATAAATGTGATTCACCACATAAACAGAAGCAAAACAAAGACCATATGGTTATCTCAATAGATGCAGAAAAAGCTTTCAACAAAATTCAGCACCCTTTCATGATAAAAAAAACCCTCAACTAGGCACAGAAGGAATATATCTCAAAATTATAAAAGCCATATATGACAAACCCACAGCCAACATCCTACTGAATTGGGAAAAGTTAAAAGGATTCCCATGAAAAACTGGAACAAGACAAGGATACCCATTGTCACCACATCTATTCAACATAGTGCTGGAAGTCCTAGTCAGAGCAATCAGGCAAGAGAAAGAAATTAAAGTTATCCAAATCAAGAAAGAGGAAGTCAAACCATCACTTTTTGCTGATGATATGATCTTATATAGAAAACCCCAAAGACTCCACCTATCTTCATAAAGATAGTTAGAGAGGAATGGCTTGTATTAAAAAGCCCCAAAACAATAAATGCTGGCATGGATGAAGAGGAAAAGGATCGCTTATACGGTGTTGATGTGATTGCAAATTAGTACAACCTCTATGGAAAACAATAGGGAAACTCCTCAAAGAACTAAAAGCAGACCTACAATTTGATCCATCAATCCCACTACTGAGTACCTACCCAAAGGAAAAGAAGTAAATGTATCAAAAAGATACCTATACTTGAATGTTTATCGCAGCACAATTCACAATTGCAAAGATATGGAATCAACCCAAGTGTCCATCAATTCATGAGTGGATTAACAAAATGTGGTATATGGATATCATGGAATACTACTCAGCCATAAAAAAGGATGAATGCATTTTGCAACAATTTGGAGGGAATTATCCTAAATGAAGTATGGCAAGAATGGAAAATCAAACACCATATGTACCCGCTATTAAATTGGAACTAACTGATGAGCACACGTATGCACAGAGGGAATTGAAATTTAGTGGCAGTCAAGCAAGGGGAGGGAGGGGATGGACAAAAACCTACCTACTGGGTACAATGAACACTATCTGGGTGACGGGCACACTTATAGCTCTGGCTCAAGCATTACAAAAGCGATCAATATAACCAAAACTATTTGTACCCCCATAAAATTTTGCAATTAAATTTTAAAAAGAAACATTAAAAAAAAAAAGAATGCAACCAGGCCTGGCCTAAACCATTTTAAGACAATACTCGTCTCTCAGGTTAATTTAGTTTCCAGAGAATCATTTACAAGTCAGTCTATTCTCCCCATTCATTCATTCTCCCAAGTATCTATTTATCATCTGTAGTAACCATTTATTGACATCCAACCAAATTACATATCTTCCTCATCTACGCCTCCCCTCTAAAATGTGTGCATATAAATTTCTAGACCCCATTCAGAAACTGGGTGATCATTCTGTGATTCTCCTGGTGTGCATAGTAAATAAATTTCTTTCTCTGCCTTATTGTGAGTAGATCTTTCAGCAAACCTGGGAAAGGGGACATTTCTCCTTATCTCTACAAAATTCATTTAAGTATATATGGGGTTTTAAATAGAATTACCCTAGAGCAATAATTTGCAAATGCCTGGGAAACCCAAGGACATGTGTAATTTGAAAGAAAAGGTGGTTTTTTTTTTTGCTTTCCATTAATTACAGAGTAAAAAATAAAGCATTTTTAAAGATACTTTGGATACAGTTGGCCTAGCTCCACAGGGAATTGCTGTTTGGCATTCCACTTGGCTACAGAGGTATGAATGGAAGGAATCCTACAGCCACTAAATCTTATTAGTCTTCATGAGCTCATAATGCAGGGAGTGGTCTGTATTAGCTGCTGATTTGCTTCCAAGTACCATTTGAGGTGTTAATCATAATCTTTAAGTAGTTAGAGCTCTGAGTAATTTAATGATTGTGTGTCTCTGTGCAATCACTGAGATCAGCTATTTTTTCCTCTTCCTTGTAGAATGGTCTGGAGGGCAGGGTGTGTTCCTCCGAGGGCCACTGTCTACAGATGTTCCAGGCTGCTGAGCCTTATTCATCTTGCTGTAAACTAGACTCTTCTGCTAGAATGACTCCCCAGTGTTGATGCTTTAAAAAGATTTCTTTTATTGTTCTTGACACAGCTTTTAGGTATCTTTTAAAGTTGTGCTTTAAATTTTCATTTGCTTCCTCAGAGTAATCCATAAGCTAGTCTATAATTTCATCAACTGCAATAAATCAGCAATGCAAGTTTCACCAGAGTTGTCTGCCCTTATGTCATGCACCAATGCACCAGGGTCTTGTATCTGCATGTCGGCAGCCATAGGAGAGTCTGACTGGGTTATGGCCTCAAAGACTTTATTCCAGCAGAGGCACACAGAAGGAAGGCAGTGAAAATCTCAACCCAGGAATTTACCTTGCAACGTGTTTGTTCTGCGTGGAGCTCTTCGTGGTGGTCTGGCAGAGGCTGAGAAAGCTTCTTTTTGAAAGTTCGTAGTTTCTCCAGAGAATCAGCTATTCCTTTCTCACATTTTTCCCAGTCCTAGCATGGGAAGAGAAAGAAATGGAATAAATTGTTTTGACATAGGAAATTGGGGAAAAGGAAAGAAAAGAAAAGGACTTTCCTTAATTTCCTGAGAAAGGATTAAAGTCCCACGGATGAGCAGTGTGAGGCTGTGCCCACACTCATGGCCAGGGTAGGCAGCACACCGTGGTCATCAGAGCAGGATTCAAAACTGACTCTGTTACCTACTATCTGTGTGGCTTTAAACAGATAATACTCTACGTCTCAATTTCCCTGTGAAAATGGAAATAATATAAACTCTCTACATTTGTTGGAGGACAGAGGAGGAAATGGGTGTCAAAGCGCCAAGCACAAAGCCCAGAATATTCTGGGTATGCAAAAATGTTATCTGAATCCCAACCTGTGTGTAGAGGCAGGAGTGTAAGCTCAGTACTTTGCCTCCTTCCTAACCCTACCCGTAATTGCACCCAATGTTACCCTCTCCTGAATGCACTATGAGGGTATAAAGGAGGACATGGAATCTCATTCAGAATGAAAATATGTTTGGGTAAGAGGAGAGAGATGGAACATAAAAATAATATAGCCTTGACTCTGATTTAATTAGACTTATAAATAGTATTAGCCACATAGATTTGAATTGTTATAGACGGGGAAACACACTACAAAAGGCATAGCATTTGACTGGCCTTATGTGGTTAGTATTGAAACATATGTAGCAAAGGATTAAACGTATAATACATGAAAACCCATACAAACCAAAAGGTGGAAGAAGAGAGAATGCACAATTTAAGAAATGTATCTCTACTATGTGAAGTGGTGATAAGTGCTCCAGAGAGAACACAGCTGGGTAGGTGGGTGGTAGAGAGTGGCTGTACACAATGCAGTAGATCTCTGTGTACCGATAAAAGAAAACACACATTCAGTGGTTATGTTTTGAAAGGTTACACACCAAACTGGTAGCAACGGTGACCTGGAGAAGATAGTAGAATTTGGATGATAGTGCAAGGCAAATTTCATTTTTTACTCCACATACTTCAGTTATTTCTGAATTTTTTTATTAGACACATATTTTTTTGGTAATTAAAAAAAAAGCAAAAGAAAAAAATGAAAGGAATCATAGCAGAGATTGATTCTTCATAGCACCTTAGCTACACATTAACTCCTATTAGTGTCTCAGTGCCAATGAAAATTAAATTCAACTAAACAAGTCTCATTCTTTTTGTCTAAGACCATCCATTTATCCTATTGTCATTTCCTGGCCGCCGCCGCCGCTGCCTCCTCCTCCTCCTCCTCCTCCTTCTCCTCTTCAGGGCCCCTCTGAAGTGGCCATTCCCCACACCATGAGTTACTGAGTTCCACAGAAAGACAACTAGAATCACAGCTGGGATCACTTTTACCAGGTAGCATGGTGTCAAAGCACCTTGTATCTTTCCTCACGATCTCTCTTTCATCATCACCAATATTTTCTTGTCTGGATTCTTTCTGTCTTCTCTTCTGACACCTTATTTTCAGCATAACAATGCATAGGTACTACTACCACAATTGTCTCTGGAAACAGTGCTGACTTACGTACCTCCTCACAACATGTCTTTTGGTTTCTAATAAACTCAGAGTTTGGCCCAGGAGTCTCTTTTCTCTTTAAAATTCCCTCATGGAACTTCCTATAGTATGTGACTACATTGCCCTCTTCCAAAGTACCAGGAGAAAAAAGAAAGAAAGAAAAAAAAAAAAAACACCTCAAAAAACTTTTGTCTATCATGGACAGACATGATAAAATATCTTTATGACTATACCTCATCAACGCTAAGCAGAGTAAGGGTAGACAAAAAGATCCTCTTTCTGTTTAAATTGAACAATATTCTTAATAGAATCAATACACATTGTGAAATATGTCAACATGCATTCCATAAATGTTAATGATCTAAAACAGATAGAGTCAACTTATTTTTCACAACAAAATTAAAAGATGACAGTGCAGAAGGATGAATGTGCATGGCATGGAATGATAATGGCTGTATTTTGACATATTTATTAAGAGCATTAAGAGCTAAAAATAGGTGAGTATTATAGTTATAGTGAAAAGATATAATAAATTGAGGCTATATAAACATTAAAATTTAGATTCATAAATTTCTTCTCAGACCAACAGGATGGTAGTGTATGATTCAAAATGAAATTAACTTTAACAAGAGAAGAATAAGGATTCTTCTTTCCAAGGATGACTTAGATTCTGGAACTATAACCAAGTCTTTTTACTACATGAATTATAAGGAAATAACTTAATGTCATGGCCTGCAAACATCTATCAAAGTGGTTGTTTTATACACCAACAAACAGACAGATAAGAAAAGCAATGCAGTGACTCAGACATCATGCCTTATTAAGTCTTGGGAGTATCTCCAAAAATCACATTACAAATTTAAAAAAAATATATGATTAACTTGTTCTCTACAGAATGAATTACAATGTTTAAAATTCTTTCCTAAAAGCAAAAGGAAGAAAAAAGAATCAGGCATATTATATTACTGATGTATTGTGCTGTGTGAAAATAATAGTTCTTTATTTCAGTGGCATTTGTGATTGACTGCTTCTTACACTGAAGGTAATATATTATTAAATAAAATTGAGTAGAATAAACACAATGGGTGTGCATATTTAAGCATTAAAAATAACCCAAATCCCTTCCATTAATTTTATTTATAGTTATTACCTTTTATCCAAACATGCGACAGGCCAAATTTAATAATCTCATTTAAGTGCTAGTGATTATTAATATATATAAGACCTTAGCATTTAGCTGTTTTCACTTTTTAAAATGATAATAAACTCAACCATGATCATTACTATCATTTATTTAGTACTAACTATATGCCAGATATGGTACCACATGATTTATCTTCTTTATTTCATTAAATCCTCACAATGGCCACAGGAAGGAGGTGAAATTATACCCACTCTATAGATGTGTAAATTGAGGCTTAGGTAGTTGAATTAACCAGGTCACTTGGTTTACTATGTTTTTAACTTGGGTTTATTTGAATGTAGAGCCCATGTCCTTTTTACACTGTTGATTTAATTATGTATTATACATGGAATTGGAGAGTGAGGGATAAAAGCATATTGTGGGAGGCCTGGATAAATCTACATTTTCCAAATTAACTGTGTGATCAGTATGCAATCTGTATCCAACGAAGGGCTTAATATACCTCCTGGAGATTTTATCTCAAAGCAACTGGCTTGGATAAGCTAAGCTAAATCAAGAGTATCTTTTTGGGCTGGTTTTTCCCCTCCTATAAAAGAAGAGATATCAATCTTGAAAAGCACTTTAGAGTCTTAGATTAGGGAGCAGAATCTACTCTTTGAATTTTTGTATGGATTTATAAAGTCATGCATGGCTAAGGCTTCACACTGGCCATTAATCAGAATTCATAGTTTGGGCAGTGTTATTAGACTTTAAATTACTTCGTTGGAGGATTTTCTGGAAAGATGAAATGCTGAAAATTGAGAAACTTTTCCAGTTCATGCAAGACAGGACAAAGTCTTAAATAAAACACAGAGGATCAAAATACTGCAAGGTATTACTTAATGATCTTTGCATTATTTGATCTTCAGGATAACAATGAGAGGGAAAGCAGTGTAAGTATTAAAAGGTGTTTTTTTTTTTTTTTAGTGGAACTTACTTTCAACAAGAAGGCCAGTTTTTTCTTCTGTTCCTCCAGACTCACGCTGGCTGATTTCCATTTCTCTTGGATTTCGGTGAGTTCCACCTGCAAGGCGGCCTCGGCTCCACTGTCCGCGGAGAGCAGGAGCTGCTTGCAGGCCTCCACCGTTAGGATGTAACTGCCTTGCTGTCGCAGGAACACTTTTTCTTTGAACTGAAAGGAACCACAGCTTGTTACTTTCTCCTTCTTTTCTTCATCATTTCCTAACACAAGTACTTTTTTTTTTTTGAAACAGAGTCTCACTCTGTTGCCCAGGCTAGAGTGCCGTGGCGTCAGCCTAACTCACAGCAACCTCAAACTCCTGGGCTCAAGCAATCCTCCTGCCTCAGCCTCCCTCCCGAGTAGCTGGGGACTCCAGGCATGCACCTCCATATCCAGCTAATTTTTTTTCTATATATTTTTAGCTGGCCAATTAATTTCTTTCTATTTTTAAGTAGAGACAGGGGTCTCCCTCTTGCTCAGGCTGGTTTTGAACTCCTGACCTTGAGTGATCCTCCTGCCTCGGCCTCCCAGAGTGCTAGGCACGAGTATTTTTAAGTGGCCCTAAATTTTAGCATACATAGCCTGTCCTCTTTCTTTCAGCAAGCATTTACTGGGGTGATACTTTGTACATGAATGCACCGATATATAAAGGAATGAAAGTGCAATGGGGAGAGGCTTAGTTTCTGCCCCAGGTGAAACACCGTCAGGATGTGGTGATATGGAAATTCCTTTATGAGACTGACAGCCGGGCTACAGAGGGACACTGGACCCAGCAAGATCAGAGAGGCTTCTTCAAAGTTGTAAAGGCCGAATGAGTCCTGAAAGACATATGAACTCACCCAGATTAAGAAAGACCTGGAGTGGGGAGATAAGTGTGACCAGGAGTGGAGGAGAGGATGTTTCCCACAGAGAAATCAGGATGGACAAATAAATTCACTATACAAAAGCAATATGATGACTTCAGGAAGCTGGACATAGTTTTCAGTGGCTGGAGTATGAAGTGCATGCAAGAGAGGGGTAGAAGATGAGGCAAGACCATGTCTTGCATGGGAATTTGGGTTTGGTAATCAAAGCAACTGAGATTCATAGAAGAATATTAAGCAGGGAAGTGATGTGTCTGGATTAAAATTTTCATAAAAGCACTCAGCATCAGAGTGAAGGTAGAATGGAAGAAAGACATCTGTTGGATCTACTGAGACAGGTTAGGAAGCTATTGTCCATCGAGGCAACAGATCATGAGAACCCAGCAGTGGCAGCAGGAAGGGGCAGATTAGATATGGGGGGGAGGTGAGAGACAAGCAAGAGTACAGCTCTTAAATGACTCTAGCATTCCTACACTGATAGTCTGGTGATGACACTTCCCCAAATTGGGTACATGGAAAAAGAGAGAATGGCTGGTCCAGAGATCACAGGCTCTGTTGAGACCCATGAGTACATTACACCTGCAGAGCACATAGATACAAATCCAAATGTTGGTTGGATACATGAGTTCAAAGCTCAGCAGGTGAATGTGACCGGAAGATACAAATTTTCCCCTTGTCTGCTTGTAGGGGGTAGCTGAAACCATGTTGGTGGATGAGGTCTCTCAGAGAAATCTGGAGGAGAAAGGAACCAGAGAACAGTGTCTTTAAAGGACGAGAAGCCCGTGAGACACACTGAGAAGGACTGGCTAGAGTGCTAGGAGGTATCTGTCTAGGATGCTGGTGCAAGTAAAGGGCTCCCTGGGAAGGGACAAAGCTCAAACTGGACAGGGCCTTTTACCTTCTCTGGTACTTAAGTTGCATGTTTAAATTGCTCATGAGTAAAATATGCATCATCAACACAAAGTTTCCCTTTCCTCGCCGTTGCCTTTCTATCCGTGCTGGGACTCAGTGAGCGGCTGCAGGCCTTGCTTCTGTGGAGGCTTGCTGTCATTTCCTCACTAAACGAGGGCTTTGCAACACAATCATTTTGTATGTCCCTGTTGACATTTGAGAACAATGATTGTCCCAATTCCAGCGTCACTCCAGAGTCCTCCTGAGGAACCAAGGCTAAGGTAAAGTGTGCAGCGGAAATGCATAAGAGGATTGAGAACAGTGTGTTTGCACCTTACCTGCACTTCATCAAAGAGAGTCCTTGCTTGTTGCAGTGGTATAGGGACGCTTCCGAGACCACTCACGGGGAGGTAGGACACTTCAACAAGCCATTTACGAAGCTTTTCTGCCATCTCCCTGTAGCGTTGCCACTGGCGAGTCTGGCTGTCGATGATGCCCCGCCTCTGCTGGGCCCTGCGAATTACTCCCTGCCACTGATTACTGAGGAGCGTCAGTTTCAGGTTGAACTCATCCCTGGCGAAGAAATAATTGCGTGGTGAAAAACGCCGACATCTTGGGTGCAGTTACATAATCAGCCAATCTGTCCACTTCGCATGACCTTAAGCTCTGAGAAGGGGCCCAAGGCAGAGGTATCCAAATATCGCTATGCGATCTATTACTGGGTCTACTAGAAGTAACTTTAAAAATTAAACTACTAGTGTTTGCAAATGGTGAGAGTTACCATGTCTCAGCCCAGTTTGAAGGAAAATTTGCGATCAGGTCATTGTCATTTTATTCCCTCCCTGAGAGCATGGCAGGAGAGGAGTAGAAAACCACAGGTGCACTGGGAATAGCTCCAAAGCCTGAGCACCTCATAGCAACATGTACAGCACAGGACAAGGCCTCGTGGGCCCCCTGCGGGAAAGTACGTGGAGCAAAGCTTATGCAGAACTCCTGTCTTCAGCCAAAATTCATACGCCTCTTTGGCTGGACAAAACTGTGTTACCCTAGCTAGAATCATAAACCATTTCGATTAAACTAGGCAGTTTAAAACCATTTTTAAAAACTGCATGCTTGAAGCTCTTACTTGAGAGGGGAGGGGGACATGGGCAATATAAGTAACCTTAACACTTGTACCCCCATAATACGCTAAAATAAAAAAATAAATTAAAAAAAAAACCCCTGCACTCCATAAACTCTCTCAGTATTCCCTCACAATAAACAGCCCTAATCTTTAGAAAATTATTCCACACATTAATCTAAAGCATCCCTTTTACATTTTAGGCTGACTTCACTTTGTTATGAGGAAAATGAAAACTAGTTATCATGGTCTGTTTAAATGCCATTCATGTATTTGGAAATATTAAATGTTACCTAAGCTTTCTCAATTGTAGGCTAAAGAATCTCAGATCTTCTAACGTGTTCTCCCTACTTCTGTGTTTTTTTTACCTTTTAAAAAATATTGGTAGTCCTTTATTAAGTTTTATTTTAATATTCAACTTGTGGCTCCAGAACTGGTTAGTAACGGTTTGTCCAGCATCAAATAGAATGAGTTTCTTTGTTGATTATAGTGTCGTTTGCATGTCTTCGTATTAAAGTGTAACATTGCTTGTGTTTTGTCTATGACGTTCATTTTGCTTTTCTTCCTCAGACATCCTATCCTCTTGAGGACAGCACCAAATCTGAATGGGACTTACTGATGCAGACTATTCTTGACTGTATCCTAGTATCTAGAGCCACTATCAATTTTGATTTTATAGCCAAATGTGCTATGAGCCCCAAAACTTATTTAATAATTCAACTTAAACAAAAGATGAATAATACATAGTCACACTCGACAAAGCCAGTATTAAAAACAAAAAGTACTGAATAAAGCCCCAGCAAAAATTTTCTTATGCTGTCTCATTTTAAAAATAGATCCATATGATAACGAGTTAGGCTTTGGTGATGACTTTCAGTTTTGAAAGGATATTCTGATCTATCTATCTATATGTACAGATGAATAATCAGTCGCAGTAGAATTGGGTTCATGATAACTTCCCTAAAAGCTGTAAGTATCTGTCAACTCAGAAAATGTGTACCTTCAGGACTTGAGAATATTCTATTACATGAAAAGGCCCTTGCATGCTGCTATGTGTACCAGGTAACTATCCAAGACCTCTTCGGAGCCCTCACCCTCACTCTGCACAACCCAGCTGTCCTGAACCACCTGCCAGCATGAGCAACCACTTAAAACATGACATTGTTCCCAGTGCTAAAACTCATCAATTAACATTTAGAGCACAACAGATTTGTAAGCTGGGGCTTTCCTATTGTTAGCAGGTTCTAATCTGATTTTTTCACTTGCAAGTTTCCAAATTTTTTATCCTTAGGTCCAGCTTACCATTTTGATCTTGTTGGTGTTTTTTTCCTAAATGTTAGCATTTAAAATTTAATAGATGTTGGCTTGCATGTGAATATTAAATTTTATTTTACTTAATGACTTGAACGTTTATAATATTGTTATAGAGTTGGCTAAGAGATGACAAAGCAAAAGATAAAAGTTAATTGCATTTGAATTTGTTTTATTCTCAAGAAAGCTCACATTCAAGTTTGGCTTACTTAGAATAGAATAAATATGACAACACATTTTGTTGTTCCAAGCTTAACCATGAAAATCTTTCATGTGGTTCCAAAGAAATATCCACTTAAACCTGAAATGCCTTCTAAAACATTAAAAACAAAACTCTCAATAAAAATTATTTATTTTTTAATTTTTTGAAAAAATACTAATAAATATAATCACAACTACTGGTGCTAAATATGGGAAAGATGTGCAAATGTAACAAAACAAATGAAATTCATACTCCAAATATCACCATGAAAAGTAGAAGGGATAAAATAAATATTGTTCCTAAGACATGTAAATATAGTATAAAATTGTCAATTTACAGCGATATTTTTAAACCTCTGCATTTTTAATAAAGAGATAATTTGCTATGTAAATGAAAAGGAAGAAGCATTCCAGGCTGCATTTAATCTGATTTAAGGCACCAAACCATTTTCAAACGAATTATCACGGTATGAAAAAGCTGCCCAGTATAAGCCAGTACTGACTGAAAACCAGACACTGGAGCTCAAGCCCTGAATGTGCTGCTACTTAGTTTCAATAACCTTGGTCAAATCAGTTCACATTTGTGGGTCTCACTCAGGTTTTTCATCTGTAAGTAAGAGAGATGGACCAGTGATCGCTATGCTCCTTTTACAAATAAAATTTCTGTAATTGTATAAGAATATCAGAAGCATGTTTACAAACCATTGCTACGACACTGATACAATTCATTCTGATCTATTCATTAATTCCAGTCCCTACAAATGACTAGCTGAGGTTGGCTACGTGATTTCCAATTACTCTATGTCCTTCATATAACATAACAGCAGTTCTCTAAAAAGGTACAATACTCAGTAATTTCAGAGATTCAGACAAACCTCTCTCCTCCTATTACTGAGGCTTCACTGTCATACAATTGCCTTAGGAAGATTGGATATATGCCCTCTAATCTGCTCATTAAAAAGAAAATGACTAATTTGCGGAAACTGCCTTCATAATAATTTACCAGAGATCCTACCTGTCATCAACTTGACCTTGTTCTAGAAGACGCTGCCCATCAATAATGATCGAGTGCAAAATCTGCTGACGACTGAACATCTCGGCTTGAAACAACTATAATTTAAAGAAGAGCATACTTTAGAGTTCCTAATTTTAGTGACCAGTTCTCTGATAACTTTCTAAATATTCTGGTTTTAGCAAGACTATGAAAAGTATCGCCAGCTGAATCAGGAAATGTGTGAAATCCTGTAGTGCAGGAATGATTTATTTTTAAATCATCAATTCAGATATGCTTAAAGTTTAGTTTTTGGTTTACTAAAACTAAATGACTAAAAGCAGAATTATGTTTCCCTTCATTCTTTTAAAAGCACCTAATATAATAAATTAATGCACAATTTGTTTTCTGGCTTATTCTGTGTACAAAATGTGGTTTATTTTCAGACACAGAGAGTAGCTTTGGATCTTTGAAAAAGTTGAAGAAAAAAAAAGCCCCTTCTTTTTCTGATCTTTCTGAATTCACTGTTTTTCAATAGAAGGTCTTTCAAATTATTTCTACTGTTTTTTAAATAGCTTTATTGAGATATAATTCACATGCCACATAATTCACTCATTAAAATGCCCAATTTAATAACTTTTATTATATTTAAAGGCTTGTACAACCATGACCACAATCAATTTTAGAACATTTTCATCATCCCAAAAAGAAACTCCACCTCATTAGCAATCATTCCCATTTTCTCCCAATCCTCCATCCTTAAGCAGCCACTGATCTATTTCACATCTCTAAGGACTGCCTATTCTGGACATTTCATATAAATGGAATTATGCAACGTGTGGACTTTTGTGACTGGTTTCTTTCCTTTAGCATAATGTTTTCAAGGTTCATCCATGTTGCACCATGTACCAGGACTTTATTTCTTTTTATTGCTGAGTACCATTCTACTATATGAATATATCACATTTTACTCATCCATTCATCAAGTTTCCACTTTTTGGCTATTGTGAATACTGCCACTATGAACAATATACTTGTGTAAGTTTTTGTGTGGACACATATTTTCATTTATCTTGGGTATAGAGTAGAATTACTGGGCTACATAGTGACTCTATGCTTAACATTTTGAGGAACTGCCAAACTGTTTTCCAAAGCAGCTTCACCATTTTACATTCCCAACAGCAATATAAGAGGGTTTGAATCTCTCTACACCCTCACCAACACTGTTATCTTTTTCATTGTAGCCAACGTAGTGGGTATGAAATAGTATCTATCTCATTGTAGTTTTATACCACTGTCTATTATTTCACCATCTGTCAACTCAATAAAACTGGATTTAAAAATACCTTATACATCTTTAAATTCTCTATTTTTAAAATTAGTTTTATTTTTTAAGCTATGAATTACACTTTTCTGTGCCCTTAGGTAAGTCCCATCTCTCCATGTGCATAAACACACAAAACAACTTACTTACACCAGCAAATAGCAAAATAGGGACTAATTGTTAGCAAATTAATTAATTTGCTTTTTGCATATATTAATAGTTCTCTCTCTGCATTTCTTGAGAAATAATTATAATGCAATTTGATTAAGAGGTACACTTGGAGATCACTGATAGCTTAATTTGCTCTTATAAAATTCATATATTTTTTTAAAGAACACACAAGTTTACAATTTTTAAAGACTTTTGATCAAAATATAGTCTCCTAAACAATTAGCCTTGGTAATATTAATGCTGTTGTCTCCAACCCAATTTGTAAATTGTGTAACTCTTTCCACCCAGCCCCCCAGCAAGTAGTCTTTAGCCACAAGTCTGGCATTATACATTGCAAGGTACTGAAGCCTGACACACCCTTATACTCACTATGAAGCAGAGAAATGGGCAACATTTTTGTAACTAAGATATCAAAACCCCAACCTTAAAAGAGAAGGCAAAAGTGACACATGCATTTGAGTAGACTCAGTACAAGGTACAGGATTTTAATTCTCCCACATGGCATTTTGTAACATCTTTCAAAGGTCTAAAACTTTTTTATTATCCAAAAATCCACTGGCATAACCTACCTCGTGAGCTCTCTGCTGTTCCAAAAGATGCTGATAATTGCCTGAAATCTCTACTGCTAACTTTTGTTCCGTTTGAACCAGGAATTCCATCCATGTCTCACATTTTTCCAGGAAAGTCTGATGTTGTAGCAAAAATGACTGCAACTTACTGACAGAATGAAGGACAAGGAATAATGATTACTTTGCTCCTTATTTTTATATTTCTAGCATAGAAAACTATATTAAATAATCTCTGCCTCTGATTCTAATTGGACCATCACAAAGCTTTCATGTTAGGAGGTAAACTTAAAAAAAAAAAAAAGAAATTTTTTTTAAAAAGTGAAAGTTTAAAATGTTAAATGTTTCAAAATGATCAAAATTATGCATGTACCTTTAATATATTCTTACTTAAAAGAGTTTTCTTATTAAAGACTATTTAGTACATCAAACATAGAAAACTACTTTACAATTTAAATTTCCTACTTTTAGTGCAAATTTTGTCAGTATTATTGGAAAGACCAGAATTTATATGTATACACAAATCATGAACTTATATTCTATTATACATTGGTGCTATGGTTTGAATATATCCCCTCCAAAAATCAGGTGCTGAAACTCAATGGCCAATGTGATAATATGAAGAGGTGGGGACTTTAAGAGGTGATTAGGCCATGAGGGCTCCTCCCTCGTGAATGGGATCAGGGCCCTTATAAAAGAAGATTCACATGGTGTTCAGCACCCTTGCACCTTCCTCCTCAGTGTGAGGATATTGCATCACTCCCCTCCCAAGGATACAGCAAGAAGGGGCCACTTTAAAAGCAGAGAGCAGCTCCTACCAAACAACTGAACCTACTAGCACCTTGATCTTGGACTTCTTAGCCTCCAGAACCACGAGGAAATCAAATCTATTCTTCATAAATTACCCAGTCTGTGGTATTTTGTTATAGCAGCACAAGACGGAACAAGATAATTGGAGTGACCAGAACATCTGTTGTTTACTCTACCTGAATCTTTCTGTAGTCTGAGAGGAGATCAGAGACCAATGGCGGTTCAGATTCTGCATCCTTTTGATTTCCTTATCATTCAGAGGTAACCTATATCCAAGCTCATTTAGGCGGTCTAAATCTGGAGCCATGCTGCTGAATTTTAACATCTGTCCCTAAAAGCAAGATTTAAGAGCAAGTTTAGCACCATGGTCAAAAATAGGCATAGCTTTTTCATAGTGCACAGTGAACTTCTGATTTCAGGAAGAAGCTGGTCTTTGGTCCGCTATGTGTTTCTGGAATCTTACTTGCAATCTCCAGAGGTACAGATAGAAAAAAGCTGAATCTCCTATTCAGATTGAACTGTTGCTTCTGTTATTGCTACTACAGCTACTCATTACCTTTACTGAATACTTAGTAGGCTATGTGCATTACCTTATTTACCTATTTACTCATAGATAATTCTTGATAGAACTGAGAAACGATGAAAATTATGCTGACGAGTAGAAAGGCTTTTTTCTTACCCTTTGTATTTAATTTATTCATACTAATCTGATCCTTTATTATTCAATAATGATAATAGCTGTAACAGTGATAGCTAACATTAATTGAGCACTTACTATGAATTAAATGTTATTAAAAGCTTTATAAGCAATAACACATTCCATCCTCAAAACAATCCCATGAGGCAAGTACCACTGCTATTCCCTCTTTACAAATGAAGAAAAAGCGGCACAGAGACTAAGAAAAGTGCTCAAGGCCACCCAGTTAGTAAGTGATACAGCTGGGTAAACAAAAGGTGTTGGGATCTTGCTAAACAGAATTAAGTCTCACATGAGCTATGAAATGACCACACATTGCCCTACGACCCTAACCTCAAAGTTGGTAAGAATCAACCAAAAGAGCAGTCTGCTTTCAGGTCTCTTGCCTCTCTTCAAACACAGGAAATACTGCCTGTTCTGGTCTTCCACCTGCATTCCTTTCTCTTTTTTTTTTTTTAAGACAGGGTTTTGCTGTGTCATCCAGGCTACAGTGCAGTGGCGTCATCATAGTTCACGGCAACCTCAAACTCCTAGGCTCAAGCGATCCTCCTGTCTCAGCCTTCTGAGTAGCTGGGACTACAGACACACACCACCACACTCAGCTAATTTTTCTTATTTAGAGATAGGGTCTCACTATGTTGCCCAGGCTGCTTTCAAGCTCCTGGCCTCAAGAGATCCTTCTGCCTCCCAATGTGTATGATCCACTGTGCCAGGACCCATGGGCATTCTTATCTCCATCTAGGAAATTGGTTACAGAAAGGAGAAAATGTCAGCACATCTTTGGCCATGTGTGTGCTTTCTCTTTGTATGATTTGCAAAAGGTTCATGATTCCTGAAGAAAGAACAAATCTTGCCAAGTATTAAAGCCAAAGCATAACTATTAAATGACAGAATTTCCACAGGTATACATCAGCACTGAACAAAACTGACATGACACAGTCCTTCCCTTCATGGCACTTAGGAGGAGCAAGACGCTATTGCAACAGTAGAGGGCACAAAGTAATCACCTACTCACATGAAAGTAATTAAATGGCATGACGGAGCATGGAAGGAAAAGACGTGTGTGTTATGAAAGCATGCCACTGGGAGCCAAGCCCAGGATGAGCAGTGGAGGCTTTCATTGAAGAAAATGACCAGGATGTTACTCTTTTTGGTGGAAAGGAAGTTAGTGGGGACAAGAAAAGAATCCGGGAAGGGGAAACATCACATGCACAGACACCGGGAAGCTCCATGGGTCATGAGTGGCTGGAGGGGAAGATGGGCGGTGGTGCAGGATGAGACATTCAGGACAGGTGGCAGCCAGGTATGCTGGCCCTGATAAGCACATAGTCTTTAGCCTAAGAGTAGTGTGAACCACTGAGGGTTTTAACCAGAGGAATTATATGAAAAAACTTGCATGTCTATTATATTATTTTATTTACTTGACTGAATGTTTAAAATCATTCATAATTAAGTAAAACCATTTTTTCAAAAAAAATTATTAATATTATTTTTGATTGACAAATCATGATTTGGGGTACATTTCTGTGTACAATGTGATGTTTCTCTCTCTCTCTCTCTATATATATATATACGCACACAATGTGGAACAATTGAATCAAACTAATTGACTAAAATTCTTTTTTCTAAATGACGATCATTCTGGCAGCTGGGGGGAGTGTAGGCTGAGTAGGGGGGTGGATGCAGATCTGTGTGAGGCCACTGCCATGGCCCAGAGGGATTGGTGTAGCTGGAAGTAGGAGTTGGGGATGTTAGAGGTGGAGATGGGAGACTCACAAGCTATTAAGGAGCTGGTGGACTGGGACGGGGAAGGACTGGAGGTAGGAAGGAGTGAGGAGGTTTCCTAGGACTGGTCCTGGCCAGGTGCCCATTATGGGCTGGGAAATCAGGCCATGCTCGTTGCCAACAGAGTTCACCCCTCGTAGGACACCAAGAAGGCAGAACCCATGAGCGTCTCACAGGGAGCTTAGAATGAAGAGTAAGTCTATGTTAGTTTTGAGTTTTCCTTAAGATTCTCAGGACAGAAAATAAAAGATCTGGAAATCAGATCTAAACACACTTGCCTTAAGTTCCTCCATCCTTTCCTGGATGGTGGACAGGTCGGACGAGTGGCTGGGGTCCTGCCCCTGCAGGAGGTCTTCAGCTTCCACTATCCAGGCCTCCAAAGCTTCCAAACTCTTGGCAAAGGTTTCATAGTCGAGAACTCCCGCCTGGTTTTCACAGAAGAAATTGGTATTTTAGTTAAAAATATTGGTATTTTAATGAAATCTAGCCAGAGGGCAAGTAGATATTGAAATTATTTTTCATATTCTTGTATCAAATTGTCATTCTCAAGATGCCATTCCTAAAACAGCAAGGCTATAATGATTTAAATTTTCTTGTCTTGATGTAATTTTTCTAAAAAGTAGAATTACTTCTCTAAGTACCATTAGTCATAACCTATTAACGTTATTCTTTAAATACATTATTAAACAACATGTCTGAAAAAATGTTGCGATTCTTGTAAAATCCTGTCATATAAACATGAATAGTAATTAGGAGCTTGCCCCCTCAAGTAATTGTATAATTACTTTTTAGAGAACAATGTAAAATTCCCACCCTCCTTTGTCTTAAGTGAAACTTCCAAGATTGTTTATTTTTTAATTCTTCTCTTGAAGGAGGCATTGCCTCCAGGATGAAAAATTATTTTCCTGTGTTTATGCCCAGATGTTACAGAATATTCAATTTGTAACACACAGTGAACATAAGCTCTGTACCTGTAACATAGTCTGCTGTTTGCAAAGAGCCTGCTCCAGGGCACATAAGTGTTGACTCAAAGAGAGTTGATCAGATTGAATGGCCGATGCAGCTGAAGCATCCACTTGTTGCTTGAGTTGCTCTCCCAGCTCATGAAGAACAAAGAGGGAATCCTTAACTGTCCCCAATCCTTTGAGGAGGTCCTATGGAAGGTGAAAATATGCCCGTAGTGAAACAACATGTCAAGTGTACTCCTTATCAAAAACAACAATCGGCAAAAAGCCACACATTTAGAAACATGCAATTCTTATTTATCATATGATTATACTAAATAGCCTTCACTTGCAGAAAATGATCAAGAATTGAATCCAACTTTTAAAAATATCATGTGTTTTAATATCTTAAATATATATTATATACATATAAATATAGATATTTAATTACTCCTCTGTTAATAAAACCCACATAGGTTCATGATAGGACATTAGGGAAATGCAGGAAAATAAACATAAACGAGAAACAAAAAAACATGATCCACGAGAGCCAATAAATGGAAACATTTTGGCAGATTTGTCTTGCTTCTTTATGTAACTGATATCAAATTGAAAACATAATGCTATATTGTACCTTTTTCTACTTATTATTATTATACCCACCAGGAGTTGACCCACCAGTTTGTCAATGGTATCTTCTCTATGTGTGGTCACCTTATTGTAGTTACAGCCACTCTACTATCTCAGTGGGATATGGAACCCAGTGATGATTTTGGTGAGCAGAGGTAAGATTAGTCTGTATCTCCATTCTTTCCCATGGCTTCTGTTGATTCCACTTTTTGTGGAACCTTCTTATATGCTCAAAAATATAAGCCAGTGGAAATACCCCATGTCTGATTTATAGACACTATTAAGAGATAATAAGTGGCTGTTTCTTCTATCTGTTGCTGGTGCCCCATCCAGACATGGTGGGGACTACAGAGCCTGCCATCCCTACACAGTGACTACTGTGAGAGAAAGAAAAGCAAAGAGCATCTGGGTGTGGTGGCTCATGCCTATAATCCTAGCGCTTTGGGAGGCCAAGACAGGAGCATCCTTGAGGCTAAGAGTTCAAGACTAGCCTGAGTGACACAGTGAGACCCTGTCTCTATCAAAAAATACTAAAATAAGTTGGGTGTGGTAGGATGCACCCATAGTCCTAGCTACTTGGGAGGCTGAGGCAGAGGATGACTTGAGCTCAGAAGCTGGAGGTTGTAGTGAGCTATGATGACACCACTGCGCCCTACTAGCCAAGGCAACAGAGTGAGACCTTGTCTCAAAAAAAGGGGGGCGGCTCTTTAACCCTTAACACTTGATGTAGACAACAGACAAGGTGTATTTCAGTGTAGTAGTATTGAAAATAACAGCTCTTGCAAGGATAAACTGTATGGACAAAAAAAAGCATTGTGCTATTTTTATTACAAATATTCACCTTTAACTTCAAGGTGATTATTCAGGTTGAAAGTATTAGAATAGATTAAACTTTTATTTATGTATTTTTTTAGCTTATCTAATTCTAAATAAACTAATTGGGGGAAAAAAATCCTTGTAGCAAGTTCATGAAAATAAAGACAAATAAGGACAAATAGAAAGAGTCATGTAATGGATGAAACAAGAGAAGAGCTATTCTTACAAGCCTTAAGTAGGTTATTGGCAGCTCTAGTGAAAAAGAGAATTATTAAAAAGCTATTAAAAAGAAGTAAATTTGGAGAGAAAGACTTCTTTCTACCATTGAAATCTTAGATGAAACTAATGTGTAGATGTTTACCTAGGAGGTAATGAATCTAAATGGATGATATCTTTAATAGTAGATTTTTTTTAAAGAAATGACATTATTCCCACATGGTCATTTCTTACAATGACCATCTCAGTAAAAATAGAGACCCTAAATCTCTCACATGGATTATATTCCATTAGGGAAAAATGGGAAAACAACTTATCTTTTAAAATGAAACAATGGGAGGTGACCTCTTAATCAGATGCATGTGCAACTGTGTTCTGAAAGTCAGGCAGGCTCATAGATACTAAGACAATTATTTCGTAGAAAATTGTCTCACACACTGCGACATACCAAAAGCTTACCCACATCAGCACTAGCCTTGCTAAACCTGGGAAGTCTAAGAATTGCAAGCTGGGGAAACACCATAGCTCCTGAACATACGTTGCAATCTTGAATCCACGTCGCAACTTCATCATCAGGGATGTCTTTGTTAGTGGCTGCCTTCAACAGCTCGTTGGTTCGATCCTCCTGCTGCTGCACTGTCGAAGCACACTGTTTGGAGTAGTCCTTGTATCTTTGCCAGAGCTGAAGTAGAGCCTTGCTGGAGTGCAGCTGCTCAGCAATCTCTTCCAACAAGTTATTCCATCTGGAAATAATAGCCAACACTCATGGGCAGATTACCACCTCTCATCAAATGCTGGTATTTACTATTTTATTTTCCATGATCCTGGTTCATGTGAATATGTGCATAATACGAGGATGACTCATTTCTATTTAACATAACAAAAAGGAACACTTCATATTTCAAGAGGAGTAGATAATGAAGATGAGGGCAAGCTGGGTATACAGCAGTTCTAATTCTTTGTAAATATCTCCACTGCATTTATCATTAACTCCATTTTGTAAAAACCAAAACTTTAATGGAAAAGAATCGATAAGGCTCAAATTCAAAATGTCAAAAAGCTTTAATGATATCATTATTTATAATAAGGCTGTGATATAAATAATGCATAAAGGTAGCATACTCTATACCTCATATTGACTTCTTTCAGTGTATTGGTAAGAGTTTCTGTCACAGGTGGGTGACACTCTTTTAATAGCTGGTCGGTGACAGACCCAAATTTCTCCAAGCTCTTTTCCTGTTTTTCTAGATCATCTTGAAGACTCTGCCCAAAGAAAAATGTCCCACAGATGACATGACAGGATGTAAATTCTAATAAGCAGATTTAAAAGTGATTTATGTATGTTTTCATAAATCCATACACAAAAATATATAAACCATGCATGACTTTGCTCCAATGCTTTATAATCTTTCTTAGTCATTTCTTTTCCTTTTTATGATTTTGTTCTTATGTCTGTGAGAAGAGATTCTTAGAAATTAAGCCTTCTTATACTGGCATCTGGATTCTGCTGGAAGAGTTCACACAGGGGGTGCCCTTGTCTATGGTCTGGTAGGAAGTTATGGTGGTGGCGTATATAATGCACCACCTGTCATAGTGTGGTTCCCTTTGACGCCCAAAGCCAAGGCCAGATTTTTATTTTATCATATACCTAGAGTGGTTCTACCACAAACTCCTGATGATTAAAGACTCCAAGAAAGCATAGCTTTCCCAAATTCTCTCTCTGGGTGTTCTTCCCTGCAAAGATTTAAAAGAATTTTTTAAAATTTAATGTTATTTTTAATTGACAAATAATTCTGTGCACTTATAGGGTACAATGTGATGTTTTGATATATGTTTACATTGTGGGATGAATAAGTTAAGCTAATTAACATATCACCTCTTGTACCTACCAATTTTTGTCTAAAAATGTCAAACTCATACAAGTAGAGAGGAGCATGGTAGAAACCAGAGGCTGGGAGGGGGGCATGGCTGCGGAAAAGGAAGATGTTGATCAAAAGGTACATAGTTGCAGCAAGACAGGGAGAATTATCATTAGTAATCTACTGCATGGAATGATGACTATAGTTAATACATAATGTATAAAATACACTGTATATTTCAAAAATATTTAAAGCAAAGAATATTTATTAGTCAGACTTGGTGGAGTCTTCTACCAAGAATCAATGAAGGAACTGGAAGAAAGCCCCTAGAAATATAGCTGAAGTGAAGAGCAAGTTCTTACAAAAACTCCCTAGGTTAGGTAGGCTATAAAAATTTAGTACTATTCAACATAAATATCTGGTTGCCCTCAAATCAAAACATTCAAGGAAAAGACCCTCAATGCTTTCATGTCATAAGACAGCTCTTCTAGATGTTAAACACAGAATGTGTTAAATTAAAAAGTATCTCCAACAGCGTCAAAGGTATAAAATATATTTTTAAATTTACTATCCTCAAAATGTTTTAATGATCCTTAGTATCTGCCACAACTATGTAAGGTTTAAAGAAATTATTTATACACATTTCGTCCTTTCTCCCTCCCATCCCACCCCAAAAAGGCATTTCCTTACAAAAGTTTGCATATAGGGTCAGCAACACATTTTTGACTGCCAACAAATTGTCATTTTTGACAGCAACAAATTTTGACTGCCACGCCAGGAGGTGGACTAGAGGTAAGGAGGGCACGTGCTGGGCACTTGCTGGCACCCTGGCCCTTGAAGGCTTGTCCATGTTATTTAGCTTAGAAGAAAGAGCAGGGGCAGGACAGCGTGGCCCAGGTGTGTGGGGAAGTGAGAGCAGCAGCGAATTTGAGGGCAGTGACCTGGGACAGGAGTGAGAGCTATGCTGAAGACAAACATCAGGGATGCCAGTCTAGATGAACACAGTGAAAATGGACATACAGGAAACTGAGCAGTGAGTGCTAGGTAAGAGGAGTGTGTGGACACACGGGGTAAGCTACCGGTATCATACTGAACAAAAAGAAAATAACTTAATGATTTAAAGGTTCATCACTTTTCCTGTTTTTCTCTTTGTTTTCCTTTTAATCCCTTAGAATATGTTTGGTGGAGATGCAGGATTAAAAAGAGAAAGGGAAGACAAAAGGCAGAGATGATGGATCAGGGAGGTTAACTTGGGCATAACACCATTTTACAAAAATACATTTAGGTGGATATCTATATAATGGGATCTTAAAAACCCTTTAGTTATATACTAGCTAATCCAGCATTTGGCACTCATAGTCTGATTAAGTAACAATAAAGCAGGTAAGATTAATTTTAAAGATTGTAAAAAGAATTAAATGTAAACAATATATGGCAGTATTTGAGGATGATGCTTCCATTTGCTAATTTTTCAGTTTTCCCAAATTAAAAAGAATGTTAAGGATGTGTGAAATTCATCCCTTACCTGAAGATTGTCCACCTGGACTTGCACAGCTTCTAAGGAGCCGGTGAGCAGACGGAATCGGGAAAGAGAATACCTGGCTTCCATGAGACAACTGTTTATCTCATCAAAGGCCACTTTGTGACTGCCCCAGTGGTCAAGCACCGATGTCAGCTGTATCTTTAATTGCCCAACCTTGTGAAAACAACAAACACTTCTTAAAATTACATAACATAGAGAATGATGGAATATATATTCCAATGATGGACAAACATTAACATCTAAGAACTTTACCAGAGTTTCAGGCATCATAAACAAACAAAAACTTACCAAAAAATTTTTAAAAGATAAAATGTAGCCACTTTGAAATTTATGCCTTTCACACTTCTGAACATTTGGTCTAAATGGAAATGCTTAAAATGTGATTAATTTGTAAATATATGTGTATTTTAATGTGATAAAAGGTCGACATATTTAACAGTTTAGGAAATGCATTAATTCATTTAACCCTCATGACAACCTTCTGAGGTAGGTATAGATATAGTCATTATCACCATCTTGTATATGAGGAAACTGAGGCACTAAAAGGTAATAAAAATTACCCAAGATCATACTGTTAGAATGATTGAGATCTCGATTTGAATCCAGGTAGTCTGGTCCAGGAAATAAAATCTGTATTTCTTTCCTTGTATTTATCTCTATCAGAGAAGTTTTTAGTTTGTTCTTTACCACTTAGAAGGACATCTACTTTGGCTACCTTTCCCCAGGCAGAGGAATAGACATTTAAGAATTACCTGTAGCCATGGGACTGGATGAGATTATTAACAGAGGAATGTTTATGATAAAGGCTTATTCTAGGAAACATCAGCCACTAGACTTTTCTGAAAAAGAGGCTGATGAAGTGGACTTTGCAGTATAAAGAGATGATGTATGGATTTGATAATTATTTACTCAGTTACTCTAGGAAAAGCAAAACCCAGAGTTGGGCCACGAGCTGGAAAACAAGGTCTCAGGGCTGGCTCCGCACGAGCGACATTACCGTATGGTCCAGATTTGCCCAGGTTTGGCCGAGTTCCCTCAGTGTGCTCGTGACTTCACCGGAGACGTCTTCTTTCTTGTTCTGAATCAAAGCAAGTCCATTCTGCTCAATTTTCTCTACTTCTTTTTCTTTTGCTTTAATCAAATCTTCCAGATCCTGAAAGATTTTTAAAAATAGTTATTTTAAATTGTTCTATTATGGAACTCTAGGGTGCAGTGAAATTGAGCCATTATAGTTTCATGTCCTAAAAACCTTTTACTAATCCAAAAAGCTTATCATTCTCAGAAAGGGTTGCCACAAGGTACTTATTCCTACTCTCAGATGTAAAATAAAAAATAAAAATAAAAAAAAAAGAGGAGTCTTTTTCTACACATGAAATTAGCATAACTTTAAAAAAGTAAGATTTGATAATCTACTAGATAAGGAAATGGCACCTTGTAATTTTTTCAAGAAGCTACAAGGTAAGAAATGTATGCCAGAAATGGCAATATGATTTATATTCTCAAATTCATATATATTGGTGTTCACACAGTCTCGCCCATAAGAAGAAATGCAAAAGAATGGGATTCTGGGCCCCAGTATCTGAGATTTAGTCACATTTCCGCCACTATAAAGCTGTGTCACTTTGGGTAAGTGAGAAATTTCCACTGGGTCTCAGTTTCTTCAGATGGGAGATCAGAAGATTGGAAAAGATAATCTCTATTATGCTCTCTTTCTCTCTAAAATACTCTGATACTATGTGATTCTGAGAAAGGTTATAGGCCTTTTTTGCGAATCAAATCCTCATTTTCTTTAAGATGTGCATTTGGAACTGTCAGTATAAAATGTCCAAGAATGAAAAGTAAAACGAGGAAAAGATTTGGAGCTCATACTGCACCATATGCCAGGATCCTAACATATTTTAATGCCATCAGAAAATCCGAGCAGCTCAGTGAAGGGGGCTGATACTGCTGTCAACGTTTTGCAAATAAACACATGGAAGATCTGACCCGTCTTGGTAACGGAGCTGGTGAGGGCTGGGGTTGGGGGGGATTAGAACCCAAGTCCTAGAGCCTACTGACTCCCAGCTCAACGCTGGAGGTGAGACAGCTGAACCTCAAACTGTCGGGGGATATAAATCCCACGTTGGGGTGATAAGCCAGGTATTAATAGTAAGGCATGGTTGTATTCCCACATTCAGAAGTACACCCCTACAACTAAAAATAAATCTGTAGGCCCTGGCAGTTACCAAAGAAGGGAGAAAATTCCAAAATATTTCAAATTTGGATAGTGTTTTAATTGTTTAAAAAAGATTTTCACTCCCTCCCATGATCCAAATATGGGTAATAATGTTGGGATTGGGTAGTGCTGTGGATACGGTGTTAATAAAGAGTCTAGGCTCTACTATATTAATTACAAATTTTTGTGCTTTCGAAATTATTTTTGCCTCTTATTTTTGTTTCTGTTGTAGTTCAACCTTTTAATCTATCTGTATTTCATTTGTAAAATAGGGATAGTAATACACTTCCTTCTTACCCCAAAGGGATAAAATTAAATAAATATATACGAAATATCTTTTAAGCTGTCAAAAACTAGCTAAAGGTACACTATTATTTTATTTAGCCATTTGGCAATCTGCCATGTTTCAGTGTAAATTTATTTATTCTTCTCTACTGAATTATCATGAATGGCTATTTTTGTCTTGGTGTGTATTAATTAGGAATTCATGCATTTAGTAGCTTGAAGAGATCATTTTTGTTTCTCATTTCCTCTTTATAATTTTTGTCAATATTTTGACAGTTTTGATAATTACCAGAGAATGAATATAATGATTATTGGGGTTACAGGTCTTTTATGCAGTATGGAAAACATAATTATCTTTATTATGTAAGGACTTATCTCTTTATTTCTCTAAGAGATTAAATGACTATAAACAATCCTTCCAATATGTCCTTAACATGATTCTAAAATGTAAGCATTAGAATGTGGAGAGCAGAATGGGGGGAAAAATTTTAAAAAATAAAATGTAACCATTAGACATTAAGTTTATCTTCATTTTTCTATAGACACTAACTTTTTTTTCAGTGAACATTAAATAAATGATTCACTGCTTAGAAACACATCTCAAAAATGCCCTCCACATGTACATTAACATAAGAGCAAAACCCAGGAGAGAAACAAGATTAAAATAGATATTTTGTGCAAAATAAAGGTGTGTTTTCCTTTCCTTTCAATAATAACAAAAAGATGATTCTGTTTCTGATGAATGAAGGGAAAGGCCAAACCTAACATTTTTGTTATAATAAATCATTCTTAACTTGAGTGAATTCATAAATATCAGTTTTTATATTATATTAAATTAATAAATCACCTCTAAGAGACTGGGAAAATATTCAAGATTTTTAAAACAAAATAAAGCTTGAATCCAGTCACAAATTTAAGTATACTGGCTTGAATTTCACACTTTGATCCAAAAGAACAGTTTCTCAAAAATGACAATTTTATCAAGGTTTGTAGTACTGCCAAGTAGAACCTTCCAGTTAGGCTATTGTGATTTATATGTAATGTTACCAAATAACTGTATGGGGCTACTTTCATTCTATCTTTTGTTTCAAAAAAATGACTTTTCATTTGAAATCACAAATTGGCACTGGTGTGCAGGTCTTTAAACCACACTGTAAGTTTTCCTTCCTGATACTGCCTGACCTAACTCTGGGAGACTAAAACTTAGGTCCTAAAACTAGTTAAACTTGGCCAAGTTTCTGCCATAATTTCTAGATAGCAATGTGTCTCTAAATAGAAGACATGAACAGGAAAAGAAACAAAATGGAAAATGGTGGAAATAAGTGTATTAAAGAGAAGAAAAAATACCAAAAAAGAGGAAAAGAAAAGTAGGGAAAAAAAGAAAAAAAGAAAAAGTTATATTAGTGCAGTATGTCTGTCTCTCAATTAGTAAAGTCTACCACTGGGAAGTACTCATTCTGTGAATTCTAATACTTAGAATTAACTTTTAAAATTAATAAAAATAATTTAACTTAGGAACTCAACAAAGGTGAGACTTTTTATTCTTAAAAGAAAAATTTTGAAATTCTGCCTTATTTGTACATTTTAGAATTTGTAGCCTAAATTAGAAATACTACTGGAAATAGGCTACTATTTGTAGCCTAAATTAGAAATACCCCTAGAAAATTGGAAATGCAATCAGACTAGCTGATTGATGCACGTTTTTGGTCTTCAATCTTTTATACACTCAACTTCTGATGTGAGGCATTTTTTTTTAACTATTATTATTTCAAGGTATTTCTCTATATGATGTTTTTCTTTGTCATTTTCATGTAGCCCTAAAATTGTAATCCATTAGCTGGAGAGCCAGCACTAGGAATTTCTGCTCTTCCTTTTCTGAACTAAAAAGCTTTGACTGACGGCCAGGTGTGGTGGCTAACGCCTGTAATCCTAACACTCTGGGAGGCCCAGGTGGGAGGATTCCTTGTGGTCAGGAGTTTGAGGCCAGCCTGAGCAAGAGCAAGACCCCGTCTCTACTAAAATTAGAAAAATTAGCCAGGTGCAGTGGCATGTACTTATAGTGCCAGCTACCGGGGAGGCTGAGGCAAGAGGAACACTTGAGCCCAGGAGTTTGAGGTTGCTGTAAGCAATGATGACGCCACTTCACTCTAGCCCAGGGTGACAAGAGCAAGACTCTATCTCAAAACAAAATAAAACGAAACAAACTTTGATGCTTAAATGTATCTCCCTTTACACATGTCCCAAACAGGAAAAAAAATGCTGGTTTGAAGGGAAATCTTTACCAAAGTTCTTTCTTTTGAGACCGAGAATAGAAGAAAAACAAGACTTGAGGAGAGAAGCTTTTCTGTAGAATTACTTCATAGTCAAGTCTTCAATTGCTCTTAGGAAACACAGTAAGAAAACAGTCATAATTACCTGTAACTCAGTACGAATTAATGGATTATTTTTTCAAATTATTACAGCATTAACTGTTACCACTCACATACCTTTTGCATAAACAAGAATGCCTGAGGGAAGATGTGTTCCCATGTCACTAGAAAACACTGTGCTACATACAGCGGCTCCACCTGAGCCTTCAAGCCTCAGCACCAGCAGAATCAGCAGACTCTGCATCACTCCCCATGGGACAAAACAGGAAGAAATACTGCCACCCCGTGAGAAGCACTCATTCAGAAGAGCTAAATGGGAATCCAACCAAGCATCAAGTGCTAACTTCCATTTATAGAAAACACAGAGAAAAGAGCAAGTTAAATGACATCTGAAGGAAGTACACAGGCCACCCTGAACATGGGACCAGTCAACACTTTCTGCAATGAGTTCATAGTAAAATGGTCAAGAGACTTCAGAGCTCTAACAAGAAAATGTACTATGTGGACACTGTTTGCAACCTTTTGTTTGTTTGTTTTTAAGAGACAAGGCTGTTGCCCAGGCTGGAATGCAGTGGCACAATCACGGCTCACTTCGAACTTGAACACAGCAGCTTCGAACTCCCGGGCTCAAGTGATCCTCCTACCTCAGCCTCCCGAGTAGCTGGTACTAAAGGCACATGCTGCCATGCCTAGCTAATTGTTAAATTTTTTGTAGAGATGGGGTCTCACTATGTCGCTCAAGCTGGTCTTGAGCTCCTGGCCTCAAGCTATCCTCCTGTCTTGGCCTTTCAAAGCGCTGGGATTATAGGCATGAGTCACTGCATGCCTGGACCTACATCCTTATTTTGAATAAATTAACTGAAAAAAGATATTTTTAAAGATAATAAAGGAAATATGTTTATGAGTTAGACATAAAATATTAGGAATTATGTTTAAGCTCTGTGGTGATATTATGGTTGTATAAGAAAGTGCCTATTTTTCGGAGATTGTATGGTAGCATGTAGGAATAAAATGACATGCTATCTGGTATTTACTATGAAATCTTTAAAAAGAGAAAGAATCCAGGCAAATGTGTCAAAATCTTGATAATTATCAAGTGCAATGCTCAGTATATAGAGGTCACAGCATTTCTCTATTTTTGAGTACATTTAAAAATTTTTTAAATTTCAAATTTTTTAAAAAAGCTGAAAAAATCTAACAGTTAAAAAATCTCTATAAGCTCATATAAATAGAGAAATTTGTTACCACATGCAACTTTTAAAAAATATTTAACTTGCAACTCTCAGAGCCTATAAAATTCTTTAGCAGATGCTGTGAAATTGTGAAATGGTTCATGTCAGCCACCTGGACAAGTTACCTGACAGTCTTTCAGCGCATTCTGAACAGAGGCCTGATCTCCAACTTGCTTCTGTTGTTTTAGTTTCTTTTCCTGAGTCTCAAACCAAGTTTTCAGACATTGTACATTGTTTTCATATTCTGACCAAGATTCCAGTAAGCCTTCCAACAGCTGGATCTGAACAAACATAATGAAATGAAATTTTCAATTTTATTTTAAAAAATCACATCATTGCCAGGCTAATTACTCTAGCCACTATTGCCTCCAAATTAAGAATTCTTAAAATACAGTCCATTGTATGTACATATGATTTAAAAAATGAATTTTATAAAGTGTGCATCCATGACTATTACTGGCAAGCAAGAAAGGACTAAAGTCAACGTGAAGCAAAGGTAAAAGAAATTGAGAGACATCTTTAAAAAACTGAAGCAACATGAAATATACAGAGTAGAGGGTGCATAAGAGAAAATCATTAGCAGGGTAAAAGAAAACGCTGACAGTGATTAACATTCAGTGCCTTGTCGGAGGCATTCTTGTGCTTAGTACAGCCACACTACTCGTGAACTAAGTTTTCCTTACAGAGTGTGCCTGTTCTTGGGACTTTCATGTAAATATGGACAGCAGCAGGCCACCTGGCTTACCTTCTCAGTTACTAGACCTTGCAAGATTTGCCAACTTTTATTCATTGCTCCAAGTTGCTCAGCAAAATCTGTCTTATCACTACGTTTACTTTCCACATCCTGACTGCTGATTTGTAGCACAGACTGGTTCACAAAATCGACTGTCAACTGTTTACAGTTAATGTCTATTTTAAAACCCTAAAAAAGGAGAAGAGAAAATAAGAAAACAAGGCTATACATATATATAATAAATGTCTTATTATTTTACCAGGAATTGGAAAGTCTTAAGTAACATTAAGATCGATGTTATCAGCTCCATGGCTTAGTCCAAATGGCTCAATTTGTGTGTATTGGCATTACTCATCATTTCTAGAAGTTAAGTATATATTTGTATGTGTTTATATAAATACACACAGATACACATATACATATATATTTTTAGGTAGAAGATGTAGAACTGGATAATTTACATAACCTCACTCTAAAATATTCATAAATTATAGCATTTAATTTTATGATTTCTACGATTTTTTAAAAATAACACCAAATTATTCAAAATTATTCTTAGCACTGGACAACTTTTCTTATGCATATAACTATGCATGCAGTTTTCTTGCCTTTGAATGCCCATCTGGTCACCATGTAAGGAACACATATTTCAAGACCTGATTTCCATAATTTGAGTTTTTGAGTTCTTTCAAATAAAATAGACATGAAAAGTTAAAAGAAAAAAAATAATGATTACCTTATATTTCTGAAGGTATTCATGAATTGCTTTGTAACCTATGGAATTCTTTATATTATCTTCATCCTTCTGAATAACACTTTCCATTAGAGAAATCCAACTCATGACTTCAGAAATCGCATGGCGGGAAGGCAGCTTGTCCATTTGGAGCTGTCCAAGTCAGACACAGAACAATCCCCAAGTGTTAAAATTCAAACCCAAGTTCTGCTAACTTAAAAATCCTATATTAATTCTTATATATGTACCTAGAAAGATAACATTCTTGAATTGCATTTTGATATCTTAACCCTATTAGAAAGCCTGAAGTCAAACATCAGGCAAACACTGAACAGTAATAGTCATTTTATGTTCACTTGACATCCAATACTATAAACATCGTAGAAACATTAATTAATTAATTAATTAAAACACCAGCAAGAGGAAAATATTATTCTTATTTTATAGCTACTTTTATGAGTTAAGAAAACTTAACTACAAAACATTCAACAGATGTATTTTATTAATTATCTTGTAAAATCTCTGTGTATTATAACTCAGGAATGTTAAAAGAAGAAAGAAAAATACAACACTACAAGCTATCATGTTCTAGAGTTTTTGGCACTCTCCTGTTTATTTCCAAGAGAATAGCCAATTTCCTAAGTCTCTAACGAAAATATACTTAAAATTCTGAATCTTACTTAATAAATCATGCATTTATGCACATACTTATTAGAATGATCTGAAGGAACAAAAGCAATCATGTAAAATATTTATAAATCAATTTCTATGTGGTGGTGAAAGATGTAGAGTTGAACATGGGATAGTTGCTATCTAGAAATGTATGTATAGCAGCTGATTAGGAGACATAAGGCATATATATTAAACATAGCTCTAGTGCCTAATACATGGTGATGAATGTCAAAGAGAGATAAAAATAAAATGCTCTGAGATTTCAGGTTAGGTAGGTATATTTCCAGGAAAGAGGAGTGCTTACATCTACTGTATTCCAGTTGCTCTCCTATATGTACAATGGTAGATCTTTTGAATACATTGTGTTATAAATCTTCGTAACTACTTAATTTATGAGGGAAGTGTAATTGCCCACCTTTTACCCATGAGAAAATAGAGTTTAAAGGAGACCAGACAAAGATGCCAACACACACACACACACACACACACACACACGCTCTCTCTCTCTAAAAAAACCCTAGGAAGAAATGCCACCTGAGTGGAGCTTTGTAAAATAGTTCACTTTTAATATGTAATATGTAAAATGGAAAAGAGAAACGGGCAGATGTCTGAGTCAATGCTGGGTTAAATTCGTGAGCAAGGGCAGATTAGTTTGCTTTTCCATTTCATAGAGCTTGAGTCCATCAGTACTCATTAAAACAATGCTTCTGTCTACCTGGTGGAGCTTCTCCTGCACGGCTGGAATACTGGTCAGCAGGTCAGTCCACTGGCCATCGATGTGTGACAGCTCAGAGCGCAGCGCGGCTGTGTCCACCTTCTTTAATCGAAGAAGCTGATTTCCAGTGCTCAGAACAGATGATTTCAGGGAAGATTTGGCATCTACTTCTTTAGAAAACTCCTAAAAGAAGTAGTGACTTTCAAGTTAGGGTTAAATAGCCAGGCCTTTCATTAAAGGCCAATGTAGTGCATGGAATAATTCCCTTTACATTTGAGAGGGGTGTTATGCCAAGTACTGAAGGGGCAGATGAAAGAAGCACACCCTTGCCCTAGAATGAAAGCCAACGATGAAGCCATTACTTGAAAACTACTTTAAAGGGGAAATGTTGAGAAGTTGATGCCTATTATTTTGCATAATTATTTTGTTGGTTTTTTTTTCAAGAGAATGTCTCACTCTGTCACCCCAGCTACAGTGCAATGGCATCAGCCTAGCTCACAGCAACCTCAACTCCTGGGCTCAACTGATCCTACTGCCTCAGCCTCTCAAGTAGCTGGGACTACAGGCACGGGGCCAACACATCTACATAATTTTTCTATTGTTTATAGAGACAGGGTCTCACTCTTGTTCAGACTGGTCTCCAACTCTTGGCCTCAAAAAATCCTCCCTCCTCTGCCTCCTGAAATGCTAGGATTACAGGTATGAGCCACCATGCTTAGCCTTTATTTTGCATAATTATTGAACACACATAGTTAACATTGATAAATTCTCAATAATTTAGTTTATTAAGTATATCCATTGACAACTGATTTCCTTTCTGCTGGTATATGGGTCATGTCTGACCTGAAGGCCTGAAAACAATACAATCTCATCAAATTCCTTAGATCTTAAACTTACCAGGAAAGCGTTTAGATGATCACGGACTGTTTCCAGCTCTTGAGGGACTGTCACAGATTGCTGAGTCCAAAATTCTAGCTTTTCTTTTGCAGATTGTAACCAGTGAATTAGATCTGCAGATTCACTTTGATATCTGTAAGTATATTAATGAGTCTATGAAGTAATCATCCAATCCCTACCTTCTGCTCACCCATGTTATTCACCAATGGCGTCAGTTTTAGGAAAATGCACTAAGCTGACATTCTGAAATTCTCTTAATATTTATTCCTTGATCAAGTCTGTCTCTCTGGGTTTCAGCTTGCTCATCTCTAAGTTGAAAATAAAAATAAATATCTTTCTCCTACTCCTTCGCATGGATGCTATTTAGAAAATATTAGATAATTGTTATAAAAACTTCTTTGAAATAAAGGTGGCATAGAAACAGTATTTCATTACCTAAAAAAATCAACCTTCCACCTCCCTTAAATACTTCCCATTGTCTTTGAGAAGCTTCCCCTTCTCAATCCATGTTTTCTCTTCTTTCTTTCCATCAAAGGCTTTATTGTGATTACCCAGACAGTCACTAGGCCAACGTAAAGTGCATTATGCAGCTGCCTCTGTGCCCACTTTTAATTATATGTTTATACAATTATACAAGAATCCAAGTGGGGACTTCCTGTTTGTCTTTATTTTCCAAACTATGCAGTAAGTTCCTAGAGGGACCATATTATTTTCAAGTATAGTACCCACTGGCCTTATTAATACACTGCAGCACTTATCTAAAATATGCAAAATAGTCATTGTGTTACCTGGTCCAGTGTTTCAATATTGTTTCCAATCTGTGGAGTTCCTTAGACACTTTGTTGGTATTATTCAGCCAGTGTTCTCCAAGCTGATTCAGTTGGCTTTCCAGATCTGAGCAGCTAATGGATATCAGAAGTCGTTTGCCGTCATCTAATACCTGATATAATTTGGGCTGGTATTCACTGAGGCTAGATTTTAAGTGCTAAAATGATTGAAAATATCGGGTTAAAAGTTTGGCTTGTGCAACTTTTGTTTTTAAGAATTATGGTTTTTTTTTTTCTGTTGCCCACAATGCTCCCATTGCCTGTTATTCAAACCTTAACTACTGGGACCCAAGTAACTGACAACTTTAAGATGTTTCTTCAATATATTAGCATAGACATTCTCCTTTTTTGTTTTTTGGTATTGACTTTAGGTGCATTTAAAACTGTTAAACTATAATTATTTCAGGAAGAGTTTTATACTAGCACAAACTACCGAAACTGCTTGGTGAAACCTGAATTTTCAAAAAGTGTTCTCTAATTTAAAAAAAAAAAAGACTTTAATATTCTATAAATAATACAAACACAATCTATCTGTTTTCAACAATGTCAATAAGTTGAAATACAATTAAAGTACTTCATAAAATATTTGATCACAAGTTTGTTTAGATTCTGTTAAAACTATTGGTAAGTTTCATAATGATATGTGGCAACTCGTAACACCAAGATACCCTTGGGGCACCAACCTGGTAGAGTGTTATCCGGTCGATGAGCCTGTCCTCGCTCTCCTCCACCAGCCCCACACTCGGGATGCTGCTTTCCACCACCTCCAGCTGTCTGCGGAGCTCCTGGTGGTCCTCATCCAGATGGGACCATGTCTAGAAACACAACATTAGTCTGGGAGCTGAAAAAGTCCTCATTAGGGAATGACATTTTCTCCTTGTGTACAAAATATGTCTTGACAGATTCTCTTCAAAGTTATGCCGGGGCTGTTTGGGTTTGGGGTTTGCTTTGGGAAGCAAAAGATGGCGTTGAAACAAGTAATCAGATGGTGGTCCTTTAAAGCAGTGGTCCCCAACCTTTTTGGCGGGTTTGTTCAGGTGACAGCAGGGTTCGAGCTCCTATAAGAATCTAATGTCACTGCTGATCTGACAGGAGGTGGAGCTCGTGTGATGATATCAGCAATGGGGAGTGGCAGCAAATGCAGATGAAGCTTTGCTCGCTCACTGGCTGCTCACCCACTGTGTGTGGCCCAGTTCCTAACAGGCCAGGGACAGGTACTGGTCTGTGGCCCAAGGGTTGGGGACCACGGCTTTAAAGCACTGTGAATGGGCTTTGGCACCTGCAACTAACTGGCTGTATGATCATGGGTAAGTTACTAAGCTTCTCTGAACTTCATTTTCCACATGTTAAAATGGGGATATCAATAGCTATTTTCTCCATGATGAGGATTAAATGGAATAACGTATGCAGTGTAGCTGGTATCTGGTATGCATGGTTTTGTTCTTTTTAGCACAGTAAGAATTTAAGTCAAAGGGATGGGCGTGTTTGCTTTCCACATAACGTTTCATTACATTTGCAAATAAAAGTTCAAATAAAACACAGACATTTATAAATATGACTACATAATCTGTATATTCTATCAAAGAAAAATACCATATCACTAATTCCTAAATTCAGATTTTTATTTTATTTAAAACTGGGAAAAACTAGTGGCAGCTTGGTTAATGCTGAAGGAATGGCTGATAGGACAATGAGTGTGACTGAAGGAGAGTGACTAAACAAATGAGAGAATGAAATATCAGTCTCCTTTCACGACAGCAGATTAAGACCTGTAACCAAGGTAAATGCTACAAATTGCTTCAATAATATGAACCCAGACTTTCTGGTTTCAATCCAGCATTCCTAGTCTGATACTAAACGGATCCTTCATATTCTGTTTCCAGAGCACAAGGCCTTGGATCCAGGTGGCTGCCTTCTGACTTCTAGACCCCAGTGTAGGTCGTGACCACGAGAGCAACTGCAATCAGGACAGAGCCAGGGATATATTTCTACATTTTTAAAAATACTCTTAACTAGGCTATTGGACTGACTATGGAAACGCCAGATACCTTCATGCACAGTCTGAAGTCAGTGTTCACGTAGCTGGTTCGCTACATGGCACAGATATTTCTGCATGTGAACAGGAAATGCAAGGCAGGCAAGGCGGCACACAACCATAGGAAAGGCACAATCCTGAGCCCCAGAGCACAGCTAGTTCTGGGCTTATGAGAGGCAAACTGAATGAGTAAACACACTCAGCGTTAAAGGTCTACTTTGCAGCAGAGATGCTACATCAGTGGTCTCACCTCTAGAACGTACTCCAGCTCCACGCCCCTCTTGTGGGCCTGTTTCAGTACCGTGGAAGCCTGAGCCATCAGTTCGGTGTGGAATTGGGTTTCCTTAGGGACTGCAAAGCTGATGATCTTCCTGAAGAGTGTTTCAGTCAAGATCATGTGAGACTCCAGACCCTGAAAGTACTCCTGTAATTTTTCAGGTAGAAAGAAGTCAGCAACTCATCCATTGACTGCCTTATGATCAAAGTCGCTTCAACTGTCAAAGCTGACAGAACTCAGTTAATATACAAGTGACATCCCCGCTCACCTCCCCCTTAGCCCAGACACTGGTCACGTCCTGCGGAGACGGGGATCTAGGCTTTCAGCTGGCCTGTCTTGTCTCCCTACTCAAATGCATCCTACACCCTGCTGTGCTCCAGACACACTGTCCCCAAAACAAAGCTCTTCACATGTGTCAGCTGCGGAAAAAACTCCTCTGCCCTCTTAATGCCTCCTGCATGTAGATTCTGGCCTCCTTCCTGTCCTGGCACGGTCTCCCACTAACTCCACCGCACACTTGCCCCCGTGTCCTCACACCCATCAGCTCCCACTCGCCCATCGTTGGCCTCTGCTCGGACTGCTCTTCTTGAGATGTTCTCACCTGACATCTTCAATGACTTTCCCTCCTCTGGCTGGGTTTGAGCAATACTTCCTGAATTTCCAGAGGGTGTGCTGTGCTTAATGCTTGGCTGATTGGTATTAAATAGTTTTTATTTTCCTTGTAATATACCTACAGAGAACAGAACTGTAGGCCTTGCACCAGCCTACAAATGTTATTGAAATGTTACTTTTTTTGTGTAATAGACCCTGGAGGGTGGAGGTAGAGCTTATCCCATTTCTTGTTCCTAGCCCCATGATAGATATAAGAACCGGAAACTGATAATAACAGCTAACATTAATTGAGTCTTACTATTTGCTGGGCATGCCATAAACACATTACCTGACTCATTTCCTCTTTATAACCACTCTATAACTCTATGCAATAGGTAGTTTATTTCCTATCTTATAGAGGAGACCACTGAGCCACCCACTCTATGTAGCTTGCCCAAGGTCACACATGCTAGCAGTGGCAGAACTGGGGTTTGAATCTGGGCACATGCTTCTGTCAGTGCTACCCACCAATACTGCCGAACTTTCCTGCAGAAAATGATCTGGTCAGTAGAAGCCAGAATCATCATTTTTAACTCACGATTTTTAACTCACGATTATCGTATATAGAATCTTCAAGTTGGGAGAGACCTTGAAGTTCAACTGCTCCAACAATCAATGAAAGCTGAGATTCCTTTAACAAGCCCATCTCCCCTGAAAGCCTTGGCTAGACGTCTCATGGCTAGGAGGGCTGTCTGTTCAATGGCAGCCTACTCACTTTAGAATTCGTCTTCTATTGAGCTTTATCTCTCTGTTATTTATACTCATTGATCCTAGCTTCCCCTCTGGAATAACTCAGAATGATCTTTTATTGCTATAGTCAACAATTTGAGAAAGACCAGCTGTGAACTTTAAAGCAATGTTTTCAAAGCCAAATGATAAGGCTTTAATAAATCATAAAGTTTTGGGAAAAAAGCTCTGGGAAAAAATACAGAGAAGTATAATTTCAAATAGAAAGAAAAAAAAATTCACCTTTGTAAGCCACCAGAAAGCTACACGGTGGTAGAAGATTTAACCTTCTATAACCCAATAGGATTTTTTCAGTTTTCTTACAGGAAATTCCCAAAGAGTGGGAGGCTGAGTTTCTGGACTGGCAAAACTGCTCCTTCCATAATCACTGCTAATAATTCAAGGGCTGTTTCTGTGTGTGTGTGTGTGTGTGCATGTGTGTGTGTGTGTGTGTAACTGGTGAGGCTGGTTTTCTGTTTTAATTTATAAAATTATGGAAATATATCCTCTATAATTTCTATGTGCTATTGAATGCCAGTGGGTGTGACTACACATTAGTTGACTGTTTTAAAGGATAATCTATACAAGGAAGACTCACAAAAGAATAAAATATTAAGTATTACTAAATATATATATATATATATATGTATGTATGTATGTATGTATCTGGGCTTGAGAACATGCTTTCACAATTGTGTTTTCTTTCTCTCTCTCTCTTTTTTTACCTTATGTTTGTCAAGTAGTTGTTGGATTTCCTCTTTGGAAGACACGATGATTTTCTGGTCTCCTGCCATCTTCTCCTGACCAGTTTCCAGCAGGTCAGCCAGATCCTGCAGGGCCCTTTCATACTGACTCCTGAGTGTGAGGTTCTGGTTCAGGCCACTGCGCCGGGAGCCAATGATCATCATCAGCTCGTCGTACATGTCCTGAGGAACAGAGACAGCGACACTCACCCTCGATTCAAATTCTGGCACCTGTCTAAAAGCTTGTTAACCTTCCAGGACCGTGACCCAACGAAGAAAGCTCCTCCAGGGAGGTGACCTATGAGAATCCTCTGCCTACAGGTCATCTGCCTGTTGTTCTTAAGACATTTACTTTGAAAACTTCTTTCAAAGAAGATAAGCTTTGGACCTCTATTCCCATGCCTATATATTTTACATGATTGCAGCTGTACAATGTTTTGATATCCGGTAGTTCAAGGTCTCTCATTAATCTTGTTCAGTATTCTTATCTTTTATTCTTTTACAATTTATTTCATTTTTAATTGACAAACAATAGAGTATAACAGAGAAAGTGAAAAAAAAAGAACTATATTCATAAGAATTTAAAGTACGGAGTCATCGGGGGAAAGGACAAAATAAATATTCAATAAGTATAATGTGAAAACAATTCAGTGATTTGGAGAAAAGTAAAGTTAGAGTCTTATCTCATGCCATATACCAAGAAGAAATTTAGATTGATTAAAAAATAAAAAATGTAAATAAAGAAAAAAGAAAAGTTAAAAATCTAAAAGGAAATAAAAATGTGTCTACAAAAAATAAGCTTAGTATTTTAAGATTTCAAAGGATATGCAAAGTGTTTCCTAAAAACGATATATGAGGTAGTTTTGAAAACTATCTTCTCATGATATCAATAGTTTATGATGAGATGTGGGGTTAAAATATTAAAAAATTATCCATGTGGCTGAGAGAGTTGTCATAGAAAATGCAATCTCAACTTTTATAGCATTCTCAACGTTTATATAATTTTAGAGTAATTGAGCACAGTATTCTTAATATTTTTTTCTGCTAAATAACAATCGATTTGAAAGTACGCCTCAAACAAAGAGCTAGAGAAATAGGAGAATTTGATGTGAGTAGAAAGCCTTTAAGACTTAAGAAGGCAATGTTTTTGCCAAATGTGGTGGGGTAAATAACTATTTAAACTGGAAAGACATTTTAAGAGATGATGACACACCAAACACAAAATTTATTTGAGGCATATGGACCTGATTAATGCATGATATTAAGGCTTAGCAGGCCAAAATGGTTCAGTCTGGAAAAGTTCAACTTTAATGCCTATTTACAGCTATGAAATTTGACTCTTACACCTGATGCTTAAGTGCTCTTGGAAAAGCATCTACCAAGGTACAAAGTGGGGGTGGTGGACTGATGACATTATGAACTATTACATAAAAGAATGAGATAGTTGCTGGACTCGTGCTACTAATCCACAGTAGTTCTGCAATATGGCACAGAGATAAACTCTAATGTGTGTGTGTGTGTGTGTGTGTGTGACTGTAGATAGTTGTACACAATTTTTTTTTAATATGATAAAACTGTGTTGCCTATCAGATGCTAAATTTTGCTGGTTGAATATCTCAGTATCTTTCTGCCACTCCAATATCAGATTCTTGTTAAGTGTCAGATCTAGGAAAGCAAATTAACCCAAAGTGTTATTCTCTATTCCCGAAGGATGCCAAGAAGCCTGTTTAAATTTCAATTATCTTCTAGTTTAATTTTTGTCACTGTTGTTCTAGAATTGAAACAATGTCTCTAACCCATTCAAACATGTATGGAAGATAAACCATAGTTTTTGAACATCTTAAAGAAAATACTTTCTAAGAAGTATTACCTTGAATGTTTATTTTCCTAAATAGTTTTTGGAGAGATAATGTAATACAGGGTAGGTATCCCTGTCTTAGGTAGGATTGACAATTATAATATTTTCTATGGTAGAAAATAATATGGTACAATTAAACTATACCACAGTATTTAACTATCAGAATAATAACAAAGTAAATTTAGTCAGAAAAAAATATTACTCTTGGAAGCATGAAAACATGACTCATTTTATTGTACTAAATATGTTGAAAGTTTAAGAAAAAATTTTCTAAGTTACTTGAAAGAAAGAGTAGGACCTAAATGACATGAATTTTATAAAGAAAGCCAAGACAATAGAGAAAATAACTTTTCTTGACTTCGAGTTCGGATGTACCACTGCAGCTGAATACTTCTGGTTAGAGACTGTACCTGCAGTTTGGAGAGTTCCTGCATGGAAGGCTGCTCGATTTGTAACTTGTCACCACGCCTTTTTAATTCAATGATCCCTGCATCCAATTCCTTTAGTCCCTCTTCAGCTTGTTGTATTGCCTATGGAAGATTTATGACATTTCATTAAAACTCCCGGGAACGATTTCCCCACAGAAAATGTGACTGCTGCATCTCTTTATGTATTCCTACTGCCTCCACATAGAACCTTTTCAATACATACAAAAGGAGTCACTTTAATAAAACATAAAAAAATGCTAAGATATTATATAGAAAAAGAGAAAGCAGCCCTTTATCATACTACAGATTAGTTGCCTTAAAGGTAAGGAGTTAGGTAGGTGGGACTTAGCATAGAGAGTTGGGAGAAGGATCGCCTCCTTAAAAAAAAAAATAGAGTCTGTGATTAGCAACCCTTAGCAAAGAAGCATGACTGAAGACACAGTTAGAAAAAAGGTATTTTCCTGAGCTTTTCTAGGGAACCATGTTCTGGTGTCTTGAAATGTAGCTGTGAGCATCTTTGAAGAAGATTCAATGAGGCAACAAGCAAATATGTTACAGCATGGTCAAGGAATGCCTGCCCATAGCTGTGAAGTGGAAAGTCAGCCTTATTGCTAAGCCTTGCCTTCCGAGCGTGAGGTCTGTAGAAGCAGAATCTCATTCTGGCTTTCAAGGAGCTGATGGTTAGGAAACCAGAGTAAACAGAAGAAAACAAAGCAAGGCTGAGTACAATTAAGTACTAACCCTGATAATGCAACTCATCCCCCTTAGTGGGACCATGAATCCTGGAGCAGTCTAAGTAGGCTTTTGGAAGAAGGGCAAGCTCAGTTGCCCTGGAAGGATGACAAGAACATAGACTCCAGATGGCAGATGAAACATACGTGTCCAGTTTTCTCACTTTTGAAACCCTCTACAACCAGAGCAAATACTGTTTGCTGGTTTTTTGTTACTTTTTTCCTCCATAAATCTACAAGGACATGAAACCAAGAAAGAATACAATGCCAACAAAATTGCAGAAGTTGGAGATCAGAAGGATACATGATATTTGACTTACGAAATCTAAGGAAGCTGGATGCTAAGCTAGCAGAGGATCTACACCACCAAATTTAGAGCAACAGAACTCTCTGGAACTCTGGGTGAAGTGGGATGGGGTATGAAGTTAGGAAGGTTAGAGCAAAGCTGCCCAAAGAGTAGTTAAGTCCCCATATCCCTGTCCTCATTGTCCTCATTCCATATTGTCCCTTTCTTTCCCTGCTGAAGGACTGAAAATTTGTTTTCTGGAGAAGATAAGTAGCTCCCAACACTGCCATGGGCTTGAGTGCTTGCCTGAAAACAGGGGAAGTAAGTGGATGCCCACTGAATGCTGACTATGGGGCCCCTGAGTCTTCTCTCCCTGAAGAAGTGCTACAGCTAGACCTCTACTCTCCAGATAGGAGGAGGAAAAATATCTGAAAAGACTAACAGGCCTGACAATTTGACACAAGGATTCTCTAACAAATGGTCCACACAGGCCACCCTGCAGTAAACCCTGAAATTGTCAAGGTCCATTCACACAGGAAGTTCTCTTTCAGTATTCCTAAACATGGACAGATAACAAAGGACTTCAGTACACCTGTCAGTAACATGAAAGGGATGAACACAAGCAAATAAACAAAAGCAACTTAGAGGGAAACAGATTATATAGGAAAAATAAAACTTCAATTAAAAATCATTAATATACCCAAAAAGATTATAAAAGATAATGCATTCATTAAAAAAAGAACAAAATACTATAAAAAGGGATCATTCAGAGAACTAAAATGAGCTCTGGGGGAATTAAACACATGAGAACAGAAATGCCGGACTCAGAAAAGCCTTGAGTTGAAATCGAGGCAGTCTCCCAGAAAGTGGAGCAAAAAGACAAAGAGAGAAAGGTCTCTTGATAAGAACATTAGAGGACTTGGACCAGAATAGCCAATATCTGATTAATAGGAGTTCTCCAGAATGGGAGACAGAGAAAATGGAGGAATGAAAAATACTAAATAGATCAGCAGAAAATTTTCAAAAATGGAAAGATGAGAGTGGCCAAATCGAAAGATCCCATTGTGCTCCCAGCCCAGTGGATAGAAACAGACCCTCCCCAAGGCATGTGATTGTGAAATTTCAGAACACTAGAGAACTTTGAGAATTTAAACTGTTTTTTAGTTTCTTCAAGCCAAAACTGGAAGCTAGAAAATAGAGTAAAAGTCTCCAAACTCTGCAAGAATTGATTTCCCACCTGGAAGTCTACAAAGAGCCAAGCTATCAAAAAAGCATGGCATAAAAACATTTTCAGACACACATCTCAAAAAATGCAGCTACATTCTCCCTTTCTTAGAAAGGATATGCACTAGCCAAGCAAGGACCCAATGTATTAAAGAGAAAGACTTGGGGCTCAGAAAAGAGAAGATCCAACAAAGGAAGAAATGAAGGGATTCTTAGGATCGTGGTGGAAAGAGATCCTAGGAAGACCACTGTGCACAAGGCTTCTGACACAACAGGTCTGTTCTAGACTGAGACAACATATCTCAAGAGAGAAACATAGTGAGTGAGGGGTGTCACCCCCTACTATTATTGCCATTTCAATCCCAGTTGGGTATGGGTGGGATTAGCACATTCATTAGTTGCTTTCCATTATTCAAAGAAAAATCTAATTATTTATATGTGACATTTTTTGGAATCACATACATTATAACACCCTCCCCCCCAAAAAAGGTTCTTTCACGTGGAAGATATGACATCAAAAATCATCTTTAATTAGGAGGAAATGAGGAATCTCTTTAAAAAGCAGATGAAATTATAGTCAAGAAAGATGGCATTCATGTATAATTTTGCAAACTATTTGAGGTGACTCTCCCTCTCTCTTTTACACATACATAATACATAAACACACACACACACACACACACACCCCAGGTGATCTCTATTTCAGGCAATTCTCTACAGTCTACTCATAGGTCCCTTAGGGGCCCAATGAAATTAGATTAAGAAATTCTATTAAAACACATACTTTCCATAGTTACTTAGCTTATGAAACAGGAAATATTCTACCATCCCTCCAGTTTCTTCGCTCCTCGTTTTCACTGCCATTATGCTAGTTCAAGTTCATTCATCATCACACAGTGCAGCTACATGACACCTCATAATGGATCTCGTTTCCTGACCCTGGTGCTGTCAGGTGAAACCCAGAAGCAGGATGCGGAACTGAGATTCATTCCTGTCCCCACACATCCCCAGTGACATTCCACAGCCCGGGATCTCCAACACGAGTCTAAGTACCCAAAAGTGCACAAGATGATCTATCAGGATGAAATACTACATTTTGTATTCATATTCAGCCTCATTCGTTTTTAATTGTCATTTGTTTGCATGTTTTATGAGATAACATACTATTAACACTTACTTGTAATTTATAAATAAGTAAAAATACATACATTTGTGGTGTGTGCTTATTTCTTTTTTTAGCCAGTGTGGTAGGCAATCAAAAAAGTGTGGAGACCAAGCTCTCTGACACTCAACAGGCCCTAGAAACTGCTGAAAATTTACACATCCAATCTTATTTTCCCTCAATCACTCTCATTCATTCTAAATCCAGCTAAATAGGATCACCTACGGTTCTTTGTAAGTGGTCAGAATTTTCTAACACTTATGCTTTGTTCTTGCTGCTCTCTTTACCTTAAGACCTTTCTTCCCAGTTGCTGTGTGTCCATACTTCCAAGATCAGTTCAGATCTCCCTCTATAAAGGCTTCCCTGGTCATCCCCTCCTGGAAGCAAGCCAACCCCTTCTGAATGTCTACGGTGCTCTGTACCTCTCCCAGGACAGTCTGACTTTCTGCCCTCTGTTATTGCGGTTCATGTGTAATCTCATCATTAGGTGGCAAACTCCTTCAGGGCAGCATCTGCCGCAGATACCTTTTCCTATCTCACATTTCCTAATTCTGTGAATGCCACCCGGCGTGTTATTCAAACCACGCACTCGAAATCAAAAATATGACAAACAAAAATGCTATAGTAAGCCATTAATCTTTCATAAAATATTTAGAATGTCATAGTACATCATATCTCCTCTATGCACTTGCTGTTGTAGGAAAAGGCAGCTCTGGAAATACCTCTATTTGTTCTGCCACAGGCTGGTCAAACACATTTGCCAGTTTCTGCAGAATGATGTATTTGCTGTCAGCCAGTGATGTAAATAGCACTTTCAGATCATTCTGAGGAGGAAAGCAACAGGAAGAATTAACATGTGTACCAGGGAATTCAAAATACTTGTAAAGATAACACAGATTCTTAAAAATAATACATAGGCATAGAAAGTTAGTTTCCAGGATAAATAATACTGTGCTATGGGAAAGTGAAAGGAGCAGGTTACAATTTACTTAGATGCTAAGATTGACTTTTGAAGACTTTGCTACCCAAAGTGTCTTCTACATAATACAAATGGAGATAAAGTACACAAGTAAAAGACAATATTGGTCATCCTAATCTTGCTATATCTGAAATAAATGGACACATTCAAACATCATAGCAGAAATATTATGCTAATGAATTGTATTTAGGAAAACAAACTATAAGTGTTACCCTGACTTGGAAAATAATATGATTCTTAAGAATAATATGATTCCCTCTTTCCCCTTTCCTCCCTTCCCTCCCTCTGTTTCTTCTCCTATTTTCAAAGAATTTGCACAAGCTTATAAAAAGCCATTTAGAAGTTTAGAAAATAAACACTGTTCATGATGACCAAAGACATATGAAGAGACAACACAAAAAAGATCTTAGCTAAGTATTTGTTCATAAACTCATTTAAGTGTCCAAATATACTTATACTGAGGGAGACTGATACAAAAAAGAAGATAACTTATCAGAATTTTGGTACTCAATTCCAAAAAGAATAAAAAGCTGGAATAATACTTAAATTATAAAAAATTTAATTCCCCCCCTGAAATAACAGCAAATAAGCTCTATTTATTAATAATTAGAAAATATATAGATGGGCTGGTTGTTCATCAGAAGTTGAAGCTCATCTTCTTTGCTGGGAGCTGACCATGACAAATTCTGACTGCCTTATGGGGAGAGTGATAATCATGCAAAGGGAGAAAAACAAATCCTTATGGGATGTATGAAGGCATCATAAAGCAAATGCAAGGCTAAAAAGCAAAATAACAGGTGAATTATGCAGTAAAAAAAAAAAAACAATGAAAATATAGTTCTGACAATGAGAACTAGGATAACTGTCATTAACCAAAATGCAAACTAATCTGCAAGCCTGGTGGCCAGCCAATTAAATAAGAAATTATAATAACAACACTGGAAAAATGATGCCAGAAACAAGAGTTCTATACATGAGCAATGATCATGTTTGTATCATTCAACTGCCTTCATAGGGAGTTCATACGGGGCATGAGAACTATCACACATCCATCTGTTTGTAAGCTTGGCAAAAGATGTTTCCCATTCATTTGAACAGATTCAAAAGAAATAAAATCTCCATTGTCTGCATATATTTATAACATTAGTTTAATTAATCTAAATGAGTAGATAAAAATAACATAACGTGGGCTAGAAATGAAGAATGTGTATTTCCTGTACATCATCTTTTTTTTTTTTTTTTTTTGAGATAGACTCTCACTCTGTCACCCTGGGTAGAATGCAGTGGCATCAGCCCAGCTCACAGCAACCTCCAACTTCTGGACTCAAGTAATCTTCCTACCTCCGGAGTAGCTGGAACTACAGGTGCACGCCACTATCCCTGGCTAATTTTTCTATTTTTAATAGAGACGGGTCTCCTCTCGCTCACGCTGATCTTAAACGCCTAAGCTCAAGCGATCCTCCTACCTCAGCCTCCCAGAGTGCTAGGAGAGCTACCATGTCCAGCCCATTTTTATATTTTTAATAGCATATTTTTTCTCTCTTACCTATATTCTACTCAAGATAATAGAAAACAGAATTCACATTCCTAGAAGCCACACTAATAATTGGGAGAGGCTAGCCAGGAAGACAGTAAAGCAGAGAAAATGACTGATTTAAAAGTTACTAAATAAAAGACTTTAAGAGGTGCTAATAATCATATGGAGGTTGACATTTTCTTAAAAATAAAAATCCAAAGGATTTAACAATTTTTTATTACTGTACTTGGGATATGGCCGGGTAATTAAGGTATTTTACATATTATACACAAGAGAGATGCCACAATTTTTTTTTCTTATAGTCACTGGAATTAAGGGGCAAGATTCTAGCTGTTGAGAAATAGATTCATAGAAAGTTTCCAACTTTAAAATCGATTGTGCTGCCCTACTCATCTATTAAAGAATTCTTCTATTCCTTTTCTAATTTTTAAAATAACTTAAAATACTCCGTTACATGTTCAGGAAATTAATTTGGGGTTAAGTCTACGGGTAAAAATATTTAAAAATACAGAACAGTAGCCGCCATCTTGGAGCCTGTGGAGGTCTCCTGGGAACAAGACTTCTAGAAGGCAAATATGTCTGGAAGGCTGTGGTCGAAGGCCATTTTTGCTGGCTATAAGCGCGGTCTCCGGAACCAAAGAGAGCACACAGCTCTCCTTAAAATTGAAGGTGTTTATGCCCGAGATGAAACTGAATTCTATTTGGGCAAGAGATGTGCTTATGTATACAAAGCAAAGAACAACACAGTGACTCCTGGTGGCAAACCAAACAAAACCAGAGTAATCTGGGGAAAAGTAACTCGGGCCCACGGAAACAGTGGCATGGTTCGTGCCAAATTCCGAAGCAACCTTCCTGCTAAGGCCATTGGACACAAAATCCGTGTGATGCTGTATCCCTCAAGAATTTAAACTGATGAAAAGTAAATAAATAAAAGTGGATTTGTATTCTTGTATTTTTTGTTAAGTGGCATAAAAAAACTTAATTGCCCTAAAAAAAAAAAAAAATACAGAGCAGTTGATAATTGACTTCATTGTGATTCCATATATATATGATACACATCTATATAACATTTATGCTTCCTTCCAGGTAGTCTTTTGGGTCTGCAATAATGTTAACAGTCTGGCAAAAGCTAATACTCAAAGGTTAAATGCAGAATGAAGACATACCGCTCCAATAGCTATCGAGCACTGAGAGCATACCAGGTGCTTGGTACAAAGTAAAATAAAATGGTTTGTGACTGGACATTTAATTATGTTAACATTGGAACTCTGTCTCTCAATTAAACTGGAACACAAACATTATGAAATGTCAGTTCTTGTTCGTGAGCTGGCCATCAGTAAGTAGAAACTTGTTGGCAGAAGAGAAGTAGAGAATGTGATTTAGAGAGACTTTCACAATTACATGTTCTTCTCTTAGTCCTCTACAACAAAATAAGTTCCAGAGTATTCGTGCCTAGTTCATCTTTTACTGTGACTGGTGATAATTACTAATAAAATTAAAAAGTATTAAAGTACTAAAGACACTAATATAGTAAATACAATCCATAAAGGGGAAATACGCTTCTGAGTGAGGCACACATTTGCACTTTTAACCCACCTCATTCATGGCTGATAGACTAGAATGCTGTTATAAATCCCTGTATTATTTTATGAAAGACAAACTGCAGAGTAATGAAACAAGTTTTCCACAAGTTACACAACTGTCTTCCTCGGATCTTGCATCTTAAACTAAATACCCAAATCATCAACCCCTGCTTTTCTGACCCTAAGAGAAATGCTCTTTCCTCTCTATGTACTACACAACCTAACAGGTATGGATGCAAAAATCCAGTTCAGGTCATCCCTTTAAACCACAGATTTGCACACCCAAATGTCCACTGTGGCCTTCATCAGAGCATCTTAAATTCTCTTCCATATCTTTTGCCATGCATGGTACCACTGGCAACTCAGTCTTGACCATGGGTCAATGGCCCCCAGATGCTCAAGTCAGAATTCTCTTCCATATCTTTTGCCATGCATGGTACCACTGGCAACTCAGTCTTGTCCATGGGTCAATGGCCCCCAGATGCTCAAGTCAGAATCCCTGGAGTTGCTCTGTCCCCTTTCTCTCATTCCTCATATTCAAACCATCAACAAACATGTCCTCTTGATTGATATAAAGTAACATCTTGAATAGGTCTACTAGTTTCCATTTCCCTTGCTAACACCCCAATACTATAAAAATATAAAAATGTTCTTTCAGTCAAAATCCTGTCTCTATTTCTTAATAGTTGAATAACCTTGGGGAAGAAATTTAACTTTTCTCTTGGTTTCAGATCCTTATATTCTCTCTTATAATACTATTATTAATAGCAACAATAATAACAAAACTTGCTGAGTGCTTACTATGTAACAGACACTGTTCTGATTATTTTACACATCTCAACTCATTTCACCCTTAAACATTCTATGAGGCAATTACTATGGGTCTGATTTAATAGCCAAGGACACTAAGGCTCACAGAAGTTAAGCAGCTAAGGTGATACAGCAGTAAGTGACAAAACCACAATTTGAACTCAAGAGTGTTGGCATCAGAGACCATGTTTTTAATTTTTACTCTTCTAACTTTGCAAATTTAATATTAGAACAATGTTTACCTAATAAGTCTGTTGCAAAGAGTAAAGACAATGACACATGTAAAATTTTTATGAATATAAACATGAATATAACGTGAATATAAATGTTTTTGATAATTTTACCCTGTAGTTTTAAGAATGTAGGCTACTGGAAGCCAGGGGTAATTTATCCCTCCAGATGAACATCTACAAAGTTCCATGTTTCTTGGTTAATGCTGCACTTATATGACACTTTGCAATATTTTTTTTTTTACAAATCAAAATTTTATGTTAAACTCTTTACCCTAATTATGTGTATCTATTTTATACATCTTCCACCTTTGTTAAAAATAGCATTCAATAAAAGCTTAAGAATTCCCAAAGGGTTTTTTTTCCCTAAGGAATGAACAATCAACACTATGAGTTTGGCAGCAGCTTTTGTATTTATTTCAGAAACTAGTCATGAGAAAAATTTTATAAGCCCACAATTATTTAGTTGGTAACAGAATTATAATATAGGGCTATAAGGCAATAAATCCAAGGAATTAGGATTGAAAAGTTATATATTTTAACACAGGTAGTATGTATACTACAGCCACTTACAAAAACTTTTAGGTATTGGAGTCTATGGTTCTTTTTATATTCTAGCATTTCCTGTATGTCTTTTGGTAACATGTTTTAAACTCTACTATTACCAACTAGATTATAATTATAATGAGCCATAAATTTGACTTTTATTGGTTGAATTTAAAATTCTATGCAGCCCTTTGTTGTTTTAAAATTTTTAAAATTTTTAATTATTATGGGTACACAATAGTATATATTTATCAGGTACATGTGATATTTTGATACAGGCATACAATGTGAATTAATCAAGCCAGGATAATTGGGGAATCCATCACCTCTGGAATTTATCATTTCTTTGTGTTAGGAACATTCCAGTTTCACTCTTTTAGTTCTTTTAAAGTATATCCTAACTTATAGTTGATTATAGCTATTTTGTTGTGTTATCAAACATTGCTGATTCTATCTAACTGTATTTTTGTCTCCATTTACCATCCTCACTTTATCCCTCACTCCCTGCTACCCCTCCCAGCCTTTGTTAACTATCATTCTACTCCATCTCCATGAGATCAGTTGTTTTTAATATTTAGCTCTCACATGAGTGAGAACTGTCTTTCTTTTCAGCCTTTACTCTGATTAGTTAGTTTTCTCAACCTTCCATTTCTAGGAGCATGAAACTTTTAGTTTTCTAACACTTTATTCCAATACCCTTAATTTTCTGCAATGCTCTTGCTCGTCATTATACATTTGGGAAAAAATAGGTTTGCAATATACCTCAATAAAATGCCATATTGCTTATTATTGACTATACCTAGAGAATGGTCAAAATCTTTTGATAATGTCTTACTTACCTGAAAACTTAGTATTTGCTGAAGTCTTTCCTTCATCTGACAACAACGCTGATTCACTACTGAGTCTAGCAAAGACAACCTGCCCAAAAGACAACCCAAAGTATCTTCAATAACATTTCGATTATCGCCATTCTCTGGAAAGGCTTGTGCAAATAAGTTCTTGTTCTTATCCATTTCTTCAGACATTTCCTTAATGTCTTTGGCAAGAGTCTAGGGTTGATAAAAGAAGAGCCTCATTTCAGTGTTTAGATGCATGAATTGATATGCATATCGAGCCATTTCCTCATAGAAAGTCAAATAAATCTCTTATTGCTTAGTAATAATTATACCTAAGGCAAGGGGAACCTCTTTCATATGTACTTTTATACATTTTAGGCAAGTTGCTCTTGAAGAGAGATTTTTCTCAGGAACTCTATTTATATCACTAGTTAATAATAATATACATTAGTTAAAAAATGAGTTTTGTAAATGGTTATTTAAGAATTCGGTACTTTTTTTAGTCTATGTTTCATAAGTGGAAGATGTATGATGTAGAACATTGTTTCTACAGAGAGTTCTCCATTTTTTCCTCCCTTTACATATACAAGATAAAGAATAAAAACATAAAACATAAATATCTTTGAGAGTAATTTATGTTTAAGCCATTCTGTTCTACACGATGCTACATGGAAATACACCCAATTTGTACTTTACTAAAAATTATTTTATGCTTGACATTCTTTATACATAAATTAATTAAATTTTTCTTTTTCTTTTTTTTCTTTTTTTTTTTTTGAGACAGAGTCTCGCTTTGTTGCCCAGGCTAGAGTGCCGTGGCATCAGCCTAGCTCACGGCAACCTCAAACTCCTGGGCTCAAGTGATCCTGCTGCCTCAGCCTCCCGTGTAGCTGGGACTACAGGCATGCACCACCAAGCCTGGCTGAGTTTTTCTATATATATTAGTTGGCCAATTAATTTCTTTCTATTTATAGTAGAGACAGGGGTCTTGCTCTTGCTCAGGCTGGTTTCGAACTTCTGACCTCGAGCAATCCACCCACCTCGGCCTCCCAGAGTGCTAGGATTACAGGCGTGAGCCACCATGCCCAGCCCAATATCAAAATTTTTCAAAGGCTTGCAATGTCACATGTACACGGACAGAAACTGCCAACCTTACCTCTTGGTTGTAGAGACAAGTTTCTGCTTCTTCTGGTAAAAGTGCTGTGGCGACAAATAAACGTTCTTCAACATCATCCAACCACGTAGAGGTCGCTGAGACGCCATCATATAACTTCTGTTCCAAGTGTATGCTCTGCCTCTTTGTCCCTCCACCCTGGAAAGCAAACACATACCAAAGGGTGAACCAATTACAGTGTCTTGAGAAATCAAAGAAGAATAGTCTGAGACTCCACGTCTAGTGGCTCTTTGTTTTAGGCCTCATCACTAGTGCTGGAGTCTCAACAGTTCACGTACATGGGTGGAACAACTTTCCAGAAGCCAAGGAAACCAACACAAGCAAGAGAAGACCCTACAAACCAAGACAAGCACCCCGATAGCACAGCCCTACCTGGGATGAAACCTCCTCGAAGGCCTGGTTCAGTCCATCCAGCAAAGATGTAACTGCAGATTTATCTTGGGTCTGCCCGTCCGCTTTGTACAGTGGCACACCCGGCAAGAGCCGATTTGGCCTGCTGTAAAGCTGTGGACAAACAGGGGCAGCTTATTTAAGAGCATATGACCTATGTCCCAGTTTACTAATTTAGAAATATACATTGAAGTAGATGCTGGAAAAATTGTCCCTATGAAAATCTCTTTGGGAGAAATGTAACTTCTACAACACACCATGCCCATTAAACATGGTGGCTAGCTTTAGCAATGGCACTGTTTTCACTGATGGATTAAAAATAAAAGTGGTGGAAAAAAGTGCCTGACAGATAACAAAAATAAGGCTCTGACTCGAGGGGGGAGGGAGGGCATGGGCAACATACGTAACCTTAACACTTGTACCCCCATAATACGCTAAAATAAAAAAAATACAAAAAACAAACAAAAAAACCACTGATATAAAATGAAGAAGAGGGAAATTTATTCTCCCTTCACTACCAGTTTGTGGAAGAAAAAAAAAAAAAGAATAAGTTCTAGTATTCTATTACCCCGTAGGGTGGATATAGTTAACAATAATGTGGAATGTTCTCATCACAAAGAAACAATGAATATTTAAGATGATGGATATGCTAATTACCCTGACTTGATCATTACACAGTATAGTATATACATGTATTAAATATCACACTGTACCCCATAAATAAGTACAATTATGTGTCAACTAAAAACAAAATAACAGTAACAAAAAATAAAGTCAATAAAATGAAAGCTCAAAGCTGAGATTATAAAACAAGAAAAAAATTAAAAGGTAGCTGGTAAATTTTATGAAATGAATAAAACTAAAACATAAATAAATTAGAAATAGAAAGTATGAGAACAGACATTGCGGAACATGGAATTACTAGCATAGAGAAAAATCTTCCAATAGTCAGATGAAAAGTGAATGTCAATTACAAAGATCAATGCCTAAAGAGAAGTCAATATACAGGAAAAAGATAAAAGATGATCTAACATAAGAATAGTTGATGTCCCTGAAGCAGAGATATAACAAATGTAACATAAAATAAATTTAAATTATATAAAAAAAATTTCCTAAAATGAATAAAAAAGCAAACCTTAATTCTTACATATAAAAAAGAACAGATTGTGTTACAAGAAAAATACGATAACAGAACACTTAACACCATATATAATCTAGATAAGCCACTGAAACTTAAAGAAAAAGAAATAATTCTTCTGGCAGCCAGACAGAAGCCCCCTAAATTAAGGGGAAATATAATAGATTGATCTTATATTTTTCTAAAGTTTCATTCAATGGCAGAAGACAGTAATGAGCACACACACACACACACACACACACACACTCTTACATACATATAAATTCTGAAAGAACAAAAGCATAACAGAAGAATATTACATACAGCAAAATGTCCATCAAATATACAGGGCAACTAGCTGATATTCTCAGACAAAACAGAACCTGAGTTCTTGAATGAAAGAGTCCTTGACAATGAAATAACAGATATTTAAGAGCTGAATCAAAATTTAGAATTAAAGAGATATGTTAAAAGGACTGGTCATAAGCATGGACGACTTTAAAGATTAAGTTGATTTACAGAATACGGGACTTGTTATAATCACTGTTCTTTTTAATTTTCACCTTTGTACTTGGCTGCATAATGTGAACTCATTATAATATGTGCATGCGATTTTTCAAAATGAGTACAGTGATTTTCCTCAAAGATAGACTACATTAATTAGAAAATTATTAACAATCATTTTTTTAAATGCTTGAAATCTTATCATAGCCTTCTTCTCAATTTGTCTTCTCCGTTTTAGCACTACCTATAGTGAAATAATCCATCCAAAACACCAGACCTAGGCTGATCTCCTCATTCTCATTATTAACCTTATCTCCCCTAAACTCTTTTAGGCATACTTATGGTTCCCCAGTAAGAATCACAATAAGGCCTAGCATTCAAACTTTTCGATAATGTCTCCAGTCAAACCCAGTCTCCCAAGATTGTTCAAAACACCTCCTCCTCACCTTTCAGGCTGATTACTCACAGTCCTGAAAAGTCACAGGACAATGAGTTGGGTTGGAAACATTCCCTACTGTAGCTGGGATGTCCGCTCCCCAGCATCCCTTTAAAATCTGCTACTTTTAATTCCACACCTCTTACAGTGACTTTCTTCTTTTTAATTTTTTTAACCTCTGTTATCTCTGAATTCCTGCTTATGGAGTTATCATGGTTGCTTAATTTTTCAGCAATGTGTGAAGTATTTCCTTGTTGGGGTTATAGGTTCCCCGGAGCATGAGCTGTGTCTCCTCCCAAAGCCAGGCAGGGTGTTCTGCACAGACACAGCCAATACGCTGGAAGTGCACAGACGAAGAAAAATTGCTCTGAGATTAATGCCCTTTGACCTAGTGAACTATAGGCTAAAAAACTGTGCCTGTTATTACACTTGAGAGTAGTAAACATAATCCAGTGTACAAAACTGCCAGTCATAATCTTTCTAAAACTATTGCAATCTTTTGGAGTTTTGGCACAAGATGAGCTCCACAAATTCCCAGTCACTGTGATGTTCACCTAGGGCTGATCAGGTCTGAGTGTGGATATTGCCAGGGTAAATTTTAATATGCAAAGTCAAAAGTCTAATTTCTCTATTTAAAGGGCTTTTTCTAAACTTTGCCTTCTAAGTCTTTTTGGGAAGCTTCAAAACTTTGGCATTGATTTCCTAGAAATTATTTTTATAGAACTGTAATCATGTATAGTAATGAAAGAGCATTAAGTGCTCCCATTTTAGAAATTGTGTAATAAAACACTCCTCAAAAAAAAAAAAAAAATTGCCAGTAAGGTAGCATGAAAAAGAAGGGACTTAGGGATCTCCCAATTCCAGAGCAGCCTCTAGTCACGAGACTCTATGAAGTTATCTGACCTCTGCAAGCCTCAGTTTATAGGTTTATAAAGTGGAGACAACATGGATCTCACCATGTGTGCTTAGATAGGTTAACACCTAGAACTTAAAATGTGTTCATTAAATGATCATTCCCTTTCTTCTTGGAAACTCTGACAACTAAACTGCTTCTTCTCTACCTCTTCCCTCAGCTCTTCATACCACACAGAGGAAAACAACCTGTGAAGCACTTTGTATAAATGACCAGTGATTCCTAAAAGAAAGGACTCGAAAGCAAAAATGCCATAAATAAAGAACATTCAGCACTTTCCATTTCTAGTCCTGAAGGCAAGTGATATATGAACATGAACCTAAACTTCAATGGTCCAGGTATCATGTGGAAATGTCAGCAGCAGCAGCAGCAGCAGCAGCAGCAGCAGCACAGAGTTGGTCCAGAAAGCCCAGCATGGAGGATGTAGGGGTGCTGGCCCTGACTGATAGAAAAAGTAGCTCTCCCAGATCATAGCAGGTAGTGGATGACACACCTAGGAGGTCTGCAGATGCTGGATGAATCATGCAGGTGCTTTAAGTCTAATGGACAATGGGTAGAATCCTGGGGTTGGGTATCTAATGAGTGGAGAATAGTAAGTAAGCAAAGAATAAGTAGCCATGAAATCCAGAAATGTCCTGTATTTATCTGACTTAAGATAGTCAGAAAAGACTGCAGTCTGATTGAGAACTGCACATACCCCTTATATTCAAAGGAATGGGAGAATACTATAACAGGAGCCAGCAGTCCAGCCTGGGAGATCTACAGCAGAAATCAAGAATTCAGGCTACAAGTCTGAGGGATGTTTGATCAGGAATTTAAGTGTTAGCCCAAACATAGTTAGAGGGTCCATGCAAAAAATACAGGGCACCATTTGCCAGGGTGGAGTATGATTCTGGAATAATTGACTCCAGAAATGGAGTGCTCTACATTTCCCAGCGCCGAAGCTGGTGACTATTCCCATAGCCAGTGGCAAAGAAGGCTGCTGGCCAGATGCGGAGAGTGGAGGGCAGGAAGTGTGGCAGGCCACGTGGTTTTGTAAAAGGGGACAGAAAGAATTGGGCATGGCTCCCCACAGCTGCGGGGACACGTTATGACCATCTCCTTTCAGTTAGTCCTGGCAGGTTGTCTGCTTTGTAGAGCCCCTGCCTGCCCTCAGATGTACTGAACTCTCTGACACCATTCACTCCAAGTTCAGCCCCTCCCAGCCCCTATCTAAGCTAGTCCTGGCCAGAGCAGAGAGAGTAGCAGCTTCTCAGACCAGCAGTAAAGGTTCTAGAATTTACCCTAATAAGACCACTGTCCTGGAATGAGCCCAGACAGGCATTGTTGGTCCAGGACATGGGACTAGTCTTCTAGCTTCAGAATCCCTCAGGGCCACAGCTGTAGGAGGCATCTCAGAATTTGGGGGTTCCTGGCTCACTCGTTAGCCCTCTTAACTTTCGAATTCCTCTGATTTCCAGTTGTTCCCTGGCTTGCTTAGAGTGAACTGAGAACAATTACCTGGTACCATCTGTTGCTATATTCAATTCCCTTGGATTTGGCATGTTTGATGGAACCAAGCCCAACATCACACAGTATCCACCCCGGGAAACAGCCTTACGCAGGGGTCAGGAACCAGCCCAGCTAACCACTGGCTTCGTCCCTTTAGACCCACCAAGGTCCCAATATGTTTCTCATTAAGATCTCCTGAAATTATTAAACACTGGAAATATCAATGGAAAATAAGATGACCTGACAATTTAGTTCCAGATTTGAGGAATTCCTTTTGTCCTAGATGTGTATATTCTTGATTTGCATTCCTAATTTTCAAGGTTGTAAAAAATTTTTTTAAAAAACAGGGAACTTGAAATTTAATGGTTTACACCAATGAGGAATTAGACATTAATCATATTTGAGAAAAATATTATCCATAAATCAAATAAATTTTCACATATAAGTATATAATTATTAAGGGAAATGTGAAACAGGCTAAGAAAAATGTAGAATGAAAAATCTGTTTCAAGCCTTAGTTTGAGATTATGAAAATATAGATTATTGCACAGTTATATTCCTTCGGCATGAGCTATAGATCCTCCATATTAGTTAATATGTAAAAGCAAAATGTTTGATACCACTTGCTCTTGTTCCTGTTCCAGAACATTCTGTAGTAGTTTCTGCTTGGTACTAAATTCTTGATGAAGGCTTTCCCATTTCATCCTCATCTGGTCTTCCACGGATGATTTCTCCCCTTCCATTCCCAACTCCTGGGATAACACATCAGGTTTTTCGCTATTAGAAGAATAAATAATCTAAATTTACAATGTGTACAAAAAAGCAAAGTGAAGGCAAGTCTCGATTCAATCAATGGAGGAACAGAGCGTCTCATTTTGGGTTTACTACAGATATACATTTATGGCCTTATTAGAATTTTTAAGCATGATAGACAATAAAGTTGTTTTAAACCTTTTATATTTTTAAGATAATTTTTATAGTTTTAGGGTTATGTAAATGTAATCCCAGACCATAGATGTCATAAGAATACTCATTCCTACTCTTTTAAATTTATATTTATTATCTGTGCCAATACTTTCACAGTTTCCTATTTTGTTTTTCTTTTCTTGATGCTTTCCTATTTCCTATATATTTTGTCATAATATTAATGTATCTGGGGCAACTGCATTTTAGTTTGCTTTATCCTATCATTTGTCCTCAAAATTCACATATATACATACTCTCTATATAGTCAGTATTGATGTTATATGTCAGCATTGATTAAACTATAAAAAAGTTTTTTTTAAAAGCTCCTGCATCTGTTATCTCCAAAGTTAGTTTTGATTATCTATATTCTATTCTAGTTCTTATCTACACACATACTATACTTTCAATTTTATAATTGTATTTAGCATCATATATACATTTTCTGATACTGTTATATAGTTTTTAAGATTAAATATGCACATAAATTTTTCAGCATTTTTTACACAAGCGAGTATTTCTGCCTTTTTAATTATTTGGTGTTACGTATAATATTTTTCAAATCATCTCCATAATACATATTTCCTTCTTTATGTTATTTCTCCTGAGAAGAAGTTCAGATATGGAGTCAAAGGTATTTGCCAAAGGATACTACCAAACTGCAACCTTTAGCAATACATGAACACAGGTGTCATTAAAACTTTTTAAAAAATATTTTATATTTTAAAAACAGTTTTCTTATATATTCTCTCAGTTGACATTTACAATTTTCACAGCACTTCTGTGAGTGAGAATTATTCTAATTCTACAGAGGAGGAAACTGAGTCTCAGAGTTAAGTGACTTTTCCAAATTGATGGTTGTGAAACTAGAATAAAACTCAGACCTGACTCAAAATACAGTGATACTTCTACTCTATTACAATTCCTTTACCTTCCTACCATTTAAATCAAAATCTTCAACTTGAAAATTCTCCAACTTCCTTAATTTTTCTTTTAATATTTTACTTTTCTGTGTATAAGACTTTCAAAGTCTCAACTCCAAACCAAGATTCTAAGCTCACTGACCTTCCATGTAGGAATTATAGAAATACACCCATCAAGGACAGTCAAGGTATTTAGCAAGCACATACATTTAGTTTTTAGAATAGCATTAGGGGAAGAGAGGCTCTTGCAGGGAAAATGCTCTATAGTTAGAACTATTCAATTGGAGACATCATGGATCTGATTCTATAATAATTTCTTATTTGATTAAAAAAATGAGCTCATGAGCATCTTCTGTGGACCGATATGCTGAACATATTGGAAGGAAGGCAACCAAGTTATTAACTATTATATTTTATTATCGTTACCAGCTGTGTTCATGCTATGCAAGAAAATGTCCAAAATACAGGTAAAACTGAAAAAACATGACTAAGTTTTTCAGAAGATGTTTAAAATAAAATATTAAGTGAGCTGTTTACATTTCTTCAAATGTCAGGGAAACACAGTGAAGAGAAAGTTAAGTGGTTCAGAACATACCCAGCGCCACCAGAGGTCTCTGCAGCCGAATGCTGGGTGAGAATCTCCTCTCCTCTGCTGGCGACTGAGCGGAGGAGGCTCTTCTGCTCGGCCAATTCCTGCTCTAACTCCTGCTCCAGGCAAAGGACAAACGCAAACATCCGTGTTACTTGAGGATTATTGTCTACGATCAGGTCCTACGCCTATAAAATTCTCAGAGAACTTCGGTAGAAAGGTTTTAAGTCTGTACATTGCATAAAAGGTGTGGCTGTGGGCAAATACTCAAATGTGTTTTCAGAAGACTCTATAGCTTTCCTTTGCTTCGATAAAGAATGTCTCTTAAAAACCTGGGCGGGGGAGGGAGAATCAACGGGAAAAGAAAATCTTGCTGGGCAATGGTGCCCTCGAGTGGTAAAACATGCACTTTCACTTTTCAAAATCAGGATTGGGCAAGCCAGGAAGCATCTCTGGGAGCAGCAGCTTTTTAAATTTTCTACTTAACTTGATAAACTGGATTATCAATGGATTTGGTCTTATGTCTTCATTATTTGTAATAAATATTCTTGCTCTTTGAGAAAATAAAATACTTTAATATTCCCTTTGCACATAGTTAAGGTATCAATGAGGAATGATTCTTATTCAAAGCTCATTGGTTTCACTAGGCAACAATGTGCAATTCTACTTTGTGATGGTATCCCGTTTGAAAGTAAAAAATAAATTGCATTTCTTAAAAAAAAAAAAACATCTAATGCACGCATTCACCAATTCTCAAAGGCTTTCCTGAGATTTTTATTATAATCAAACGGACTCAAAGGAGGGCAAATCTGAAAATAGAGCAGGTATCCAGGATAAGGCGGATTATATTTGCATTACGCTATTCATAAACCTAAACACAAGCTCTTCTTAAACCCTGGACTTTAAAATGACCAGTCATTCCAGTGGTCATGAGTCAGTACACTGACAGGGTTAGCCACATCTTGCTTCATTCAAAGAGAAGATAAAGGGGCACTCTGTCTTTGGTACAAGAAGCAACTTGTCTTTCTAAAACATTTCATTCACGTTCTTCCCTTTGAACATCTGCAGGCTAGCGAAAGGTAGAAAACACTTTACTTTCTGTTGCTGGAGACTGCTCTGCCGCTGGTGAGTCCGCGTGGAGCGGGCTTGGGCCAGCCACTCCTGCACGCCGGGGCTCTGGGTGGCAGTTGGGTCGACTTCACTCTCCTCTTTCTCTTGGGCTGTTCCCTGCTTTTAATAAGGCAGAAATCAAGGGTCATGGTACCCACAGAGAAACCTTAACCAAAGTATAGAGACCGCTACTTTGATGTGATCTGTATAATGACACCAAAGTGGCTCCACTTGGACAAGAAACCACATTTTTTTGTAAAAGGCAGTAATACAAAACCCATCTAAGTTGTGGCATTTCCAGGAGCAAGAACAATAAACAGATGACCACACACAGAAATATTTGAGGGGGAACCCATCTACTTAGAGGTTAGCTGGCTGATGTTTCAGCAGATATTATTCTAGAATTTTCTCCACAAAAATATAACTCTAGTTCTTTTATGAGTTTTTTTTTTGAATGTCACACAAAGTAAAATGTTTCTCGAATGATCATTCCCCATCATAATTTACTGTCCCTCCTGTGAAAGCATCACCCTGCCCTATGCCACCTTCTCCACCCAAGTCTGTCCAATGAATGCATGTAGCAAGTACTCAAAGATTTTTCTTAAAGGTTGCTAACCAAAGAGATTTCAATGTCTTTAAGAAGCAGTAAGTCCACAGTTCTGTAAGGCATCACAATCTCCAGAATTCAGTAAGAGCTTAAACTTGATTTTTTGTTCATTTGAAAGACAATTTACTGTCTGTAGAATAGAGGCCAGGGCTTTGCAGGTGTCTGGGCATCCTCTGTCCCGCCTTCCTCAGCCCAGTTCCAGACCTCTTGTCTCACAAGCCTGCAGGATGTGATCAACCACAGGTAGCTCAAATCCCAAGACACTTAAGCGGGCAGAAAGCCTCATCCCTGAAACTGGTCTTTATAAACCTTCCATGTCCATCCCACTAGGGCTCTAGATTTGAATTATTCCCAGAATTCTCTATTTTTGAGTGTGTGCTGTTTACATATTAATAGCTATGTTTACAGACTGCTCTACATAATGAATAGACTCTACTCAAATATGAGAAACCGTTAATGGCTTTTCTTTCAAACCCTTAAAACTAGCACATTAAAAAATGTCATTTAACCGCGGACACACGTGGTTACCATTCTACAAATTCAAAAGATTAACTGAGGCTTCAGAGGTCAGTGGTAATCAAAGGTGACATCTCTGGAAAAGTGCTGTTCCCACCCTCTACTGCCAGCAGCAGGGGCTGGTGGCTACCATGCAGGCTTTGATAAAGTTTGGCTAAAGGAGAAAGACAAAAACAATGACTTCGCACACAGACAAGTTTTTCCCTGCTGGCTGATTATTCTAATAAGATCTGAAAGGCTATAAAACGATGCATAGCAAATGAGATTAGTTCTGAATGAGAGCCTTTCTACTCGCATATATTCATATGTCAAAGGATAAATATACGATTTCAATAACACTCATTCACTAGATATTTATTAAACACCCACTAAGTGTGAGAAACTGTTCTAGGAGCTGGATGTATTCTGCAAAGAAAAAGGCAGGCCTGGGCCCTGGCAGGGAGCCAGACAATAATCAAACAAGATAAACTGAGCTAGTGATAAGGGCTACAAAGAGAGCGAAACTAAGTAATGGGATAGAAAGTTCTTAGGGTGGTCTGAGAAAGCATCTTTAGAAGAGACCACTGTGCTCTGCAAGATGAGAAACTCCCAGCCTGGCGAAAATGCAGGGGAGGGCATGCCAGCCTAGGGAACAGTTGGCACAAAGACCCAAGGTGAAAGCAATTCGGCATTTCAGAGAGAACAGCAGCAGTGACCAGGCCAGCATGCTGGAGTACGATGGGGTGGAAAGGAGGGTCAGTTTCAGGGCTGCTTCCATAGGAATCATCCTGCCATCTAGTTCTGGAGCTCCCTGCCCCGGGGGTCTTTGCCAAGCGTGACTACGCAATGGGATCCAGACTTTCCAGCTCAGCCAGCTCAATTGCCCACAGAGACCCTTCTCTGCCTCTTCTTTTCAGAATTTTACACTCACCATTACAGGGAAAGAGATGGGGTTTGTGTACCCTTGTTTCTCATTAGAATAATTCAATTGTAGAATGTTTGAGATAATGGACTGTACCTTTATCTCTGCAACATTGGTATCAGCGCTTGAAGCTGAATGAACTGAAGCGAACAGTAAAAGCCACAGGGAGTATACATAATCCACTCCCATATCTGAGACCACCTTAGCTCACAGGCACAACGCCCTGTCCTTTAAGACAAGCCAGTTCCCAGCCAGGGAGTGTGGTTTAGGAAGAATTATCTGGTTTAAAATATGCTATTTACATTTTGCAAGACCTTCAAAATGAGTGCCTAGCGACACCCAGTTAACTAAATTCCCGCCACTCCCAGAAATGTCTCTCAAAGATAAGGAGTGATTTTCCTGAAAGTAGGTGGTTTGGGTGCATGGCCATTTTCCTAGGACTGGAGCCCAAGATTTTCTGCATGGAACAGATTTTCCCCCATCTAAGAATCCACCATCTTCCAAGAATAAGCTCTAAAAGATCTTAGTTCTCCCAGGTGAGGATGAGACAGCAGGGTAAAAGGGACCTATAGAGAATGGCCTCAAGAAGTCAGTGCCTAAGATTGAAAGCTGTCCCCAATCAGTCTGTCCAGCTGGCAAAATAGTGGCCCTGGCCATGACCTGCTGACTCTCCTTTGTGGGATCCAGGCCACTTCCTCTCTGCTTTTCTCTTCAGCTAAAAGTTTGTTTTTCAGAGCCTGGCCTGAAGACGCCCTTGGTAACTTCTCACAGCGCTCGGCACTAACTCACTCTTCTATGAGAGCGTTTCTTTCTGATTCCTTACACCACATTTGTGCTTGGAACAATGACAGTTGAAGTATCAGGTCTTAAGAACAACTAACTTACTTTTACATGCACAGACATATATTCAGATTCTATGTGGTTAGGCTCAGTTTTTCAGTTAGTAAATTTTTCTCTGACTGATTTAGTCATTTTAAAACTTAAGACTTGGACCACAGGAAGTAAGAAATGGTTTAGAATCCAGTTCCCATTTTATCCTCTCATCCCTTGGGAAGAGAAGGCAGTTCCAGGGGGAACACAATTGTGGTAATTACTTTCTTTAAGGTGTGATAACAGTTTTCTCTCATATCTATGGATAGGCGGGGAAGGTGGCTTCCATCACCAGAGTCACCAAGGGTGGGGCTACATAAGCTGTTTATTTTGGAAATACTAGAACAATAAACACTTTTGCCAGGAACATTCTTTGGAAGATGAATGAGGATTGGGAAATGCCAAATATTAAATGAAACTTTTCTTTAAAAGCATTTTATTATTTTTATGGGGCAAACTCTCTGCTCCTTCAATGGATGATTATGTGTAAACATGACTTAAGCTGCTTATGAAGAAAGATATTATGTGATTCAAGAGCTATTATTCCTGCCCTTCAAATCTATATCTCTTCATATAGAGAAACAGTCTACTTAGTAGTGGTGAGGAACAAAAGAGATTAGTTATTTACTGATACCTACACAAATCCAATTGGTTAAAAAGAATGGAGGTAATAAGTATTAACATTTTACAGATATGACAGCACTAAGAAAGTGTGTGCTTATAGCCACAAAAGCCTTAGGAAGGTATTCCAGCCTTCCTGAATCATCCAGGCCCCAATTAAATGGCACTATTATTACTAATATCTTCATTAAATGGAAGATTTTTCCCCAATTAACTTTAATTTCAGATCAACTCTGAAACATTTTTAGTTTCTTACATAAAGGGAAATGATCCTTTTTATGGAATGACAAAATGTAAACAAGTCTCCTTTTATTCCTACAGATACAAAAATAATTTCTCAGAAAGCTTTAATTATTAAAAAAAATCCATCAATATTTTATATGCCAAGAACTTCCTTGGAGATATGATGATGGGACTTATAGATATTTGAAAAATAAACAATGACCAATTTTAATACAGTAAAACACTACAGTATTTTTCTGTATTTCCACTTCACAGAATGGCATCCTCAGGAATCCTTACACTTGAGGACAGAGTCAGGACTTCACTCAATTTAAACAATTCCTGTGGCCCTGGGCAGGACCTGCTAGGTATGGCACCACATGGATATGCTCAGCCCAGCCCCGGTAAGTCTGGAACCTGGCCTTTCAGCACATCAGGAATTCTTTTCCTCCCCAAAAATGTGGCTTAGAAATAGTTACTGTAATTAATTATTATAATTGCTGTAATTTGAGTGTTCATTGTAAGCATTACTTGCATTAAAATCTCAGGATTTTTTTTTTAAGTTAAATATTATTTTTCTCTATTTTAAAGGTGAGGAAACTGATTTGTAAGAATGTTGTGGGAAATTCAAGGATCTTGCCCCAGATCATCTAGTCCATAACTGGTGGGACCAAGATGGGGAGACTTCAATCCTGGTGTGTGAATAGGCTTTATTCGGCACACAAATTATTTAAAAATTCTAGAATTAAATGTCAATGTTTAAAAATCGGGAGATTTTAGAAATAAACCCAAATTTCCCATCTCTTGAGAGACTAGAAGATCTACAATGCTCCCTGTAGATTCTTGTATGACAACAGCTGGGCTGAGTAACAGCTGCCAAGGGGCCTGACAGGCCTGCTTCACTCTTTGGGATGCCCTCCCCGGCTCTGAGGCCCTGTTTAGGCCTTAGGTGTGTATGGGCTCATCAAGCTACCTCTTCCTCTGTACCCCTAGAGGCTACATGCCTCTAGAGGTAGAGCAGAATAACGGTGTAATAAGAGTTTTATAAATGATTGCTATCCCACACATGGAATTTTCAAGGCTTTCCCTTTGTTTTAGTTTCTTTAGAGATTCAGTTCATTCACAGACGACCACTGAAAATGGAGAAAAGCATTGTGTTATACTGACAATACCTGCATGTACAACTAAGTGGATTATTGTCTACTTTTACAGTTAGAAAATCATTGTGGTTATGTTCAATTTTAATATTTTTAATGTTTCCCTTTTTGTTTTAGTTGTAGAGTCTGATTACATGTGCATTTTCAAGTGTATATATTTAAAGTGAAAAGTTGTATTTTGTTTTCATTTGCATTTATTTATCCAATAAAGAGTTCAAGCATCTTTTCATATGTTCATTGTCCATTTGTATTTCTTTTTCTGCGAATTATCTCTTCATATCTTTTGTCCATATTTCTGTCAGGTGATCTTTTCTTATTGATACAAAAGATTTGTAAATTTTATAGTTTCTTCTCTATGTCTTTTAAGTCGGTTGATTTTTTTTCTTTTTTTGTCATACAGAACTTTTCATTTTTGTGTAGTAATTTTAAAGTAGTTTTAAAGTATTTTCCAAGCCACATTTTTTGGGAGGAAAGGAACTTCTGATGGGCTGAAAGGCCAGGATCCAGACTTACCAGGGCCGGGCTGAGCATATCCATGTGGCACCATACCTAGCAGATCCTGCTCAGTGGCACAGGAATTGTTTAAATTGAGTAAAGTCCTGACTCTGCCCTCAAGTGTCATTGGGCTTCTGGGATACCTGGTCCCTGGCTTAGCAGGGAGGGAAGGGGAGACCAACTCCTGCACTTCGGGTCTAAGTTCTAAGACCAAACCCTCCACTTTTGATCCTATCCTCTCCCTCCTACACAAGAAGATTGCCTTTGCAATCTCACTCCTTTTTCATCAATTTTTTCTCTACTGAGTTATTTCCACCTACATGTAAACATGTCATTATTTTTCTGATCTTAAAACTAAAATAAAACTAAATAAAAAATAAAACTAAATGAAATTTTCTTGACCTACTTCTTATGGCTTATCCCATTCCTCTATAGACCCTTTTACAGCAAAATTCCTGAAGTAGTCTGTACTCTCTCCCTCCAATGCATACCCTCTCGCTGTTACTTTCACTTGAGGGTGCTTTTTGCCTCCTGCACTCCACTGAACCACCAGTTGGTTAGGTCATGAGTCATGTGCATGTTGCTACATCCAGTGGGCAGTTCTCAGTCTTCATCTTACCTCACTTCCCAACAGCATCTATCTGGTGGTCTTCAAGAGGCTTTCAGGAGCTAAACTCTCAGTCTTCCTACTGGCTTCTCCTTTTAGCTCTCTTTTGGGGGCTCCTCCACATCTTCCAAATTCTTCATGATGGAGTGCCCCAGGGCCTGGTCTAGGACCCTAGTCTTTAGTCATCTTCCTTCCCCTGGTGAGCTCCTTAAATCTCATGTTTTAAAGTACCATCTACAAAACTGATGACTCCAGTCTATGTCTCTCCCATGAATTCTAACTGCTAGTGGACATTTAATAGGTATCTCAAACTTAACCTGTCCAAAACTAAACTACTGGCCGAACTATTCCTCCTCCTCTAATATCTGTTCCTCAGATGGTCTCCATCTTTTCAGTTATTAAAAATCTGGCAAGTTTTCATCACCTCTGCCACTGCACTATTACTGCTTCTTCACTGGTCCCCTCAGCTTCCACCCCATCTCCTTACAATGTTAAAATCTCATCCTGCCACTCTTCTGTTCCCAAACACTCCAATGGTTTCTCATCTTCCCCAGAGTCTCCAAGTCAAAGTCCATATGGTGCCTACAAGGTCCTTTAGTCCCTGGGCCCCTTGTTACCCATCTGCTATAGTCTGAAAGTTTGTTCCCCTACTTAGTTCACACTTTGAAACCTAATCCCCAACCCAATATGATAATATTAGGAGGCAAGACCTTTAAAAGTGATTGTGTCATGAGGATTGAGCCCTCATGAATGAGATTAGTGCCCTTATAAAAGAGACCCCAAAAAGCTGGCTGGCCCTTTCTACCATGTGAGGACACACCAAGAAGATGCCATCTACGAATCAGAGAGAGATCCACCACCAGACATTGAATCTTCTGACAAATTGATCTTGGATTTCCTAGCTTCCAGAACTGTGAGCAATAAATTTCTGTTGTTTATAAGCCACCCAGTTCATGGTATTTTTGTTATAAACCCTGAACAGACTAAGACACTATTGGACTTCATTTGCAACCACTCTTTTTTTGTTCACATCATTCCTGTCCCCCTGGTCTTCTTGAATGGGCCAAGTATGATCCCACCTGGGAGCCCTTGTACTTGCTTCCCCTTTTGCCTGGAACTCTCTTCCATGTGTTCACATGTACTTTCAATGTAAACTTAGTGAGCATTCCCTGGCCACCCTGTTTAGAACTGCAAATCCTCCCATCCCTGCCTTTTCTTAGCTACTTATCTAGGAAGTAGAGAAGTGTCTACTTCCTAGTAGACAAGTGTCTACTTCCTATAGGTGTCATGTCACCTATAGCTCTTACCATCTTCTAATTCGGTATGTAATAATGCATTATAATTGTATTTATTATCTGTCTCTCACAACCACAATACCTTGAAGATAGGAATATACAGATATATATAGATAGTTGTTTTCCATGCTCCTTCACTCTACTGCATAGAACATTAGCTGGCACATAGTAGCTTTTCAATAAGCATTTGCTTAATTTTTGAAGAAGACGATAATAGTAATATCTAATTTGTGGAGGTTAATAAATAGAATTAAAGTACTAGGTAATATGTGTGTAAGATACATGGGGAGAAACTGAGTAAAAGTGTTTCTAAGATTCTTACATTGATCTGCAGAGGGATAAAGATTTTAACCCATGAGTAGTCACAATAAATTTAAATGGACTAAACTTGTTCTTTAAGAGTCAGAGATTTTCCAATTAAATAAATGTTTGAAACCAACGAAATATGGCTGAATGTTCTTATAAGAAACAAACCTAAACCACAAGGACACAGAAAGGTTGAAATCAAAGAAAAGTCAAAATACATGTCAGGCAAATATTACCCAAAAAAGCTCTCACAATATAAAACAGAAATCACTATTAGGGAACACTAAGGTCATTACATGATCGCAAAAAGCTCAATTCACCTGGAATCTATGACAATTCTGAAGTTGCAGGCACTAAATAAAAGTCTGAGTATATCTAAAAGGTAGAATGTAAGAGAAATAAAAGAGAAATGTGAAAGTGTCTGCGTATCTTCACCCATGGCCCGCACTTAACGTTTTGGGGTAATTATTTTCATTTCACTTCTTTTCCCCTCACTGCAGTCCTCAAGTCTATGCACTCAAGTAGTCCTTACATAACCCATTTGGAAGTATATGCCAAAGTCAAAGAGTGTAAAATTAAAATGTCATGCTAAAATGTTTGTGTAAAACAAGTACATACATGAGTTTTTATTACCCTCCTCCCACCTGCTGTTTCATGTGTCACACGCTTAGGAGAGGCGTGCAAACAACGTGCCAAGTTTCCCTGCGGGCCGGGCCGGGCCGGGCCGGGCGCGGCGCCCTCACCTGCATGTGGAGCTGCTTGTCGTGCAGGGCTCTCTGCAGCTCCAGCAGGCTCCCCTTGAGCTGCCTCAGCTTTCCCGCCAGCTGCTCGGCCTCCTCCTTGGTGTGGGCCTTGCCCTCCAGCAGCAGGTTCTCGTTGTGCACCGAGAGCTCCGATAAGGCCACCACCTTCTGCTCTATCTCCACCAGCATGTTCTGGAGCAACAGAAATAAGGGTGATGCTCACACACCCTGCCAGCCTCTGCAAAGACTGTTCCCCACAGTGAAACACAGCCCCCCGTAGTCTTGCATCAAACTACAGGCTTTTATTTATTTATTTATTTATTTGTTTTTTGTAGTTTTCTCACAGCCTTAAACAGTAGTATATGCACTTTTTTTTTCTAATTGCCTGAGCTTCTTAATTTTTCTCTTTATTAAGATTAGATATTATATAATGAAAAACACATTGAAAAAAAAAAACACATGGAAAGCACATTTTTATACAGCCAACAGATACGGAGAAAAGGCCACACTGCCTTAACGTTATGCCATCATTATTATTATTGTTTTATTATTTCTGTTCTAGATTATGATACTTATGGCTAATAATAGTGAAGACATCACATAATCAACCCTTTCCTTGTCAATGTAAAGAAGATCCTCTTTCAAAACTGCTTTTTTTGGGTTTTTCTTCTTCTTCTTCTTCTTCCCTATTTCCAAATATAAAACTTCTTTGGGTTGATTAATTTTTTTTAGGTTGCTGCTCTTATTTTTTTTTTAAATTTGATATATGCTTAACCTTTCAGTTTCAAAAGTTTTCCTTAAAGTTTTAGTTTCACATTCTGTAACTGCTCTCTAGTGCTACACGGTTTTTCTCTAAAATGGAGACTAAAACCAGATAAGCAGCAAAATAGTCTCCCTTCTTTCAAGGTAAGACTTAAAACAAAAAAATAATAAGAAAAAGTCAAACAGAACAAACAACATGTTTTATTTTCTACAGAAATAATTCTGTTTTTATATTCTTTAAGTCTGACCTCTTTGAAATGTACTTTCTAATTTATATTAGATAAAGTAATTTATTAATGAGAAAAGATATTTTGGTTCCCTGTACAAAAATCAGGTTATTACCACCCCATCAATTTTAAGAATATAATTTCAAACCAAAAATCTAGAACGAAGTGAAACTTCAACTGAAATGGGGATTAAAAAATGATTTCCTGAGGACTGTTTGAAAAATTAACATAATTCTGTACAGAGTTGATTTTTCCATATGCTAAGGGCCCATAACACTTTCAGAGGTCCAAGAAAAATGTTTAATTTTAATTTATTTTAAAATCAGAAGAAAAAAATGAATGTAATAGTGTGGAATATATAATAATGAATCCACCCAGGATTATAGTGGTCTTTGTACCATAGTAGTTGTAAAATACAAATATAATTGTTAGTATTTTTCAGGGGGGAAGGGTCTCTGAAAGCAAAGTGCCCAGGCCCACCAAAGTCACCATGTGGCTCCCACTCTGTATAGCAGCCACAGTTACAATTATCACACAACTGGTTGATACTAGATTTCAATTGACTAGGTTTTAGCTGGCTTAAATGTCATATTTTAGTTGATTTTAATTTTAATTAAAAATGTAATTAATTTAACATAGTAATTAATTAAATATTAGATTTTAATAAACTGTTGTTTACTTGTGTGATTTCATATGCTTCTAGTTTCTTAAAGTGTGAAAAAACTATTTGAATACTTTGTAAAAGTCCTTAAATAGATTATCTGAATTATGGACTTTATGCATCACTATAAAAATAGATTATCTCTTAAAGAGCAGAGTGGCAGTAATGACAAAACAACTTTGAAATACCAGTTCAAGTGGTAATTTCAAGTGCTAACAGGGAATGCTAAAAATAGATACCTCTTCTCAGAAAAGAAACATTAGAAAGAAGATATAAAGAATGGAAAGCACCGGCATGTAACACTCTGAATAATTTCTATCATCAAGGCAGAGAATAACAATGCTTTGAATACATATAGGTAAGTTTCCCAAAGCATTAAAAAAATCCAAATAATAATGATCAATATTATGAATCTCAAATCATAAATAGAAATGACCAAAATGGCATATTATATATTAAGAAAAAAGTCAGTATTCATTAATTAAAGATTTCAATGTATGTCCTCTGGTTCCAAATAGGAGAAATATGAATTTGTGTAAACTGATATTTAACCCTGCACATTAGGTTGGGTTTTCTAGACAGTTCCTATTTAATTAAATCAAAAGCTTTTTAAGGCATACCTCACTCATATGTGAAGTCTAATATGTTGATGACCATTGAAGTTCAATCATGGGTACATGTGAGTTCATTTTCTATTCTCTACCCTTATATGTGTGTTCAGAAATTTCCACAAAAAAGTGGTAAAAAAGTATCAGAACAAACACCTTAATGCAATTACCCCTCACATTAATTCCTAGAGAGCTAACATGGGAGGAAACAAATTCTCTGCTTCCAAAGCCAACTTTCCCATGTTTAGTCAGTCTGCCTAAAACTGACAGTGGGAAAAGTTTTCCAAATAATATATCTGGATTAAAACCAATATTGCAACAGAGCATCTAGGGACACTTCCTGCTATATTCGTTCAGTCTGACTCACTGATACTAATTGTTTTCATTGCGTTTGCATTCCCTATTAGCCACTAAATACAGATCCCATGGTATTTTGGTGTCTACAGTATTTTAAAACAACTTTAGGAAGCTGAAGATTTTCTAAAGAGCAAATATTACTGGTGATCTTTTTTCAAAAACTAAACCCAAGTTTGGATTTCATTTAAGCTTTTATAATGTATTGCTTTTCTACTCTTTAAATATATAAAGTCTATGGGTTGTGAAAAACCATATATCCATACCAAGGCTTTTTACCAGTATGTTTTCTGTAGTTAAAATATATGCTTTGTGATGTTGGCATAGTCCTTTGAGATCATGTTTGTACCTGGCAGTCCTCAAGCTGGGCCTCCATGTCCATAGGCTCCTTGGGCGCACCCAGTGCAGTGTCCAGGGTGGCCTTGGTACTCAGGAGCCAGTGGTCCAGCTCGTCGGCTTCACAGCGATACCTCTGCAGAGCCTGTTCCTGCCTCTCCTCCTCCAGCTGATCGTTTAACTTCTCCTAATGAATTAAGGAGAATGGAGCACAGATCACCCTAAGATGAAATCTTCAAAATGCAATGCAGTAGAGCAATCGTCCTAAGCCCTGGCTGTACATAACCATCACCTGTGAAGCATTTAAAAAATACCCTTGCTAAGGCCACAATAATCAGAATTTCTGAAAATCAGTATTTTCTAAAAGACTTGGTGATTCTAATGTGCACCTAGAATTGAACAAGGCGTTCTTAAATGATATTCCCACAGGACCAGGCAGTCACGTGAAGATGGAAACAGCCCAGGATTAGAAGAAATCAGTGTCAGAAGGCAGTTGGGAAATGGCAACAGACACTTGACCCCAGTGTCTGGGAATCTGTAAGGAGTGCTGAGGACTGTGGCAAAGTGAAGAACACGTGGCCCACCTAAAAGGGCAGCCTGCATGCAGCTTTGGGCCCAGCGTTACTTGCATCTCAAGGAAAGGCAGAAATCCAAATTTTAGGTAGATCTCTGGGTTTTTCCAATGAGTGTAAATAATTCATGTTAAAACAAAAACTCAGGCCAATCACTTCATTTTGAAATCCCACAAATTTTCATAGAGTGAGGACAGTATGAATAAATTAAATTAACTGATAAGGTACTCTAAATATCTTCTTTTAAAAATTATTAATAATTCATTATTATTTTTAAATTAAATTTTTATTATATAGTTTAAAATGGAGATTAATAATTAGGGCAGACATATTGATTTTAAATTTCTCCAGTATAAGAAATATATAGATGATTTAACTAATCTTATAATAGGTAAGACTAGAAAGAAACTATACTACACCCAACAATAGGGCCACCATAAATGGACTTATGGTATAATCAGTAGCTATATAAAATAATATTCAGTTCATACAATAGGAAATGCATTGAGAACCTATTATGTGCCCGAGAAGCTGCTAAGAGATACCAGGAGACAGACACTACAAAGGTTTTTATGGACCCAATTATAGGACCAACAATATGAGCATCCAATATGCTTAGGGCCAATAATTAGAAGATAACAAATAAAAAGAAAAATGGTTGATTTTTAACATATCTATTATTAGTGTTGTCAAAATTTATCTCCATTTTAAATAATATTTAAGTAGCATGGGAACCATAATTGTAAAAGTATTTTCATGAATTACTATGTTTGAATTGGCTAACAGTGACTAAACAGGATTTATCCTTTATAGTATTAGTAATATTATCCATCAAAAGCTCTTATTTAAACATAGCAGACCATTATGTAAACCTTCTACATTATACTTCACAAGGCTCATATCTACCAAGTATTTGCTTTCCACATTCTTAATATTTCATGCCTGAAAGGAGTCAGGAAGGGGTAAGAGAACATACGACTACAACTGACTCATGCTCCATTCATGAGACTGTTCTAGAACACAATACCAGCTTCTTAGGAGAGGGAAACAGTGAAAATGTAGACCACGTAAGTAACCCACCTGCTTGTTAACACAACGATAAGAGTGAATTCAGAAGTGAGGAGGCAACTTCAGAATTACTAGTTACCTCCAAGAGCTGCCGTTTCCCCGAGGCTTTCATCCTGATGGTAGACATTCGCTCGGCCAAGACGGTGAGCGTGGACTGCAAGGCCAGCTGCTCCGCGGGGTCTGACTCGCGAGACTCAGACAGCAGCTCCTCTGCGAGAGAGGACTGGAGCTCATTGATTTCATCTTGGAGCATGAGAATCTCATCCATCAATGCCTGGAGGAAAGACTATGGAATCACGCTCATGTATTCACTTTCTTGACTGAGGAATCACACCGCCCGCTGAGCCTCACATCCACGGGGGTAGTGGAAGACATCTCACTTGGAAGTCACTGAACCAGCAGACGGGCCTACTCACCTACCTTTCAAAAGGAAAGTACCAGACTGAATGCCAGGACATGTCTGATTTTAATACTAGTCATATCACTAACCTAAGCAACTTTGAACCAAGTTGCCTAATCTTTCTGGTTTTCCATAAGCACATCTGTAATACAAGAGGGGGTAGGCTCCATTATTCCTAAGAGTCTCCAATTCTGTGCTGAAAATAAAATTCATCATTTTCTTCCTTAACATGATTTTCCCACTCTAACTTTCCCCAAGTCTGAAACAGCACTGCCTTCTATTCCCAAACTCACATAATTTCTCACAAGACGGGAGGAACCTGTGACCTGTTTCTGTGTGATCTCAGCCTACTCATTCTTCCTCCTCTACCCTACTCTAAAATATGAAGTCTTTCCCATGGGATGTCGTCCACTCCCAGGGCTTCAAAGGATTTCCAATGTTGAGAACTTCCAAAGGTACATCCCTAACCCAGACATCTGTCCTAAATTTCAGGCTGCGTATTCAACTTACCTAGTTCGTGGGTGTCTCCATCATATTAAATCTAAACCTGCTTGCAATCCCGTCTTCTACCACCCATCCTCACTCCTCAAGCTGGAGACCAGGAGTCCTTCTTCACACCTTCCTCTCGATAGAGGAAAGTCACTGGTCACTCACCACCCCCAATCCATCACTCAATCCTACTGTTTTTATCGCCCAAACATATCTTGTACATCTGCATATCTCCACTGCCCCACCCAAAGTCAACATTAACTTCCTCTCTTGTCTGAACTGCTATAATGGTCCAGTCTACCTGCTCAGGCTCTTATTGCTCCAGTCTACTCTTTACAAAGCAATCACAGCGATCTTTTAACATGCAAATTGGAATGGGATCTGTAATAGCAGGCAAGGTGCCAGGCCTGATGCCCAACCTTGAGTGAGGGAGGCCGTGAATTCATTTTCAAAGCATCTCTGAGCCCACTGCATAGACACTAGTAACAAAGCTCACCCTCGCTAACTGAAAAAAATTATGGACAAGAAGTTATTATTGAAATTACATGGTGGGAGACATGTCCAGGGAATATTACAGGGATTTGATCCCTTTATGAATAGTGATAGATGAATGTGTGGACATGGCAACTACTGGGCAACAGAGCAATAAAGCAGTGGTGGTGATACAAGGAAACAGTATCATCATGTTAGAAGCCTTAGAGCGAGTATAAATAATGGCTGCCCTGCAGAAAAATCCATGCTCTCTCTCCATTTTTACTATGATGTTGTTAATGGAAAATAACCTAAACTCTATAAAATAATTTGAAGAGGGCTATTCTGAGCCAAGTATGAGGACCACGTCCCGGAGCCACACCAAGAAGCCTTGAGCAATGGTCTCGCCCTGGTTGGGTTACAGTATGGTTTTATACATTTCAGGGAGACAGGAGTTACATGTGGAAGTCATAAATCAATACATGTGGAAGGTGTACATTAGTTTGCCCCGAACACCTTGAAGGGCATCAGGGTAGGGGACATGGGGGAGCTTACAGGTTTTAGGGGAGTTTAAAGAGTCTTTGATTTATAATTGGTTAAAGAAATGAAGCTTTGTCTAAAGGCTTGGAATGATTTAAGTTAACATAAGGAAGTCTGCTAATAAGAGACAAGCTGCCAGACATAGGCTCAGACTCACAAGATCTGCTGGGTAAATTGAAAACCGGCAGGTGTGGTTCAAGTTTTGTCTCACATAGCCTCAGGCCTGGTAATGAGTTACAAAGGATATCTCCAAAAAGGGAAAGGGGCATGATGAAGTGTGTCTGACCTCCCTTCTCGTGGCCAGCAACTCAGCTTTAGTGTATTTCTGGGGTCCTCTTGGCCAAGAGGGGTCCAGTCAATCAGCTGGTGGGGGGTGGGGCTTAATATATTATTTTAATTCACAATGTAAAAATCAGGTCATTGTTTAATTTTCGTATTAAACTTCGTGCTAAATAAACTTTTGTAATAGTAAAAAAAAAAAAAAAAGTGAATTAGATTCTCTTACTCCCTTGCTTTAAAATATGTACTGGCTTCTTGCCTGTAAAATAAAATCCAAACTTCTTACCATGCTTGGGTAGTCTCACCCTTCTGTCTCTTGTACCATACCCCCTTCCCTCTCCCAACATTCCTGCCTTCTTCAGTCCCTGCAGTGCTCCCAGTTCTTCCTGGCCACAGGGCCTTTGCACATGCTACCCCTCAAGCTGGACCCTCTTCTTCCTGCCCTGTGTGTGATGGCTCTGCTCATCCTTCAGCCCTACATTGTCATATCTTCATAGAGGCCTTTCCTGCCTACCTGATGTAAAGAAAATCTCTATAAGTCTTTCTCAACAGCACCCTGTTTTCCTGTTCAACATCTATCACAGTTATTCATGGTTTTTATTTCTCACTTTTTTGTATTTTATAACTTGTTCTTTAGATGGAATTTTCACAGGAGAAGTTTCTACTTAGGATTTGAAGGACATGTTAGGAAAACAGGCACTACCACTGGAGAGGCAATCATGATTGCAAGTAACATGGGCTTCATATTTGCTACTATTTCAGTTTTCAATGTGCCTTTATTTGCATAATTCCTGTCTTTTCCATAGGACTATAGGCTTCACTGTAAGCACATGGCTCATCTGAGTGGGCTCTCAATAAATATTGAGAAAGTATAGAAAAAACCCTTCTATTTTTCTAATATCAAGTGTTACCATGTCCAAGTTATTTTTATAAAATGAAGTATTATATTGACATTATTATACACTCTAGAAAAGCGCACAGACCATAAGCACACAAACACATGTACCTATGCTGTTGCCACCCACATCAACAAACAGAACATTTCCAGGATTCTATGAGTCCCTTTGACCTCCTCCCAGTTGCTACTGCTGTCCCCAAAAATAACCACCATGATGATGTGCAAACATCATAAATGACCCTGGCCCGTACTTCAGCTTCATAGAAATGAAATCATAACCCATGCATTGCTTTGTATCTGGCTCCTACACTCTCTACCATGATTGCGAAAGTTGTTCATTTTCATCATCATATTATAATCCTCTGTCACCTGGCTTGTGAATCTTTCTCATCTAAGTCATCCAAATGACTTCATAGTAGAATCTCATTGTAGTTTTAATTTGCACTTCCCTGATGACTAACGAGATTGAGCACGTTTTCATATGCTTTTTGGGCATCTTTTGTGACTTCCTGCTAAAAATCCTTTGCTCATTTTCTAGTGGAGTTTTTCCAGTTCTTACGGGTGGGTGTTTGCATATTCTGGATAGGAGTCCCTGTGTTTCTTTTGGTTCTGTGTATTGCAAATATCTGCCTACCCATTCTGTGGCATGGATTTTCCCTTAATAGGAAAAGACTTCCTTCATGGCATCTTTTGATAAAACTAGGTTCTTGATTTATTGTAGTCTAATAAATGAATATATTCCTTTACAGGTAGGGCTTTTAGTATCCTATTTAGGAAATTTTTGCCTAATCCAAGGTAATGAATGGAATACATTCTTATATGTTTTCTTCTATAAGAATGCTACTCAAAGTGTGGTCCATGGAATGGTGCCAGTGTCTAAGATGTTTGTTACAAGTTTGTAATGAGATGAAGATATTGAGAGTAAGCACCAAGAAATTTTCATAGCAAACTGACACTGTCATGACAGCAAAGCAACATTTGATTTAATTTTACTAAATTATTGGCCTATGATGGATTAGCAATTTTTTAAAAAAAAGAAAGATTATTTTAAGAAAGAAAAGTTATTTCTTTCTTAAGAAAGATTATTTACCATAAACAACTTGAGAAACACTATTTTAAAACTTTTTTGTTTTGTTTTGTTTTGTTTTTTGGTGGTTGTTATAACTTCACATTTAGATCTACAATCTACCTAAACTTAATTTTTGTGTCCAGCATAGGTAGGGGTGAAACTTATTTTCTATTTTTCACTCATTGTTTTGCAGAATAATTTTTGCCATAAACCAGATGGCTCCTTCTGGCCTTTAATTCTTTAATTCTGTTCCATTAACTCATTTGGCTATCTGTGCAAATGCCACATAATCTTAATTATTATTGCTTTATAAGTCTCACTAACTTGTAGGATATAATCCTTCAACTTTATTCATCTTTTTCAAGGTTATCTTGGCTATTTTTGACCTTTTGCATTTTCAATATATATATTTTTGACACATTTGCAATACGTTAGAATTAGCTTGTCAACCCCTACCAAAAACCTTGCTGGAATTTTTAAATGTGATTACACTGAATTCACAGACTGATACTATTTATTATAAATTGAAAGTATTTTTTGTCCAGTAAATGATTTTCCGTTATTTTATAATCACTCTTTGGTACCTAATTGCTAAAAGCATAAAACTGATACTATTTGGTCTTATGATAAAGGCTCCTCCATAATTAGACTGCCCTCATTATATCTTTTTTTTTTTCTTTTGCACTGATCCTTCTGTACAAGCAGGATGAGCCTCCTCAAGTTATCACAGCATGCTCATTCTCAGTCTCTCCTCTGTGCCTTTCCATACACAGCTACATTTATAGTGCCTCCTGCCCACTCCTGTTGTCAGTCCAGATTTCCAAACTCTGTGTCTCCCCAAAGTCCCGGCTAGATCTCACTTAACCTACTTCCCACCAATCTAGTCTACAACCAGGTCTCTGTTTTCTGTCCAATGTGTTGGTAATTTACACCAGCACTACCTCATTTAATCTCAGTGGATGTGACCAATCAGGTGTGCAGTGAAGTTATCAGCTTCCATTTCTAACTCACAATGTTCTAAAATAGCTCTCAGGATGCTCTGTAGTAAATAATCAAGGAACTAGGAACTCTAAAACTGTTGGCTGAAACCCTGTTAGAGGCAGGCATCCCTAGCCAGCCTTTACGTTTACCCCTAAGCAAGAGAGGGTATTTTTGGGGGGTCACTAGAATTTTTAACTCCAAGATCCAGCGGGTAAACTCAATGGGTATGAGATTCTCTTCTGGGGCCATGAAAATGTTCTGGAACCAGATAGAGGTGATAGTTGTATGACACTGTGAATGTACTAAATGCAACTGAATTGTACAATTTAAAACGGCTAATTTTATGTCATGTGAATTTCATGTCAATTAAAAAAATATATCAATAGTCAAATATGTCTTTGGTCCCACATCTGAGTACAGGAACTGGTGGTGGGTTTAACACCAAAGGTAAACATTAGTTTCATGTGACTTTCAGAATTATCTACAAGAACACAGTTCTTTTCACACTCTATTTAGAGTTGGTCTAGACATTAAAAAACAAAAACAAAGTAACCTCAGAGCTCTGCCTTCTATCTATCACTGAGCTTAGTGTGGCAGCACACGCCCCAAACGCACCAGATCCCATAATAAAGAAGGTCCTGATTACAGAGGATTAACACTCAGAACAATAGCCATAAGTCAGTTTATGAACTGCATTAAAGCCTTAAAATTAAATCTGGTCATACAATATAGAGAGGATAATAGGAAACGCACAGCACTCTACCCAAATCCAGCAGTTTAGACTTTATTTAGTGGAAAGTATTTAGAGGAAAAATGTAGGAGTTATGTGAGCTGTTTAAAGAAACATAAAAACTTCCAAGAGAGTGTTGGGAAAGAAATAACAAAGTATTTCTATTAATTTTTAGGAAATATAAAAAGCATACTGGATTTTCTCACCCCTAGTCAGTTGAAATTTAAAAATAGTAATTCTACAGTAGTGCTCAGATTTTTTTAAGTACCATTCCAGAAGCTAAGAACAAATTTAGACACTGTGATACCATTGCATGTGGGCAGCTCTGTCCCAGAATTTGTGGGACTTAGGCACAGACAGCAAAAGTTAGCAAAAATAGCTTCAGACGGAAAATGTTAGATTGGTGATGATATGCAAAATTATACTGAATTATGCATTATTTATATTTTCTCTCTCTCTCCCATTATAATATTAATATAACTGTCAAGCCCTAGTGATGGGTAATCATTATTAAATTAGTTCTATTCCCTTACTGCTATGATGGCCAACACTATCATTCCAACTTGGAAAGGGACAAAAAGTCATGTGATTGGCCTTAAGCATAAGTAAAGTCACAGATTCACTTCTAATTTCTAATTCTTAGAATTAATGTGCCATTTTGAGTCTTCTCCATTAAGTCCTTTGACCAAAATAATAATTTTGCTCTACGTTCAGTTTACGTGTATTTTCATACTAATGACCGAGATGCAGGGTGGTGGTGCTGATGGGGGGATAACTTCCAATTTCAGTTAGGAACTCGACTATCAGGGCAGGCCACCAGGCCCCTGTTTTCATGCAGTTCCTAAATCCTGCAAAGGCAGTGGAGGGTCTTTGGGAGCTGTGGTCAGTCACCCGGGCCACAAGAATGAGGGGCCCTGAGCAAAGGTGGAGATAACCTGAAGCTAGAGGGAAAGGGTCAGACATTGAAACCTTCTCCTGGAACACTGGCTCCTGATAATCTGAATGAGTGACCCTCAAGTTCACTCTAATTCTGCCTGTGGATAGTCGATGCTCTGTTTCTTTTGAATGCTTAAAGGAAGTGGCCTTGTACAGGACAGCCCATCAAAATGGCCTGAGGAGCCTGTAATCAACTTGAATAGAGCTCTCCGGCCCCTCTTGGTCCAGCGCAGCAAAGATGTGGGAACAGCAGGACGGACAGAACTGTAGGACCAAAGAGCAAGGAGCCCCAGCGAACATGCTGGGGCAACCCTTTCCAATGAGGAGGAGGTGGCTGCTAGCAATCAGGAAACTGGAGCACCAGTTTAAAAGCACTGTGAGACACTGAAGCCCCTCTAGAAAAGAGAGGGGCCTGGGAGGTTAGTGGCCTAGTGAGAAAACAGGACCTGGGAGGGAGGAGCTCAGAGGAATAGAGTATTGTAATACACTGCCCTAATGATGAGTTTGGTCTAGGCAAACAAGGGTTAATTTCCATTTCATGCCTTTACAGCATCCTCTGCAAACCTGGCTGATGACAGATGACTTTAGGATAACACAAGACCTGCAGAAGGTACTTTTTACCTAAATAAGGCCTTAACGTGGGTGCTATGCACTTTGATCTCTCTTCAGAAGTTACAAGAGTGTCAAAAACCTGAAACCACTATTTCTCAATATGTCTCTAGATGAAATGTTCCCATTTTTGTGTTATACTGAAAGGTCCTATGTTGCAAAAGAATGCAATTTTATCTGCCTCCACATTTGAACAAGCAATGTATCCCAAGGTTCTCCTGCTTCCAAAAGCAGAAAGATGTAAAGCAAAGACAGAGTTTTACTCTTAAAGCTGATAAATTTCCCTATCCTTGATAAACACACTTACCACGCCATGCTTTTATAGCTCTCAATTAACATCTAAAAATATCTTTCCTTCCCCCTGCCTTTTGCAGGGATGTCACATGCTCTTGGGTTCTGGTGGGGAGCAGGCAGGCAGCATTTCCCATATCGTGGTCACTGAATAGGTAGGAGAATCTATGCCTCAGTATCTTTGGACCCCAGTCGTAACATATAAATATGATTGCACATTAAGAGCACACGTCAGAAGACAGCTAAAGTATTAACCAGATTTTAACTTATGAATATTTCTTAGCATGCACTTTAAATTGATGCCTTTTTAACATAATCTTTTTGAGTTAGGTTAATATAATCATCTCTGTTTCTCAAATAAAGCTGAAGTTTTGCCTAGTTTATGTAACATTTTAAGAAATGATTCAAGTCAAGAACGATGGCAAAATAACTTAGAACGTCTTATCCCTCAACTGCTTCTTTGCCCCTGAAGTCTGAAATGTCTTCTCTTATGTAATAAAGGGGAGGGGCCGGGTGCGGTGGCTCACGCCTGTAATCCTAGCACTCTGGGAGGCTGAGGTGGAAGGACTGCTTGAGGTCAGGAGTTTGAGACCAGCCTGAGCAAGAGTGAGACCCTGCCTCTACTAAAAAAATAGAAGAAAAAAAATAATAGTTGGGCAACTAAAAATAGAAAAAATTAGCCCATGTGGTGGCATGCCAGCTGCTCAGAAGGCTGAAGCAGGAGGATCACAAGAGCCCAGGAGTTTGAGGTTGCTGTGAGCTAGGCTGATGCCACAGCACTCTAGCCAGGGAAACAGAGCAAGCCTCTGTCTCAAAATAATAATAGTAATAATAAAGGGGAGGTACTGGGTACACACCCAAGAAGGTAGATTTGGGGTACATTTTATTCTTACACCAAGAGCTCAGAACAAAATCAAAATAATCTAAGAACTGTAAGGAAACACGTTTTGTATAATAAAAGTTAAAAAGCAACATCAATGCATGTAGCTTTCTTCAATTAGATTCAAAGTCTGAATTTATTCATTTTTTCCTTAGATCCCTCCCTGCCATGGTGATGGAAACAACCACCGTTAGGAATCTTGTTTACTCTGTAAGAACTGATAAAGTAAAAAAGATTTAAAAAAATGTCCACCTGTTGTCCCAAACACGTGCCTGACAGGCCAGCCGGTCACAAGAGTGCACCTATCTAATCGTGAGGAAGCTGAAAGCATGGCTCTGTTTACCTGATGTTCAGCCATCTGGCTCTCAGGACTCCTGTCGGGCTCGAGACTCTCGCTGAGTTTCAGCTCCACGGCCTCCATCTTTGTAGAGATGGACTGGAGCGCGTCCTGGTACCTCTGCTGGCGTTCCAGAGCCTCATAGAGTGTGCGCTGCTTCTCACTGATCTAAACAAGGAAAGGGATATTACCAAATGTTTCCCAGCCCCTTATCTTCCAGATTACGACACTGCTTTCCTCACTGCTTTATCTCTGTGGCCCAACAGAGGGTATTCGACTGCGTACTGGATGTGTAAACTCTCCGCATGTATTTCATAAGACAATCGCTTAAGGCGATTGGTGTCTGGTGGGCTTAAACAATTCTACATTTTAAAGACTTACCACATTCTTTAGGGTTTCCCAAGAACGCTGCAAATCACCCAGTTTGGCAGTAGCAGATGGCTCCAGTCCCGGTTCATAGAACTCAGGGGATGTCGATGTGGTGGGGGAAATCCTTGCAGCATCCGTCTGCAACTTCTCAGCAGACAGGGCTTGGAAATATGCAATGTCCTGTGAGTACAAAGCGTAGTGTTGGATTCAAAATGAAGACAAAGTCTAGATTGATATGCTCTGGGTACTATCTGTCACATGGAGGAAAGGCTTAAGATTTGCACCTTTCACTGGGCACAAGAAATTAGTAAAGTTAGTAAATTCTTATGACAAGCATTTTTTTGTGTTGTTTTTTGGCCATGCTAATCTTCTCTGTATCATTCCAATTTTAGTATATGTGCTGCTGAGGCGAGCACTTTTTTTTTTGACAAGAATTTAAAGATCATATCAAAGCATATTATACTTGCCTCAGAATTTTGGTTTATATGTTAAGACTTTACCAATATTTCAAGTTGCCAATATTTCAAACTCATTTTATATTAGGTAAAGTGGAAATACAAAGGATATAAGTGGTACACATATATTTGGAGATTAACTAGTGTAGCAAAAAAGAAAATTTCAATGATCTAGTTCTTAAAATGCTGCTTAAGGTATTGATTAAAGTTTTAAATAATTTTAAAAAGTACTTGATTTAGATAAAATTAAATCTATAGATAATTTTTCAGATGTAGCCAGATCTTCACTATTTGTGAATTCATTATTTATAGAAATTAATATAAATATTTTAATATTAAATAAGAGAAAATATAATGAGGAAGTTAACACTACTCTTAGAAACAAATAATAAAAAGGTTTCTATTCATTTCCTGGAAGTGCATAAGAAAGCATCAAAGTAAACCATAAATAATCATACTACTGATTTTTTTTAATCTCTTGGATTATAAGTAACATTACACATTTCATTAGTATTGATAATGAAATTTACTATATCAAGAAGTAATTGATGTGTTTTCAGTTGTTTCTATCGGTATTTATCTGTATTTGAATGGAAATTAAATTGAAGGAGTGATGCTTATATTTTGTGAATTGCTATTATAAAGCTTTTGTAGTTGTACTATTAAAGATAATTATGTCAGTTTAAAATACCTAAGCCTTATTGATAATCACATATTGGTTAAAAGTGTAGAAGGCTCCAGCCACCTGAGATATGAAGATAATATCTCCCCAAACCCTGGTGTTTTGGGGAGTCTCTAAGGGGCAGAAGCAGGCTCGTGCAGTAGCATGTGTTCAGACTGGAAGTCAGGACACCTGAGATTCTAGTTGGACTTCTCCTTCTAAGTAGCTATGTAATTGGAGCAAATAATCTACATCTTGTGCATCGATTCACTCATTGGTTCAACATTAGGTGGCTTTGAGAATTAAATGAAGTGATATTTGCATGACTATGACACCTTCTACCCATTTTTCTGTGGTTATTGCCGAGGCTTCCAGAGAAGACCCCAACATTACTGACAGCATTGGAACACGGAGACAGGCTCCTCCTCATTCCTGACCTGTCACCATCTCGCATGGTATCCTCAAGTCCTTGATAGGCTCGTGCCTGTTGATCCTCACTCACTTCCACCCACTTCAGTCCTCCACACCCCTGAATACAGGCATCACTCAACTGGACTTGTACCTATTAATAATTCTTTGTTTTTTTTTTTAAAGCTGCTCAGTTCATAGAATAGATATGTAGCTATTTCTAAAGTTCCTTAAACCACTTTCTTACCAACACTGTTGTCTCCCTTGCCCCTTTAACCTTGCTTCACCCACTTGGAAAACCTGAACCATGACTCAATCCAACTTTACTTTCCAGAGGTCATGTGCATTAGGGTGTTTCATACACACACACACACACACACACACACACACACACACACACACAACTGAAGCTGTCAAGGAGATCCTCCTGCAACTTCTTACATTTTCAAAAGTCTGTTAATATTCAGACTCACCTTATCTCACGCTCGCCAGTTTCACTGCTTAAGGAAGATTCTCCCACCAACTCCTAAAATCCCGTAAACTGCTTTTCCAAGGACTTTGATCCGTTAATATCTCCCCCCTCTCTGTTAACTTTCTACTCCATACGTAAGTAGTCAACTCTCTTCTATCCAAAACCACGTACACACTTTTCTCTTTTGATATTTTTTCTTGAAGGATCTCACATTTTAGAAAAGTCCACAAATAGCAAAGTGATGGATTATCACACATGAATACACTTGCGCACACATAGTCCTCCTTTCTTTCTCTTCTCCCTTTCACTTCATAATCCAGCTTCTTTCAGAAGGGTGATTTACACACGGCATAGTCATTGTTTCACCCTCAATCCACTTCTAAACCACCCCCCGGGCTTCAATCTGGTGACTACACTGAGATTGCTCTCACCAGTCCTCAAAGGCTTCTTTTCTACGGAATGAAATGGTCACTCTACAGCCCTTCCGTGGCTGACCTCTGAGTAGTGTCCAATAGCACCAGCCATCCCTTTTTAGAAACACTTCCCCTTTAATCTGTTCTCAGCTCTCTAGTCAGTCACACTTTCTCTACTGTAGTTTGTTTTCCACTCACTCTTCAACACTGGTGAATTTATAACCTCCAGGCTCACATATCCTGGTGCTCATGTATGTACCATGGGCTCTTCAAACTCAACATTTCCAAAAAAAAAAAAAAATAGAATGAGAAATGGACTTAGGAAAAAAATAGTGTTATTCATCTTTCAATAAATAGAACTTCTCCCCACCTAAGCTATAGATTTGGGATTTTTTTTTTCTCGATTTTTCCTCTCCATTACCACCCAATGCTTATGTAAGGACAAATTACTATTTGATGCATAACCTTGCCACGGCCTTAGTTCGAGTTCTCATTACGACCACAACTTCCTAATTCAAAGGTTGCAGACAGGCAGCCTCTGACCTCCATACTTTCAGCTTGGCTTATACAGTGTTTTCAACTGTTTAAAAATCTCTCTTCAATAACATAGAGAGATTTCATAAAAATCAGGATTCATGGCTTCTCCTGCAAACCAGAAGGTATATAACCCTGGGTCCCATGTCTGCATGGATAAAGTAATTCCAACAGAGAAGACATGGCCTCATTTAAGTGGAGCAGCACTGTTCAGGTCCCTGCAGCCCCTCCTGGCCCATTTTTCTTGTTTATATCACTAGGGTAGACCAAGAATGAGAGTGTGCAACTTCTGTACCTATCACCTTCCTGGTTCTGAATCTTCCCATTTCCATTCTCCTGCCCCTAATGGTCCAGAATGATCTGTTCTAAAACCTAACTCCATACAGAGGTGCTAGTTAAATTTCCTCAGTGGTTAACTATCAGCTTTTCGAGGAAGTTCAAATTCTTTTGTGTGGCATTCAGGGTCCCTCCTGATGTGGTTCTGCATTCTTCTGACTCTCATTTATCCCCTTTCTCCTCCTCCAAACCTGTTTCTCCAGTGACACTGAAATTGTCTGCAGTTGCCTTGTTGGGCCATTTTTCTTCCTGAGTCCACAGCCTTCCACATGTGGTTCCTCTGCCTGAAACGCTTCCTCTCATACCGCCCTCATGCGCTCTGGCTGCCTAGCTTGTGCTCCTCCCTTAAAACTAGAGGGGGCCATCTGTGGCCTTTGCCAGAATCCAGCCTGGTTTAGGGGTTCCCCCTGCGTCCTCCCTCTGCCCGCCATCCCACCTCTGCCCTCTATGGTAACCATTTGCCTGTGAGCTCCCTGAGGGCTGGCTGGGACATCGCTTTTAGTCTTTCATCCTGAGCACCTTGTGGGGTGTTTGGCAAATAACAGGCAGGTTTTATGTTCATAATGAATCATGTATGTAAAAGCACTTTGTGAACTCTATTATTTTATATACATGGGAGGTAATATATTACTACTGTCCACAAAGAAAATCGAAAAAATGGCTTAAAATAGTGTAAAAATTTTAACTTACTCTATTATAAATAAAAAGGTCTCCAAAAGAGCTAGAATAAATCTGTTACCAAAAGTCCTTTTTCTGCCTCTGTGTGTATGTGTTTGTGCATGGCTCAGGCCTATAGACAGGAACTACAACTCCTGGTTTCTCAAAGGGATTTGAAAACATATCACCTTTTACAGATGAATAATTTAGATCTATTTGAGGACTACATAAATTCAATACAACAGATCAATCAGTACTAGAAATAACTAAATAAAGCCAATACTTGGTGTAGTGAGAAATCACCACTAGAAATATGTCCCTTATTGCTTATGTGTTTAAGTTATGAGGGTTATTACAACCAGATTCTTAAGGAAATAAATTTCCACAACTGTAGCTACTATTTGATCAGCATTTTCAAGTTTAAGAAGTACTTTTGTGATTTACATCACATTTCGTTTGCACAATCTCGAATTAAGTAGTATGGCTTCCCACTTACAAAACAGGGGGTCAAAAGACTTCCCAGCTGCACTCAGCTTGGAGGAGGGAGAGCTGTGGCCCAGAATGAGTTTTTCGTTTGGAGGCCAGTGATTTGCCCCTTACGCTCTTTCCAAACCTAACTTCTCTAAATTTTTCTGTGGTGTCTTAAGTCTTGGCTTGCTTCTGTGGGGAATCAAGATGCCCGAGGCAAATTATGGGGCTTCCTCATTATTTCTACCCTCCAGTAGCTAAATTGTTATTACACTGTAGCTAATAGCTATTGTCAGATACGAAACACACTGTGAGTGGGATCAGGTAGTTACATAATGGAGATCGACTTGCAGAAACAGCAAGCACAAAACCTTTTGTAACAGCTGGGATTTTATAAAGCAATTATAGTTGGCGGCTCCCTGAAACAGTGGTGCACATTTCGTACAGGGTTCTGAGCCTGAAGACTGAAATTTATGGGGATTCTAAATGTCCTCCTCAGTTTCAAGAGACAATTTTGAAAAGCCAATGCATCATTGGTCACATTGTTGTGTTTTTTCAATGTCCTGTGACTTAACATTACTGTACAAGAATAACAGTGGCTGTTATGACGGGGTTGATTTGTTTGAGCGACATCAAGCGTAATACACTTGTTTTTTAATAGCTTCCTCTGAGTAAACTGTCTGACTCCGCTGATTTGCAGCATCACATAAAAGTATTTTAGGTTAACAATGTCATTTAACTGACGTTGTCCTGTGACGAGGGAAGAGAGGAGGGATTACAACAAAGTATAACGTCACTCAGCTTTAGGATCTGATTAAGCTTTACCATACTGCCAAGTAATAATAATAAAAATGTTTGCATGTTTTATCATTTATGGGCACTCTCACCTATAGATGGACAGTTTAACTCTCCAAGAAGTAGCATGGAGAGTTAAAATTTTAGAAAAGGTATATTTTTCCCACAGTATTAGTCTCAAGATCGATATTGATCCCATTTGAAGATTTTCAGAACACTAAGCATATTAATAAGATAAATTTTTCTATATGACAATCTGCTGACTATAGCCCAATTTTTCTGACTCTAATAACATCTGTAACCACAAGGAAGAACCTATCATCAAAAAATGAGTAATACATATTTCTGAATTAGAATTTGGAGAACAGTTTCCCAATCCCCCAGGGTGTCCTGAACTTCTCCTTTTTTGTTGTTGTTCTTCATTTCCTCTTGTCACTTTGTTATCATTCCTCCCACGTCAACCTTTCCCCCTAGATGGTAAGGTCCTAGCAGGCAGGGCCACTGTTGCTGTTCCTTTCCAGAACAAAGTTTCGTCCCAGCAGGTGCTCAGAACGTATTTGATGAATAGATGAGTTGAAAACTTCCCTAGAGCTACTGTGTTTCCCTGAAAATAAGACAGGGTCTTATATTTGTTTTTGCTCAAGAAGACACCCTAGGGCTTATTTTTAGGAGATGTGGTATTTTCCCCTCAAAACCTCAGCTTGCAGCACGCACGGTATGGCTGGGACCTCACAGGGGGAGCTGACCTTGTTGGTGGGGCTGCCTGGACCTTTCCGGTCACCTCTGGGATAGTAGCTGTCACAATGGGGCAGATGAGAAGGGCTGCTCGTCTTCTTTACTGTTCTACAACAGAATGCAAGGGTTGTGCAGATACACCCTGTAGCCACGCCCATCACTAGATCTTATTTTCGGGGTAGGGTTTATATTGCACAAATGCTTAGAAATCCTGCTCGGGCTTATTTTATGGGTAGGTCTTATTTTCGGGGAAACACGGTACATTGATTGTTACTAAGACAATTGCATTATTGTATTATCTAAAAGTTTTGTCATTTTTATTTTCCTTTTTTGTCAATGAGGGGGATTCTACTTATCACAGAATCCTATTCTGAATGCTTCTACTTTAAAATAAAAGTAATATAACTGATTTATAATATAGTTTATAAAGCATTTGGTCTATTTAATGCTTCTTCTTTGATAATATATCTCAACTTCTCTCAACACTTACATATAATAACATAATTTAAATTTTTTTCATTGTTTTGATTTTTAAAAGTATTATTTAACATGCATTAAATGTTTTTGGTTATTATAAAAGCATCTTTTTTATTTTTATCTAATTTTTTTAATGAAAACTTTTTAATATTTCATTTAGTATAATCTATATTTAATATAATGCACAGTATTATAAAAAAGACATTACAAAAAGGTATTATCCTCATTTTATAGAAAATAAATTTAAGATTATTGAAAGATAAGCAAAAAACTCAAATCTACCAGGCATTACAAGAAATACACTGGCAGACATTCCTTAAATTGGTTTACAAATAGTAAATAAAGAAAAAGTATGATAAACAGCAGTTTCCTATCTTCAAAATCTGAGCTGGTAAATATCAACACAACACTATATTCAATGAATGTTAAAATAGTCGTATAATCATGTTATTTTACAATGGTGACACAGAACTTTCATTCTCTGCTAGGATGCAGAACCCCATTCTAGATGATTGTTAGAAAGTAAAGCTATTATGCCTTAAAATGGGGCTTTTTTGGGTTATAATTCCCATGACCTAATTTTTGCTCATCTCATTGTCAGAAGCCCAGGAAGGAGGATGACATCCCAAGCCAGTGGTCTCACCTGGCAATCATAGTCTGTGCAGCTACAACACCTAATGGTGTGTCTCTGGAACCAAATGCAACAAAGTCTAAGATCCATACCCACAGCCTAATTGAGAACAAAGAGAATGGAGTTCTGCATCTGCCCAGAGATCATTCATTGCTAGAGGAACGTCAAGTGGGAGATACCTGGTTAACAGAAGCATCTGTATTAGCCACAGGTGAAGGAGAGCGACAGGCTGGTGGAGAAGAAATCTCACTGTTGGTTCCCTCCTCCCCAGACTCCTCAGTGACAGGTGACAGCAAAGTGTGACAGCGACCTGCAGTCATCTGCCATGTAAAATGTAGCCCAAAGGACATGAAAATCAGTTAGCATGTTAACAAAACACCTGGCCAGGCACAGGTCAAAACAGAGATCATTATATTAAAACAAAGGTTAGAATTACTGAGACTCAAATTCACATATTAATTCTGTGTTAGTATTTATAAGTTTCATCTTCAGGAGAATATGTTCTAGAAATCATTTGTAAAACAATCAAGGATGTGAGTACATATGACATGTAAGAGTTGTGGTGTTGATTAAATACTTCTTTTATTTTCCTTTTTTTAAAACTGTATCTCTGAAAATAACTAGAAAAGTCATGAATCATACAAATACAAAAGGGGTCTATGAAATAAAGCTTGGTCTTTTGTGTACTCAAAGTAATAGTATATTGTCAAATGGGCCCAGGTATGGTTATACATTATCCAAGGCATAGAACATATGAGGGAAAATACACAACACTGGAAAACATTATATATAGTTCCCAAAATACTCAATGCATTTTCAATGTCAAGTGTATGGTGTAGAATAAAAAATAATGAAGTTTACTTTAATCCAAAGCTAAACTTTGGTTTATCTATTTTCTTATTTTTTCTAACAATAGCTTTTCTTCCAAATTTTATTAAACATGTACACAGTAGAGTACATGCACAAATGTAGTGAGCTAGTTAGCTTGGCAAACACAACTAAATATGTGTGCCACGATTCTCCCATCCCCCAGAAAACTAAATCACTGTGCAAAGGAATTTTTCCTTAGAGCTCAGAGCCTCTCAGTATTGTTTCTAAATCATGAAGGAAAGCGAGACACGTTCAGCCATTCGGCAGTCTGGGGCGAATAGTTTCATGTCACCTGTCACTGTTTACAGTGTCAAAGACTGGCTCCAGCCCAAGTGTAGTCAAAGAGTTAAGGAAACTGTTCCTCAATTTGAATCTGCAAAATCTAAGGCTGATCCCTGAAATAAACCTGGGAAGAGAGAGCGTGGAGCCACTGGCCCGGCCGGGTCCGAAGAGCGGAGCGGCCAGGACGGGCTGCAGCCTTACCATGACCACGGAGGGGTGGGCCGGGGGCGCGGAGAGGAGCTCCCCATCCAGGTCCTCGGTGCCTCCCGCCAGCCCCTCGACCTCGGTCACCGTCAGCAGCATGGTGGCGTGCTTGGCTTTCATCGTCAGCATCTTGCACTTGGAATTCAGCGAGGCGATCTGCTCCTGGTAGCCCTTGATTTTCTGAGCCAGCTCCTGAGGAAACACCCCCGCCCCCGCCCCCGGGGTGTCAGAGCAGCATCAAAAGGAAACCCAAGTAGCAGCGTTCACCTTCCTGCAGGGCCGGCCAATGGGAGCGCGGGGCCGCGCGGTGGCGACACCGCCGGGAGGCAGGATGTGGCGGAGCAGGCTGCGACCGAGCCGGGCCCTGCACAGCACCGTGGCCGACCCCCGCGGCAGCCGCCCGGCCCAGCGACAACGCACGAGTGCCGGAGCAGGCGGCGCCACCAGAGGAGAAACCCTGCGAAGTCAGTGAGAGGTGCCCCACCTAATCGCGACAGATGCCCCCACACTGAACCCTGAACATCAAGAACTGGCAACTTTCATGCAAATAAGAAAGCATCTGAAATCTACCAGATGGTTCACGCCACGGAAATTAGGTCATGTGATGACGAAAACTGCAACAAAATGCAATGCTCAGCTCTGACCATGCTGAGAAATGACAGAACAGAGACGACAGTCATTTATTAGGATAGGGTCACACGGTAAACTGCCTGTCCGTTCCTATTCCTGGCTTCTTTCTAGGTAAGTTAGATATTACATAGGAAACTTCAATTTGCTATGCAGATTGTCCCCCAAATAAATTCTGTACATTCATCAGATTTTCTTTTCATGAGCTCCATCATGTCTCAAATGCTGCTGATGCTTCAAACTAGAGCTCTGAATTTCATGTGCGTTCAAATGTAATGGCTTTTAATTCCATTTGCCTTTGGAAAAAAATTATTGTGAGAGATATAGGTTTTTAAATACTTACTAAGAGCTTGTTGGAAATATATTCTGGACAGCATGTCGCTCTTAAAAAGGTAACTACAGATTCATTTTAGGAGTATGGCAATTCTAAAATATTAAAGTTATACTTTTTGTTTAAATATTAAATGTAATAAATAGTAAATGCTGAAGTTATACTTTCTTGCATCTTTAAAATGTGAAAATGTATATTCCAAAACATGAATCCTGAAAGTATAAAACTATTACTATTTTTTATTCCTTTCATTTGGCCCTTTGCCTAAGAAGCTTTCATTTAGTGACAGAGACATTAAATGTCATTGTCTTTAAAATGATTGCTTGTGTATATATATATATATATCTCTATATATATATCTGTATAAATATATATGTCTATATACAGTCACCCCTCTGTATCTGAAGTAGAGTAGTTCCAGGACCCCCTTTGGATACCAAAATCCAGTGATACCTAAGTCCCTGATATAAAATGGCGTAGTATTTGCATATAACCTACACACATCCTCCCAAATACTTTAAATCATCTCTAGATTACTTATAATATCTAATACACGGTAAATGCTATGCAAATAGGTGTTATACTGCATTGTTTAGGAAATAATGATAAGACAAAAACATGAACAGGTATAGATGCAACCATCCATTCTTTTTTCATATATTTTCCAACCATGGTTAGATGAATCCATGGATGTGGACCTCACAGATATGAAGGGCCAACTGTATATGTGTATAAAACATACACACACACACTATATATATACATATATATATATATATGTATACACACACACACACACACGTATCTTGTTATTATTATTGTTTTACTTGTTTCTTCTCTCCCAAGTAAAAACTTATGGGGGTGGGAGGGCAGGGAATAGCCCAGCAGAACCCAGCCAGCAGCCTGTTTTCTTGACTTCTAGTATCTTACAATTTTTTTTTTTTTAGACTGTCTCACTCTGTTGCCCAGGCTAGAGTGCTATGGCGTCAGCCTAGCTCACAGCAACCTCAAACTCCTGGGCTCAAGCAATCCTGCTATCTCAGCCTCCCAAGTAGCTGGGATTACAGGCATGTACCACCATTCCCAGCTAATTTTTTATATATATATTTTTAGTTGTCTAGCTAATTTCTTTCCTTTTTTCATTTTTTTTTTTTTTTTTTAGTAGAGATGGGGTCTTACTCTTGCTCAGGCTGGTCTCGAACTCCTGAGCTCAAATGATCCGCCTGCCTCAGCCTCCTAGAGTGCTAGGATTCCAAGCGTGAGCCACCACGCCCGGCTAATATCTTACAAATTTTTAAGCCAAGGATTTTAAAAGGTAGAAATCATAGTTTCTTTACCTCTGAGGATGTGGATACTTAATTAAACCTACTAGAGCTCTTTAAGGAAAGAATAGTGACAAAATAGCTATTTACTACATCCTGTCTGGTGGCTAGCACATGGATACTAAAAAATGATACTTCTTATATTTAGTTAACATGCACAGGTAGAAAACATCTACCAGCTTACTGGACTCCTTGAATTCCAAGTCACTAAGCTTTCTTACCATGGCTTGCAGCATTAGGATGAATTTGAGGACTCTGTGAAGACAGAGTTAGTCTTAGCCCTTGTACCCTTTGTAACCACATGGCTGGGCACAGCTCCCTACTGCAGTACCCTGCAAAGGTGTACTGACAGCAAGCCCCTGTTTCCTAAGCTGGAATTCTCAACTTTATTGTGTATAAACCTCATTTGGGTTGTTTGGTAAAAATGCAACTTTGGACACCACTTCCAAAGAGTTTGGATTTACTAGGTTTATGAGAATCTGCGTTTCATAGTTAGCCCATTTGACTCTAACTCTAATGTATGCAACTCTCTTTGAGAAATATTACTCTAGAACTTTCTTCTTAAGTGGAAACCTGCTTGTATCTCATTACCTTCATGTGTGAGTTATTCATCTGTGATCAAATCCACTAAAATAAAACGGAGCACTGGATTAATGTGTTATTTCTCTGAGGAAACACACATAGACACACGTATTTAAATCTTTACTAGGTAATTCTGAAAATGTTTATAAAGGTGGGAATTTCAGATACAGTGGCCACTCAAAGAAAAGTCACCCCCTGTGGGCAGCAGGCTCCTGGCAGGCCGCCTGTGTCAGCTGGAGAGCGAAGAGGAGTGAGGATTCTCTCTTATGATTTAAAAGTGGCTGGACAATTTTTTCAAATTAAATGCAACCTTTCAAAAATTACAGAAAATAAAATGTAAGATCCTTACAAATAACAAATTATTAGTTACTTTTATGAGTTAAAGTAATCCCTATGGAAACCAGATTCACCTTGAGATTGAAATTCAATTAAATGCAGACTGAAAATACAGGAAAGAACCCTCTTCCCAATTTTTATGTGATCATCAGTCAGGCTTTCTCTACTGGACACTTTCCTTCCTGTGTTTGTTTTATACATACAATGAACCTCACAGAGGACTGCATCATGTTTTGCATGAAAACATGTTCTAAATTACATGACAGAATTAACAAATGTCAACAATGATGTTCAGAATTGTGAGGAGAAAATGGAATAAAATAAATAGATCACTGAAATAGGAGCCAGGAAGGCACCGTTTGCTGCTGGCTATGTTAAAAGCTCACTCTGCAACCTTAGGTGAGTCATTTATTTTCCTGGGACTTCGTTATTCTCTTTTGTACAATGAAGTAGCCCAAATAATTTCTGCTACAGTGGAAAAATCACAGAATTTGGAGCCAAACATACTGAGTTTGAGTCCACTTTTCTATCAGTTACTAGATTTGGGAACTCTGGAAGTCATTTTAAAAAATCAATTTTCCTATCAGTAAAATGGAGATGACAAAAGAATTCTTATCTCATAGTATTGTTATTAAAATTATGTAAAACATTGTAAATTATTTTTAAAAACATAAACCAAAAACTCCAGTAATTATCATTATTATTTTAGACAAGATTTAAAAAAATGTTTTCTACACCATGAAAGAGGAAGAGTTGTTACAACAAAATTCTGGATCTTATAAAATGTGATTAAAAATAGCTTCAAAATAAATACGTAATATATAGACTAATATATGTGTTACATAAACAGCGGTTTCAAAATTTGCACACCATATATTCATTTAACCAGTGCTTAAGGGAAATTGTTAACATAGATGTCTACAGTTGTAGGAGTAAACGTGGGTGAGATATTTAAATTATTTTGTAAATAATATATAAATGTAAGTGTTTACTATATTGTACATGTCAAGAAAGTAATTAATTGCATTTGGAGAATGGGGGGTAAGCTTTTCCATCTTTAAAAGGCTACACTTGAACCTTCTGAGAACCTAATTATGATATTTGATTTGGAAAAATAGTTTGCTGCTCTCATAGCAAAGTTAAAATAGAGCAGATGGAAGGGTAAACCAAATGTCTATCCTTGGCACAGAGAAATAAGACACCTCCCTCCCAGTACCATAATTCATGGTGCTATGAACCAACCCCCGAGAGAAAGAGTATACTTAACTTATATGGAATTGACAAGTTAGGAAAGGAAATTCACTGATCAATCACTGGAGAGCTACAATCTTTGAGACCAGGTCTGCACAAGGAGTGTCCCTGTGCTAAGGTCATAATGATGCCAAAGGAACAAGGCAGGAGGAGGCACATTTGAAAATGAGGAAAATGCCAACAGGCCCAGTCTGAAAATTAGTAAAGTAAACAACATGGACCATCCTCTGATTTTGGTGTAAGGGACTGAAATGACTTACTATTTGAAAGAACAAATTTTCTTTTTACTATGAAATACTCCTTTGTTAAGAGGGCGATCAATGTAGCAAAGCTTGGTGAGCATTGCTTTTTCTGGTAGGTTTTAAAAACAGGAAGTAGACCGTGTTTTAGTGTATTAACCATGGAATTCTGGGTTCAGGAGACAATCAGTGGGTCCCAGTGGAGACGTTTTAAGAGGTTGTAAAATCAAGGGAAAGACTCATGTTGCTGAATCAGCAAAAATTGCACTCAAGATGCAAAGACGGTCAAAGTGGCTGCCCAAGAACTGAATACACCACATGCAAGACAAGGGAAACTTTTCTCTTTCATTTACCAGAAATCAACCATATATTCTAATCAAGCCATACAGGACAGGGGAAATTTTTCTCTTTTATTCACCAGAAACCAACCATATATCATGGTCTCGAACTCCTCAGCTCAAGCGATCCTCCTGCCTTGGCCTCCCAGAGTGCTAGGGTTACAGGCATGAGCCACCTTGCCTGGCCCCCGTATATTCTAATCAAGCCAGTTTCCTGCCCTGGGTATTCTGCCTACATTCTGGTCTCACCTCATGCCGAGAAATCTGGGCTTGCAGCTCCTGGATGTTACTGGTGGCCACGGGTTTATCCTCAATTTCCCTGTGAGCTCCTTCTATCAGTTGCTGGAGATGTTTCATTTCTTGTTCATATTGTTCATACTGCACCACTGCCTCCTTTGGAAAAAAAAACACATACGCACACACGTAATTTCCTTTCACTATCAATAAGTGGCTAAGTGATTCTGTACCACGTCTGCTAAACTGAATGTTAACTCAGATTCACCTGTGTGTCTAAGAATAAAGAAATGATGGGTAAAATCCCTAGATGGTTCAAATTCTTAACTGAGATATTTCAGGGATTTCTCTCTAAAACACTGTGGCACAGTTATTGATGGAAACAAAAATAGTTCAGTGGTTAGGATGCTCTCTTCCTCCTACTCATATTATCCTGAGGAGGGAACATAATGGTCAGAAGGTGGGAAGCAGTATGGAAAACATGATTATTTCATTTTTCCATTCAAGAATATATAAGCAAGACACTAGACTAAGCTCTGCAGTAGGGGATAAAAACATGAATTACCCATGACTTCTAGACCCAGGAATTTACTGTCTAACAAATTACAAGATACCATGAGAAGCAAAGATAGTCGGCCAAATGGACCACTATCAATTTTAATCAGAAGCTATTTATGCATTTTTTTTGGATAAAGTAGGAAATATTACCTGAAAGGAGATATACAGCAAATAGTGTCATTTCTCCACGGTAAATGATTTTCTCTTATTAGGTGAAGAGACTAAGAGTTAAACTTGAGTTCACTTTTTAGACACTCAAAAGAAATTTCATTCGATACCTCAGTAAGTTGAAATGAAAAAAAAATTTCTGTAACATAACAGTTAACCCATAGTACTAGGTTCTAGATGATTTTGAGGTGAATAAGAAGAAATAAAAACGTATAATAGAATATGAAATTAACCTTTGTGAGTTGTTCTTTGTAGAAAATATCACTACAAGATAGTTTTCACCGAAGGATATTTTTTACATAGCTTTCCCTAGGCTTTTTTGTAGGTGATCCGAATGACAGTATTTTAATCTTATTTTATAAAACCACAACAGCCTGTCAAATTTAACACTCTGGGTGTGTTTTGATGGCTGAGCCCACACAATGCTAAGAAAAGGAGCCCTGACTCATGCGCGACTGCCGTGCGGCGTGGGCACCGCGGCACCTGCCTGCATGACGTTGCACTGCTGGATGGCCGTGTGCTGCAGCCGGCTGGCCTCCTCCTGCAGGCGCAGAGCCGCATGGCACAGCGGCAAGCTGGCGACCACGTCCTCGGGGATCCGGAGGGCGCTCTGGCAGAGCTGCACAGCTTGCACCTTTGGCTTTAGTGACTCCATCTCCGACAACAAATGCTGAAAAGTGCGATTTTATAGTTCAAAGATTTAATATTTATTTCGTAAGCAAAAGATATTTAGTAAGTCATATAGCTGTGTCACATGTTATGAATATTTTGCAAGGAATGTTTTTTAGACAATGTCAAGTTTAAGAAGCATTTTTTCCTTGTTATCCTCTTTTTTAAAGTATAGGTCCCCACCCGCTCACCCTAAGTTGTTTTTGTTTACCTGTCGATGAGAGAGTTGTTCCTTGAGACTAAGACGTCCAACTTCTGGAGAAGTCAGGGTTGTCTGGGCTTGCTCCAAAGCAGCTTGCAAGTTTCTTAGCTCCGCTTCAAATTTTTTCATATCCTGGAGAATAAAAACCACTTGATTATCAATATATTGCACTTGAAGATTAAAATCATAAGTGAAGAAAAACATTACAGCCAAGAAACCATATTACAAGTGAGCATTATGTTTCCATAGTGGCATTGCCATATTACCATCTTCTTTTAATGATAGACTTTCTTTCTTTTCTTTTCTTTCTTTCTTTCTTTTTTTTTTTTTTTACCTTAGCTGCATCGTGGAGGTTCTGCAAACGAATTTTGATCATCTGTCTCAATTCCTCAGTCTCTCGTCCCAGTTCTGCGACTTGCTGGGACATTTTTTCTGTACAGTACACGCTAGTGAGGCACTGTAATCTCTCAGTCATTGCTTCCAGATCGCTGTGAATGTCTTCAGATTCTTCCAGCAGGGTCTAGAGTGAATTGTCAATATTCATGACATTGACAGGCAGACAGAGAGGTATAGGTAGTCACTATGGTGAGGTATAAAGTGCTCTGTGTAGGTTCTGGGTGTACCTTATTGTGTTTGACCTTCACACCCTGTGCCCACTCTCCACTTGGTAGGCACCTACTCTTATCCCTTTCTCACACACAAAAAAACAAAAAACAAATCATAGTTCAGGAACTATAAACACTATGCAGAGGCCATGTGTTATTAAGTGTGGGGCCATGAGGCTCAGGTTCCATCAACCCCAAGCTGTCCCCTTCTGAGAGTCGGGACCTGAGTATTCCAGCAGTGGCAAAGATCAAACACCTTGGGTGTCTTAATCATGTCTCTGGGTTTAACTTTTCCCATATTTAAACTAAAGAAGTACTTTTCAGCTCTCCTATTCTATATCTAAGACCTAAGTGCATATTAATCTAAAAAAAAAGAAAATTAAGAGCATTGCAAACAAAAACCATGGATCACTTGCTTTAAGTGGGACAAAGGAGTAGAAGCTACCTGCAATATCAAGAGAAGAAGAAACACAGCCCTTGCCATTCAGAATGCTATCATCAACTGGGTCAAGCAGTAATACAAATGGGTAAATAACCATATAAGATACATTATACAAAACACAAAGCGAAAGAGAAGCCAGTGTTAAGGGATGACACAGGTGAGATGTGCTCCAACTTGCTGGACAGTTGAGAGGAGGGGCCCTTGGAAGAGTCCATCTGAGCTCAGTCAGAAGGATGTTTGCAGTTTGACAGATGGGGAGACAGAGGAAAGATATTTCACACTGAGGGAACAGCATATGCAAAGGCAAAGAGGTGGATGAGCACTGAATGTGCAGTTAGTGGGGTATGTGATGTGTAAACAGCAGAAATGGGAGATGGGAGATTATTTTTAAGCAATGGACTATTTTGTTTATTTATTTTTATTTTTTATTTTTGGAATAGACTCTATTTTAAAACATAAAGTACTTTCTTTTCTCCCAATGTATGTAATACATATATATTATAGAAAATATATATCTTAGAAAATATTGAAAATATAAAGAAGAAAATAAAAATATTCCATCGTTTCATAACCCAGAGATGACTTTAAGAGATAACTGCTGATACATTTGGGAATATTTTTAGGTGATAGAGATCATAATATACCTATGGCTTTCCATCTTTCTTTCTCACCTGATATTAGAACACAGATTTTTCTCACTGTGTACTCTTTTTGAATAAACTCAGGCAGCTGTAATCCCTAAAGGAGGCAGATGAGAACAACCTGAACAATGTCTACAGGCTGCCTTCCCTCCTGAGTGTCTGTGCTGGATGACCCCAGTATTTGAAGCCCCTTCCCCTGTGCCCACCCAACTGCCCAAGTCCTATAACCTTGGGAATCATCCTTGACACTTCTCTCTCTCCCATGTCCCAAAGTCTCCAAATCAGGGATTCTAGCTCCTTAATATCTCTTGATTTTGTCTTCTCCTCTCAATCTCCAAAGAGAGGCCTTGTCATTTTCTCCTGGAATATTGAAACCACCTCTTACATTGTCTCACCATCAGCAATCTGTTGGCCACAGGCTGCTAAGTCAGCTTTCTTAAGATTCAAGTCTGAACTGTCACTTGCCAGAATATCTATTTCAAAGGCTTCAGAGTGACTTTAGGATAAAGTCCAAATTCTTAACAGGCTTTCAGGATCTGTCTTTCTTATCTCTTATCCCTCTTTCCAGGACCAAAAGGAGTCCCAGGGCACCAAAAAGAGCACCCTTCACTGTGCTAGGATTTCCTGCGTTATCTAAAATACATAACAAGTAGGCTGTGGGGTTTTTCTGGGCTCAGCCCAGTATCACCTTTTCCTAAGCAGCCTTCCTTCCCCTTCCTCTTTAACCCTGGTGGTCATCAGGGTTGAGCATATTCCTGTGGGCTGTATTCTAATTGCCTCCTTTTCATCTGTTCCCTCCTCTAAATGATCAACTCCTTGGGGCAGCAACAGAGAACTTTCTTGGTATTCCAAATGTCTACCAAAATTCCTACTTTGGGAAAGTACTCTATACATGTTTGTTGAATAAATGAATGCAAAAGCCATTGGGAAAAAAAATCTTCATGATTACTTAAAGGACCATATTACATTCCATTATATGCATTTACTCAGAAAAATTATTTGGCATTTAAGTTTTCTTTAAAATTTTACCACTGTCATTAATCCTGCAGAAAATATTTTCCACATTTTGGATTACTGACATAATAATGAGTCTGAAAAAGATAATCAACATATCAGAGTAGTAACATTTCTGATGACCGCCATATATTTTGCCAATTGTCTTTCAAAAAGATTTTACCAGATTACCAGGAGTATTTGAGAGCTCTTACTTCCTTCAATATGAACTTGTAAAAAACAGTTTTAACTGAAATTTAAAATTTTCTCTCTCCCTCTCTTTTTTGCTTAAATGTGCATTTCTAAATTTCTAATGAGGTTAGATATCTTTTCATCGTTTCCAAGTCAATTGTTACTTGTCTGTTAATATATAAACATATCTTAAAGCAAAAGATTGGGGTTGTTTAGGGAAGATATTTTGAGAGGAGTGCACAAGATTGATCAGAGAAGGAAGAGTGTGGATTCAGGAAAAAACGAGGAGCTGTTAAAGTATTCCAAAAAAGGGGGCAAAGAGGCTTTGGTCTAGAATACTGTAAATGATAGAATGGAAAAGAGGATTAATTTAAAAGCTACAAGTATACATAAATCATACAAGAGAGAAAATCTAGAATACTTGAGGATATCCACATAACTGATCATAAAGTCATTCTATATTTCATTGCAAGATAACTATCCTGTTAAATAACTACATCTAATTCAAGCCTAAGTTATGAAAGGATGACAGAATTTCCTGGATGATGTGAGTGAGAGGAAAGGAACATTTTTGTCACATAACTTCAGAGGAAATGAAGTAATGCAGCCTGCACGTGGTGCGGCCTCATGGCTTCTTCCCAGCTGACCCGACCTTCTGTTGGGGCCGGACAGCAGAGCAGGCAGGAGGCTGAGGGAAGGAGATGTGAGAGCTCCTATTGAGCGCCTGCACCTGCCAGGTAGATGCTTTACAGATGTTAAACTGTCTGATCCTCATGGCAAGTCTGAAATATGAATGTTATTTACATCTGTATGTAAATGATGAGAAGACAGAATTCAGAGAGGCCAAGTATTCTGCTCCCAACCACACAGCCCTAAAATGGTAGAGTTTTTTTTGTCACTCTAAGTGCAGAGCCTATAATCTTTCTACATTTTACTATAACTCTTCATGGGGAAGAATTTCCTACCATATCTCTGCATGGAATTTGTTTCAAAGAAGATGCAAAACAAAAAAGAAAAAAGGAGTCCTATAGGGCTGACTGTTTTGGGTCTTCGAGAAAAGGAAGTCTAGGGAACATAGAGGATATTTATTTATATAATCTCATGAAATCTCATGGGTAGTTACTTCCTGTCAAACCACTGGACGACACATTAGGGCTACCTTAGCATTCTTTTTATCTGGTACCTACAACAATTTTTCATCATGGCCTTCTAAATCTTTTGTCAGCCAAGCAATTAGATCAAATTGCTCTTTGTTACTCTTTGAAAACTGCTTATCCTCAAGTTACCTGATGCAAAATGTATTGTTCCCGAAGCTGGCTTGCAGAATTCCACGCAATATTTCCATGTACCAAGACTTTAGCTCTCTCAATCCACTTCAAAATTAATTCAAGCATTTCATTGTATTCTTCTAAATGTGATGCTGCCTGAAAAATCATTAACATTCAGATAACAAATGAAAACTCTGCTTCTTGAGCTAGAAATCAGTCTTCTGTCCGTCTCTTTGGATGCAATGGTCCTCAGGGCTGACTGTTATAATTTCAGTGCCACTTAGAGGTGTTAAATCATTTCCCTGTTGAAAATCTGTCAATGTTTTCTCAGTGACTTTAGGGTAAATCCCAAATTCTTAATCTGCTTGCATAATCCCTCTTTTTCTCATCTCCTTTTCCTCTGTCTGGCTTTCCTCTGCCCCTTCTTCCACACTCCACTGGGTAAGGAGGTGGGGGGGAATTAGAGCATGCCAAGTTTCAGTACTATAATTCCTTGGTTACCAACTCTTAGTTTAACTTGTCCCTGATTATACAAATAATACTTAACTGATTTGCAAAAGTCCAGTCTATACTCAACGATTATGATGGATGTGTGACCTGAACTTATTAAGTAAATGCAAGCTAATATGTATGTAGATTACTTAAAGATATTTGAATGCACCCCAAATTCATTTTACAAAACATCTTCATGGATGAATATTCACTTTATAAAATACTTCTCCAGTTTACAAAATATCCACTCCAAGTCTATTTATAGTAAATTTATAATATGGTTGAGCGTGAAATAAATTCGGATTTACATATAAATCTTAGGAACACAGGTGTGGTAGGCAATAAGCTACTCCTAAGGTACTCACATTGCTGTCAATGTTATCTTTTTATTTATTTTCAAGCGAGAAAACCATAGCATGGAAGTTTCTGCCTTAGAGAATTTTGATTACTGGCCTGGAAAACATACCTGACTGAGCTTGCAGAGCCGATTCTCCGCCTGTCTAATGGTCTGCTGGTGAAGTTCGGTCAGTTTTCCTATCTTCTTGGCCAGTGGCTTACCCAGCTGGCCATGCTGTTCCGAGAATTTTTGTACTGCTGCATGTAATTCCATTAACTTTGAATTACAGCCATCCAATTCCTCTCCCAGCACCTACATGGTCATCAAGATGAAACAACATTAGACTACAAAGATAAATGTCTCTAGGTTTTCCGAATCAGACTGATTTTTGTCAAAGCCAAATATTATAATGAATAATTCTACTATGATCAGGTCACTTATATTTCTTCGGCCATAAAGGCAGAGCAGGATGTGTTGTAATCCTGGTGTTTACTTCCTATGGGGCTGCGTGAGAGGGCTAACCTTTTCCTTCTGCCCCACCCAAAAAGGATTAGAGTCATTTCACTCATCAACAAAATGAGAACACAGGTTTAACCACCAAGAACTTAATTTACTTTGGAGTTTACAGATCTGCATTCCTAAATCATTGTTTAGTTTTTTTTTTACATTCTTCTCTCTTATACATATATGCATATATATTTATTATAATAATATAATTCAATCATAAATATAAGTGGGTCTGTGCTATTATAGTTACAAAATTTCTGTACTGTCTGCTTTTACTATCTGGTTTTAATAAAGGGTGCTAATAAAGATACTTTTTTCTACATCCCCAAATAATACTGACTCCAAAAAAAATATTTAACTCATTCAGTAGCACTTCTTATATATCTACTTATACTTCCTTACCTTTTGGTCGGTTTTCGCTTGAGCTAAATTATCTGTCTTTGTTTTCAGCTTTGTTAGAATAGTTGTGAGATCTTTGGCTATCTTCTGAATTTGCTGGCTGAATTCCTGGCTCATGGCCTTGCTTTGTTCAACTTCTTTTATTTTGTCTTGGATCTAAATAATCAGTGAGAACAACAGAGCCAACTATGGTTAAAAACGGATAATGATACAAAAACCTCAAATGATGTTGATGAGATACATTTAGGCTGTTAATGCTGCTTTGGCTTTGATGTGCCTGGTCCAACCAGCCACGTGCAGTTAGTTACCAGCTTTCCTGGCTTTCCACGATGCCTGACTTCCCACCGTCTTCATACACTGCCCACAAGAAAGTATGGCACACTCTTATGAATTTTATAGTTCCTGTGCTGTTTTGGCAAAGGAACAAGCAATGCATGTACAGCAATTCACTTATCAAATATTTACAAAATACTCATTATAGACGGCCACATAGACACCTGAGTTTGAATGCTATCTTCTCCATTTACTAACTTTGTGGCTTTGAGCCCACAAACTCCTCTAAGGCTTCTTCTTCATAAAATGGAAAATCCTCCCAAATAGTTGGAGACACATGGATTTCTTTCCAAGAACCTTCTTATAAGGGGCTGTTAATGATCCATTAACTCTTTTCATAACTTTCCAACTGCCTCCCTGTAATGTGCCAACAAAGCATTAAGCATGGCCAATGGAAAGGAAGATGCAAAAAGATAACTTAACATTTGCAAATCCTAGTGGCTTTGATTTGATCTGATAACAAACATTCATACCGTTGCTTAGAATAAAATGCTGTGGAGAAGATGGTACAGAGGAGAAATGTTTCTTTATATAAATGAAAGGCCTTAAAAAAACAAACAAACAAACAAAAGAAAAAAACCTCTTTGGTAGGGAGGGAGCACACCATTAAAAGAATACTTTTTGGTCTTCATTATTTTGAGAACCAAAGTAAACGGAATGCATATAAAAACTCTATTATGGAGAAATGTATCCAGAGAAATGAAAACTTAAATTTGAATCCTCTTTTTTTAAATATCTGAACTTGCCAAATCATTCTTCCAAATGGACCTTCCAATGTCTAAGAAGAAAAGCTAAATAAGTCAATTAAATACTTAATTGAAGTATTAAGTCAATTAAATACTTAATAGAAAACAGCATATATTAGATTAGGCAAAATCATGGTGCAGTAGACTTGGATTTTGATGAGATTTTTGAAACACTTTTCAACATATTGGCGATCCCAAAAAGTACGGCAAACTCATATGAACTTCATAGTTCACACAATGTGATACTACTTTCCATTTCATGTAGCAGTTTAGAATTAGTATATCTGTTCATTGTCCCATATAGAGTGGTTTTAAATAAACTTTAATGGCTTTAGAATTAAGCCACCAAGAAAGTCCTAAAAACCTATTATATTTCCATTTCTTTACTTTGATTTTCCCTTTCCTCAAATATCTTCACCTAGTTAACTTATATCTTGCTGAACTGGTGACATGACTAACAGATAGAAGAATGCTTGGCAGATTCTGTGTACTCAATATTTGTTGAACACATGTAATATATCTTTTTTTGTTTGTTTCTTTAAGTCATTTTGTAAAGGTGAGGGGAAGCAGGTAAATTATCTTTAAATACATGGCATTACTGTTCATATCTATGATCATCTCATGTATTTCTTGCCCACAAATAAGACCTCTAATTTAATATTCCTGTTTTATAGTGACCTATTTTTAAACTCTGTTTCCAAGAAGATATGACTATGAAAGTCAAACATTTTAATACAAAAGGATTAATCTTGCAAAAGAATAGAAAGATACTCTGTCTTGATCATGGGTTTACCTGATCACGGATCTTCAGGTCCAATGCCACTTCAGCCAACTGAAGGGAGAGCTCAGAAGGCAGTATAGTATAAAGACCCAAGTACTTATTTTTCTGCTCTTCAGCCATTTTCTCAATGTTCTGTCGGTGACTTGTGGCTTCCGTTAGGAGAATCTGAAGAAAAGATCAAAATTAAAAATTTCTGGGAGCCTGATAAGGAAACCAATTTTTACAGGTATAGGAAGAAGGCTACATATTGTTCATCAATATATGATTAAGTGTGGAATTAGAGAAATATATTAAAAGTAAACTAAACTTTTCTTTAGTATATGAATATGAAGCATGTCCACTTTATACAAAATAAAAGAAAACCTCATGAAGTAATACTAAATGTCTTTCATATAACACATTTCTGAAATGTGTTATAATTCAATATTCATTAAATGGAAACAAGTGCATCTAATTAAATTAACAGGAAATTTTTTTTAAATTGAAGGGTATAGGGATGAGGAGGTATTTGTACCTGAAGTTCTTCAAGTTGAGCATCTATTTCTATTGTGGGATTCCCTAAATATTCCTTTGTTTCCTGAACCCAACATTTCACAGAATTGACTTGAGTCTCCACTATTTCTCGGTCCTTCAGTTCTTGCTTTACCAACTTTCTGTTATTTTTCGCTTTCTCCTGCATGCTTCAGAAACATTAAAGGGAAAAAAAGAAGCTGTTTTCAAATGAAAGGAACCCCTTAACACACAACATCTTTTTATCCAAAACATATGTAGAAAGGGAAATCTAGTATTTTTTCCAAGTAAGGTCACTTCCCCAAAATCGCCAAATAATTTTTCAGTAAAATATCAGTTCAAGCATAACAGAAGAATATATGTCATATGAAAAGAATAATTTATCCCTGAAAAATTGAGAGTTGACTTTCTCTCATGCCACTAAGTCACAATTAATTTTCTTATTTAAAGTAGCTCAGAGATTATTTGAGTATTTACTTTTTCTTTGGAAATCTACTCAAATGGTGTAGAATCACCAGCATTTAAAAGTAATGTATAATTGGAATATTTGTAGCTATTAGAAAAAAAATCTTTTGAAGAAAGAATCAAGCTTCAGAAATTTCACAAATTAATAATGTTAATAATGTCCAAATTTCAAGTCTTTATTCGAATTAATGTAACTTTGATTAAAAGATTTAAATAAATGGTGTCAGGTTACCCTGACATCATCTATAACTGAAAGATATAAATGTGGCACATGTATGAACTAATATTAGTTAATATATGAATTAAATTATCTAATGACTTTTTCCTGTGGTCCAGGAAGTGAATCAGGCTGGCTATGTATTTTGAAAATTAACTTTCTTTTTCTACTAAATTCATTGCCATTCAATGGCTATTATCTACCTGGACTCTGGTACCATCCTTGCTTCTATGTCCCTGTCATCCTTTATAGCTAATGACTTACCCAGCTTTATCAAACCCAAGTTCTAAATAGCTCTCAGTAATTTCCCTCTCAAGTTTCATTTCTCCTGCATCACCCTTCCTCTCCCCACCAGCCAAGGAGCTCCTGAAGAGTGACCTGCTTACTCCTAAGCTTCCTTACATGTCATTTCTTTATTTGCAGTACGCTCCCACCAAATGCCTCTCTCAAGTCTGCTCCGTCTTCTGCTCAAATCCCTCTTTTGAAGGACTGCCTTCTTTGACTTCTCTCCTTCGTCAGTTGTCTCTGCTTAGGATTCCCTTAGCTCCCTGTTCACACTTGAAATGGCTTCTTTAGCTGCCCTATCTCTGCTGCTTGACTGTAAACTGCATGAAGGTAAATAATGGGTCTATTTGGCTCATCATTGTATGTCTAAGTTCTACCAGCTATATTGTCAGACAAATGACTAAGTTAAGAAAATTGAAAAGCACGGATGATGGGAACAGATCCCCACATTTTTAAGGTGGCATAATAGAGCACCCCACACCCAAGAACCACACTTGTCCTTTTGGTTCAAGGGCAGGTTAGTAACGGAGAATGAAAGCAGGTGTATAATTACTTCAGGCACCGATCCTGCATTGCTGTGATTTCCTGCAGGAAGGGTGGCTCCTCTCCAGGGGAAGGGACGGCTCCGTCCTGGAGCATGCTCAGTGCTTGCTGCCGCAGCATGCCTAACGTGGACTGCAGCTGTTCCAGCTCCACAAGGAATGTGTCATGATGATCAACAAGAGCTAAGAGTTCCGCTTTTAAGGCTTTCTCCACTGAACTGTCAGGTAGTTTATCTTGCAGCTGAGCGATCGTTTCAGTGGCTTTTTTAACCTGTTAAAATGTACATACCATGAAGTTAAATAATAAATAAACTGAAAAAAGAAATACGACAATTCTAATAAATGCCACATTTGACACTAGTGAACTGAAGCATGTTCAAGATGATGGTGTAAATGCTAAATTTCAGGAAATTAAATATGATAAATTTCCTTAACATGAAAGAGAAAACCACCTCTATAACTCTGCGTTTAAAGCTTTAATCTCAAAATATCAGAGCAATCAAAGACTATGTATAATACAGAAAAAAAGATTTTTAATTTTTTTTTATTTTTATTTCAGAATATTATTAGGGTACAAATGTTTAGGTTACTTTCCCTGCCTGAGTCAGAGTTACAAGCAAAATTTTTTTTAACTAAACAAATGAAAAATTTTTTTCAATATTTAAGTTAACATAAATGTGTGCCTTTGAGTTATAAAGGAAGATGTGGCTTAAAATACTGGATGCTTAAAAGACAGAAGAAACTAAATATAAGATTTGGGAAATTAGTTAAATTTCTACTCATTTACATGGCAAAGGAAAATTATTTTGTACTTTTTCAAGACCAGGTGAGAAGACAAATGGAGCAAAATGGACTTGTCCTTTTTTCAAAATGTAATTGCTTGGTTTTCTAAATTGAAATAATTTGACCTTGACTTGGGACTAAATTGCCCATTATGTATTGTATTTTGTTTCATAATTTATTTTTCATTGAAATAAAGATTTTTTGTGTGTATGTGTGTGACAGAGTCTTGCTGTGTTGCCCAGGCTGGAGTATGGCGGCGTCAGCCTTGCTCAACCTCAATGCCTGGGCTCAAGTGATCCTCCTGCCCCAGCCTCTGGAGTAGCTGGGACTACAGGCACGTACCTGCAGTACCACGTCTGGCTAATTTTTTCTATTTTTAGTAGAGATGGCGTCTCACTCTTGTTCAGGCTGGTCTCAAACTCATGACCTCTATAGTGATCCTCCTGCCTCAGCCTCCCAGAGTTGAAATAGAGATTTTAAAAAGCCTTTTTACTTTCAAAAGGCTGATTTCAAAAAGAAGCAAAATCCTGTTTTTCAAAATACATTATATTCAATGAGGAAAAAAATAACTTGAGCCCATCAATAATGGAAATTACCTTATTGTTAAAGCCCTTCCACTCATCCACTGCATCTTCCAGTATCTTCTGCTGGTCCTGGGCCACAGCACCAAGACGCGTCCAGCGCTGCCAGACAGTGGTGGTCGATCTGCTTAAGGTCGCTTTGCTTGCGTCATTTCCAGTTTTCTCCAGTTGTGAAGCTTTTTCCTCTAGGGCCACAATTTTCTCACGGAAAGAGTTAACTACTGACACTAAAGCCTGGGGTGAAGGGTCAGGAGAGGAAGAAAGGTGAAAGAGGAGAGACTAATTTTTTTAAAGTTCTCTGGATTTGGGTAAAGTCCAAAATTACTTGAAAAAAAATGTTTCCTTATAAATTTATTCTCCTATAGTAACTCTCATTTTAACATTTCCTTTTTTTTCCTTTTTTTTGAGACAGAGTCTTGCTCTCACCCTGGCTAGAGTGCAGTGGTATCATCACAGCTCACTGCAACCTCAAACAATTCCTGGGCTGAAGCAATCCTCCTGCCTCAACCTCCTGAGCTGCCAGGACTATAGGCACATACCACTACGCCAGGCTTATTTTTCTATTTTTTGTAATGATGGGTCTCACTCTTGCTCAGGCTGTTCTCTAACTCCTGACCTTAAACAATCCTCCCACCTCTGCCTCCCAGAGTGTTAGGATGACAGGTGTGAGCCACTGCACCCAGCCAATATTTATTTTTTAACAGAGTTAGGCTTAGATTTTTTTAAAGAGGTAAGGTGAATATTATTTATTAAATTATTTATTTATTAAAAACAAAAGTTTATTTGCTACTTGATGTTTTCCCATTTTTAAAAAACAGAAATATAAATGAACTATATTTGACATTTCAGTATGTTACATTCTTTCTTACATTGCTATGATATATGAGAGACTCAGTTATTAATTTTTGAATTTTATCTGAATTAATCTGTTATCGATAGGAAATACTTACTGACATTTACTATATGCCACACCTTATCAGAAGCAAATTGCTCTGAATGTCTGTTTTATTCTTTGAGACAGAGTCTCTGTTGCCCCGGGTGAAGTGTAGTGGCGTTCATCATAGCCCACTACAACCTCGAACTCCTGGGCTCAAGCGATCCTCTTGCCTCAGCCTCCCAAGTAGCTGGGACTCTAGACATGTGCCACCATGCCTCACTAATTTTTCTGTTTTTAGTAGAGACTGGGTCTTGCTCTTGCTCAAGCTTGTGTAGAACTCCTGAGCTCAAAAGATCCTCCCGCCTCAGCCTCTCAGAGTGCTAGGATTACAGGAGTGAGCCACCATGCCCAGCCTGAATGTCTCTTTCAGACTTTAGCTATGCATTGCCAGTGAGAAACCTAAAAAGGTGATAGCATTTAAACTAACTTAAAACTTCTATAAAATGTGGTTAAATGTGTCCTCATCGTATTTAGAGAACCCAGGTAGAAACTAAGATTTATTGATCTATTTCTGGAACCATCATGTTGCAAAGATTCATTACAATGATAATTAAAGGATATTAAAAAAATAAAACTGACCTTGTGTTCTGACAATTTTCCTTCTGCCTCCTGACTAGAAGAAGTCTTCAACAAAGAAAACTCAGACAATCTCTTTTCTGCATCATTCATCAATTCAATAATCTCTTCCCTTGCTTTCTGGTAATCCTGCCACTGAGTTGTACATCTTGAAAGAGTCCAACAGAAACCAATAAGCAACATGAAATCACACATTTCTATATGAAGCTCTTGTGTCAATGTCTAATGATATATTAGACAATATATCTAAAGATGTATTAATCCAGACACACCTTGAGATGTATTTGACTTAATATATCAATAGAAGATGACAATACATATAGAGAAGAATGAATTCACATGCTAATGTTTATCACTATTTTCTATGCAAAAATTCATTTCACTGAAATATAAAGTACAAAACAACTTTAAATACCTCTGCAAGAGATCTAACTGGGCATGTGAGTCCTGGATGATTCTGCCGCTCCTGTCTCCTAGCGATACCATCTTCTGTGCCAGGTCTTCTTTGCCGGCCGGCTTAATGAGTGGGTCCAGGTTGGCTACCAGGCCTTGGAGCTCCTGCAGGTTACTGTGGAACTGAGCCTCTGTACTGAAAAAATCCATGTGGCTTTTGAGATTTTCCTCTGTGCTCTCCACATCTAAGCCATTGCCTGCCAACTGTAACATTTCTTGGGCATCCTCAAGCCAGTCATTAGCTGCTTGAAATACTTGATAATACCTTTGACACTGACTGTATATTTCAATCAAGGTGGCCTGAAAAATAGTAATTATAAGCATAGTCAACTCTCAGTTGCAATGTTGTTTACAGGAAATACTTTTCACTTCTCTATTTCTTTTCCAGTCCTCAGACTTTAGTTGAAGAAGTCAGAATTATATATGATGAAGTTCATTAAGATTTTGCTCATATACTGAGATAACATTTTTACTAGTTAAAGTATTAACTTTGATCTATGCAGAAAATAAAGTTAAATGATGTCTAACATTCATGGGACCTACCTTACATCAGGCCCTATGCTAAGAAGATAAACCTAATAATGAAGGAGGCATTAATATCTTTCTTCCACAAAGAGAAAACAGAGACTTAAAGGATGTAAGTGATTTGCCTAAGATGGAATAGCTGCTATTAAAACACGGATGTACCTTCCTCCAAGGCTTTAGCTATTATATTAGCTAACAAAGCTATCTTTTACCTAAATGGTTGGTTGAAATCTCCTGGATTCAGAAGGTCTGAAGACATAGAGAAAAATGGCCAAGGAATTAGAGAAGGTAATCCCTGGCGCATTGATAATCTCTTCTTATTGCTAAATGCATGGAATTTGAAAGCTACACTAGAGAGCAAGTGGCAATTAAGAGGCCAATCTGGGAAACTCCGTACATGCTCCCATTTCTTTTTGTTATCTCCAAGTCAAGTCATTATGAATAGTCCAGTCTTGCCTCTGCTGTGCTATAGGGAAGGGAGGAAGAGGAGGTGCCTCTCCCTGAGGAGAAGGGGTGAAGAGATGGGGCAACTAATGGGAGGCCCCACAAACAAAGATGCTTAGTATCAGGTTCAGGGCTGCAAGGTTTCTAACTTACCTCTCTCCACTTGGAAACTCTTCACTCAGTGCTTAGAAAGGCCAGGTTTTCACATAGTTCAAAAAGGGCATCATTAACTATTCATTGTTAATCAATTTTATTATTAATATACTAATATATAATATTAATTATATTATTAGTATCATTATTTCTCCCTCAGGTGAGAGATCACTGAGGTACTGCACTCTTAGAAGCAAAATGAAGTCTACATGGAAATCACATAAAATGAATTCCATGTGCACAAGCAATTAAAGCATCCTTTTAAGTCACTGTTGAAGGTGATTCTATGTAGTATCAAAAAAGAAATATTTAAAGAAGTCATTCTAATCAACCAACCAACCAACCAACCAACCAACCAAATTTCTCATACCTGCTTACAAATAAGCAGAATGAAAACAAGAAAAGCCAAGTCCTATCACACTGACCTGCCGTGTGCGCAAAGCTTCCTGAATGTCTCCATCGAGCTCTGAGAGTTCAGCGAGGGTGTGTTCCAAATCAGCAGAGATCAGTTCCTTGGCTTTCGTGAATTTCTCCTTTTCCTTATGACTCAGGGCACTCATGATTCTCAAGCTGGACTGGACCTCTTCCTGATGAATCTGGATCTTTCTGATTTCCTCCTGGATGTCCTGTAGGTTGAGGTCCAGGCACACTGGCCCACTGAGCTCCGCCTTCACTCTCCTCAGCCAGTCCAGGGAGCGGCTCATCTCGGTCTGGAAGTCCCTGCTCTGCACCATCCGGCTCTCGCACTCTGCCACCGTCTCGCCAATGGCAGAAGTCAGCAGTTTTAACTCCTCTTGCCAGGACTGGATCTGGTGCTTGGCTTTGTCATATGCTGAGGGGTCAAGGTGTGGAGCAACATCTTCGAGATGCACGGTCACTCGCTTTAGTAGAATTCCCGAGTCCTGGAGACTTCCTGCCAGGGAGTGATACATTTTGAGCTTCTCCTCTGCAGGCAGCGTTTCCTCGTTCACTTTGGACTGCTCCGCTTTTACAGTCTCTAGTTGTCTCTCTAGCTGCTGGCACATCTTTCCGTGCTCTTGGTAAGCACTCGTGGTGTCTTCTAACAAGCTAACCCTTTGCTCTGCTTGTCGCTTCAGCCTGTGATACAAGGTGACAAGGTGCAGCATCTTGTCTGGTTGCCAAGGCTGACCTGTGCTGCGAAAACTTTCTTTTTTCTGGCTCAGTTCATCCACTGCTTCCCTGAGGCTCACCACCTCGCCCAGCAGAGCCCTGCAACCATCCTGAAGAGACAGAGCCTCTTCCACGATCAGATTGGTGGGGACTTTGCTCATCCTCCAGAACTGGGCTTCCAGTTCACTCAGAGACTGGGCTGTCAACTCAATCAAGGAAGCATATTCTTTCCGCGCAAGAATTGCCTCCTGGACTTTATAGAACTTATCCTTAGCCAAGGCAACAATGACATTAAATTGCTGGGGCAAAGCATTCAGCTTTTCACTGAGGTAGGAATGATCAACTTCATTCAGCGAAGGTAATATGGACTGTCCAGTTCTTTGTAACGTAAGTAGAAGGTTTTCATATTCTGGAGATTGTTCAAGAATATGTTGGTATTTGGCCAGTTGTGTATGGAGGTCAGCACTCTCATTCATTAGGTTGATTTCAGGAAACGTAACAATATCTGCTTGTTTTAGCCAATGACAAGCTTTATCAAAATCTTCCTTAAAATGCTTCCTAGAAACTAAATTTTTCTCTAGTTCTTGTAACCGATGACCACACTTTTGTAAAACGGTGTCATAGACGCTCTGCAATTCCTGAAGCTTACCGAGCACTTCACTCTTCTCCTGCTCTGTGATTCCCTTCATTAATTCGCGACCCTGTGCCCAGAGTCCAGTGACCTCGTTTTGGTAGGTCTTGAGGCTGGCTTGTGCACTCTTACACATTTTAACTTGTTTGCTCACATCGTCTGGTAACAGGCAGATATGTTCACGGAACATGATCTTTCGTTCGTGTTGCTGAATTTGGCTGGTCGCCTGGAACACTGCCATGAGAAACTGGGTTTTCTCGGACAAGGCCTTGTTTAGGTACTTCCTTCGCTGGCCCACTAAGTCGCTCAGACAGTTCACGTGCCTTTGCGCATCGGAGAGTGCCTTCTGGATGACCTGGCGCTCATTTAGGCCGAGATCAGCCATCACCCTGTCGGCGTCCTTCACGAGCGATCTCAGGAGCATCTGTTTGGCCTCCAGTTCACTGCAGATGGCCAGGTGATCCATGAGAAGGTTCTGAGCCATATCAGGAGGGGGACTCTGCTTAAGGGCCTCCGTGATGTTGGGCTGTTGCTCTTCTGCCCACTCCATCAGCTCCTGAAATCTGGACTGCACCACATTTAACTCCTCCAAGTTGGTGACCGACACTTGGATTTTCCTTTTCACAAGGTCCTCAAGCTGAAACCAACGTTGCTCAAAGTGACTCGTCTGCTCTTTGACTAATTCCTTGTCATCTAAATTCAGATGCTCTATCATTTTCTGCTTTTTCTCTTTCAGATCCTCAATAGCATACTTTCTCTCCTGCAATGCCAGTGCTAACTTTTTCAAAGCTTCCAGGTGGACAGCTGTACTCTCCGCATCAGACCTGAAAATATATGGAAAGGTGTAAGAGCAAATTAGCTTTATAGTCAATATTGATGTTTGCTCATACCATGCTAAATTATACTGCACCATTTCTTTAAGTGGATATTCTTAGCTTAGTTGGGAATAGTTCAATTCATGGTTTAATAAGAGAGGTGCTATAACCATTATAGAATACAACTCCCATTAGAAGTATGTATAAGAAGTTGCATCAAACAAAGTTGCCTACATTCTTCTCTACTTATCTTTCTCTGGCTAATACTGCCCTCCAATCACATCTGACTATGCTTTTAGCTTCCTCTGACTCTTTATATATATATAAATAATATATATGAAACATATAAATATATATTTATATATATTAATGCATAATATATAAATATATAACAATATATTTTTATATAATATATTTATATACATTAAATATTATAAATAATATATAAATTATATTATATATATATATATGGAGAGAGAGGGACAGAGAGAGAGACAGGGTCCCACTCTTTCTCTCAGGCTGGTCTCAAATGCCTGAGCTAAAGCAATCCTCCTGCTTCGGCCTCCCAGAGTGCTAGAATTACAGGCGTAAGTCACCATGCCTGAACCTTCTGGCTCTTAACTGAGCAGAATGTGCATGGTTTCAAGATCCTTGGATGATCTGAGTAACATTAATCACTGAGAAGCACTAATCTATTGCATGCTTGAAAATGATGCTGAAAGAAATTAATAAGTGATTTGTGCTTTAATGTGCTTTCTTTAGGAAGGATCCAATAAACAATATAGTGTTAGATAATACAATCTGCAAGGTATAACCAATGGCTCTAATAGCTACTCAATTGCATACTTTGATATGTTTTGTTTATCATTAGAAATCTTTAGAAATCAGTGTGAAATGCAAAGAATTCTCATCCCTTTGCCTACCACACACATTTGAGAAAGTAGAATCTTATAGTCTCTTTCATTTACAAAACAATCAGTTCTGAAGTATGAGAAGGAGAGTTGGGAGGCAGTATGATGAATTCTGTTTTGGACACATTAGGTCTGAAGTGACTATGGGTCTATTACAAGCCAGAAATATGAGCTTTTGCTCATATTAACTAACTACCCATTTTCCCTTTAAAATTGATCTTTAGCAAAATCTTTGCAACTGGTTGTCACTGATTATATTACTATTCCAATAAATTCGGCATCTGGCCAACTACATAAATCTCAAATAAATGATTATCTCCTTCAATAATATATTTTTATATAAAATAAAATTCCCATATCTTATTTCTCATTCCCAAAGGTGTTGACAGATAACTTTCTCTGGTTTATAGCTACATGAGTGTGTGCATTTATACACTCGCTAGTGACTAATGTTACTAATTGAAGTGAAATACCAGTTAGTTGTACATTGAAAAAAAGTTGCGTACTCTGAGTTGATGGAAATCGATCTGTTATTATTATATCTGCAGGAAAATGGGGTGTTAGGGAATCTATACAGGCAGAGAAAAGATATGAGATAAAAGTTTAAAAAATTAGGCTCATAATATTGACAATGATTTTGGAAAACCTCACTAAATGGTCTCTATCATCGTTTATCACCATGCAACTTGCAGTTGAATACCTCCTTTCCTTATTCATCCATATATTGTAGTAATTAATATTTTAAAATAATTACTAAGTATTAAATTATTATTAAAATTACATTTCTTAGCACCACTGGTCAGGCCACCATCACTTTTCATCAGATCCTGCATAACCTAACACTTGTCACCATGCTTCCATTGCTGCTGCCAACCCCTGCAGATACTCTCCACACACAGCTAAGAAGGATTTTTGAAAAGCACGTGTCTTCCCATCTCACTTAGAGTAAATTAACCCAGATTCTTACCAGGGCTGTGAATAGCCTGGTCATACATATAATTTTTTTCTAATAAGGTAACCTTTTTTGATAATAAAGAGTCGTGCTTTTCAATAATCCAATGGAATGTAGAGAGATGGCGACTGACCCTAACCTTACCCCACACCAGAGACATTTTGCAATGTCTGGACACATATTTGTTGCCACAGTGGAAGTGGTGGGCTGCTGCGGCATCTAGTAGTTAAGAGAGCCAAGACGCTGCTAGAACATCCTGCAATGTACAGGCAGCTCCACAAAAGTATTTGGCCTCACTTTCAAATAGCCTGAGGTTGAGAAACTCTGGACCACAGGCATAAACCCAGCAGTTGGACTTACAGTCAGCTCGTTGTAAGGACTTCCACGACGGTTCAACCGCTGCTCACCTCTCTCATGACCTTGCCTCCACCTGGATTCACATCTGCTGCAGCCTCAGGGCTTTGCATGTATGCTGTCTCCCCTCGCATCGTCCAACGACCTCAACTGCAAATGATTCTTACCTCACGACCAGTGACTCAGGTCTTTCCTCAGAGACTCTTGAAAGAATACATGCTCCCTGAAGTACATGGCCCCAGTGCTCTGACTTCCTCCAAACCCGTATCCCTTAGCACTTTGAACTTTCTAACATGGTAATTTAGCACAACCAAACATTGCACTGCTATTGTTTGTTTATATATCATCTGTCTCTTTTTGTAAGAATGTACATGCATGGGAGCAAGGGTTTTGCAGACGCTATTATGCCTGAGTATCTAAACAGAACCTTCCTAACAGGCCATGAGCTTGAAAAGAAAATATAATAAAAAAATAAATAAAAAAAAAATAAACAGAACCTGCATAGACGCTGAGCATCTGCATAAGAAACACATTTGTCTGTGTTTCTGTGAATAGAATAAAGAATCGCACCTGGAGGACCTTTCTTGGGATTGTGAAAGGGAAGAACACTAGATGAGCTTTTCCGCAGAGAAAACGAGCCCCCCATCTGTTTATTAGTCCCTGACTCCAATAGCACCACAACTCACTCCTGAGCTTTGCTTATGTCTCTAAGATATGCGCAAACATGCCAAGAAGCATGACCAGAGTAGCTACTACAAATGTATTCTCCAAAATGACAAAAAGTAGCATGCGAACACAGGATCTGAAAAATTATAGAAGTTATCTTGGGCTTTCCTCTTCCCAGACCATACAAATGACTTTAATTACAATGAGAAGCCAGTGTGGACAAATAGATCCATGTCAGTGTGTTTCAATTCTTTCCTGTGAGTCCACTAATTCATGCCGCTTTACAACAATGGTAGGGAAACACTGAGCATATAGCAAGATTATTTTGAAATATCACTAAATAATTACAAACAGACAAAATTTGCTAATCTAAATAGACCATCGCATCTCTTCACTGCTGAATATCAAACTTTTTTCAGGTAAACACTTCAGAGCTTTGCAAGAGCACAGGACCTACCTAGATCTTCTTTTGGCTCATGTGTGAACTTGTCAATGCTATCAGTGAAACTACAGCCAAAGACATCCAAAAACAGAGCATATGGATAAAAAAAAACAAATTATGATTCATTGAATTTGTCTGTTTATTATATTGTCTTGCTTAATGTTGTATGTGGGAGTTGAAGAAAATATCCTCTTGACTTAATTCTTGTTCAACGCTTCATATGGCAATTATT